AATTTTCAAAAGGAAATATCCAACAATTAACACTGAATGGATGCACTACTCTCCATACATTTACTTCTTATTAAATTTAGAAAATCATTTGAAAAATCAAACAACTCTCTATCGCTCTCTTTCTCTCTATCTCTCGTTCTTTCTCACTCTTTCCTCTCTATATATAAACCTAAAACACCATTTTGTTTTTATTTATATGTCAATGAGCTGAACCGATATCACAAAAAATTATTTAAAATGTTAAAAGGACTTTAAATAAAATGAACAGCGGTAATGATTATATAAGATAGTTCATGTTATTACAGATGCTGAAATTAGCGTTCAAACATTCCCATGAAATGAATTTAATTGAACAGATAGAAAGACAATATAGAAAAGAGATAACAAAGGAGAACGAGAAAGAGAGAGAGAGAGAGAGGGAGAGAGAGAAAGATAGAAGAGAGAGAGAGAGAGAGAGAAAGATGGAAGAGTGCATGTATCTATTGAGTATGAATGCATCAATGAATGTTACATTTGAAAATTAGATGCATGCATGCATACATTTCTGTTGAATGACTGAGTGAATATTTGTATTTTAAGAATGAATAAATAACTAAATGAATGAGTGAACGATCGAACAAATGAACGAACGAATGAATTAATTTCAATACTGACGAATTAATTAATTAACTAGTGATATTAATTAAATATATTTTAGTGATCAAGTGCTTCAGATGGTTGGATGATTGAACATTTGAAATAGGAGTAGAAATGTAGTAAAATGAATCATTTAACGAATGGCAGAATGAGCAATTTAAGGAGAACATAAATGGAATCATGAATAAATAAGCAAAAGAATGAATGAATGAATGAATGAATGAATAGACGATAGAACAGAAGAATGGGTAACCGAGTGAGTAAGCCATAAAATCATTAAATGAATAAGTGATTGGATGGATGGATGGATAGATGAGAAGAGGAGCAAACGAATAAATGAATGAAATGTTGTTATCTGCTGTTTTATGTGATATCTTTAGAAGAGACACCTAGACTCAACAAAAATCTCTCAAAGCTTAAAGTTTAAATTTTTTTTATGTCCTACACAGCTGCTTACGTTGGCGCTAGAGATGATGATGTTTCTTACATACTTTTTACATAAAAGTGTTTTACCTACATACAAATAAGAAAAATACATACAAATAAGAAAAATACATACATGAAAGCACACATACATAATTACAAGAACACAAATGAAATGAATTGAAACGAACTTAAACAAATTAGAGACAATGTGTGCAAGTGACATTTTTCCAATCTACAACCACCAGCATTTGAAGAAAAAATAAACTTAACACTGAGACAATTTAATGACTTATTTACAGTGTAACAAAATAAAGAATATTTACTTTTTAATTGCTGCTGTGCAAGGGTACGAATGCAAACCACAAATTCTGCAAAGTTTTAACAATTTTACATAGTTAAAACGCATCCACAAAGCCAGAACTAATGTAATTTAAAAAATTAAACAATGAATACTACATAAACATGTCTCCCGTTTAAACGTATTCATGGTTGTTTAGGTTTAGTCTGAGTGGTTGAAACACTTGTGAAGTGTGCCGAATGTATGTGAGTGTATCTGCATGATAGGTACATTTGCATATGCACAGCAGTCAAACAAAATTGCTCTTTTATTAAGAAAATTGGAGGATATATTTAAAAATGTAGGAATATTTGAAAATGTAGGAATGTTTGTTTATGCTATCACCATCAAGATCATTATCATCCTCATAATCATAACACCCGCATAATAATAATATTTTCAAAATCATCAACAATGTTTACAGATGTAAGTTTTAAAAAAAACTAGAAGTGGCTAGCTATCAGTCCAGTGTAATTTTAAAATATTTCATCTGTAACTGAAAAATTTAGAAAAAATTATGAATATTACAAATTGAATAAACATCTTCTCACAGCAGCAAGGCATATTTTTTTTTTTAGAGCAAGACATACTTTTTTGAATCAGCCTTGGATGCCAGCAAAAATAAAATACCAAGATGATGATAGACAAGTTGGAGATAAAAGAAATGATATACTGGAAAACCATGCTCATATATATGAAAACATTTTTTAAATTGGGAATATTATTTTTATTATTATTATTTGAAATTAATTCAGCAGAGCACTTATTAACTGATTTATCAATTAATAAATGAATTTAATTAATTAATTAACTAATTTCATTTAATCTATTAATTATTTCATGTATCGTCATAAAGGAATGAATAAGCATACAAAAATTCGGCTTAGTCAGACAATGGGAAGTTTTCAAAAAGTTGATTACAAGATTTGTACAGCACAAACAAACAAACAAATTAACTAACAAAATACAAACGAACGAATGAACAAACAGACTAAAGAAATTAACATAAACCAGTAAAATACTATCACATCAAAAACATGTTGATATCAATCATCATCATTACTAATGAGTTTAAGTTTTCCAGCATTGAAAACAATGGGTGAATGGGAGGAAATTATAACACGCACACACATACACACACACGCACACACACACACACGCACACACTGTCATAAACTTCATGAAAAAGAGCCATGTCAGCTTCAGAGTATAACTGCCAACTAAACCAGAGGTGGTTTCCTATTCTAATCACTCCTTACACTTTTAACATTCTTCCAGAAATTCTTAAAAATTAAAATTATGATGCAAACTTGAATCTCTGCTAATATGCATGTATCAAATTAACGAGCCAACTGATGCAAATATTTTGTTATTACTCATTATAATTAGTATATATTATTATATATATTATTATATTATATATAATTAGTATATTTTATTATTATTAATATTATTATTAATTCTTTGTAAATTAATTTTCAGAGGCATAAAAACATGTGAAAACAGACACGACAGGCACTTGAACCCAGCATTAAACATATACATTAAATCTGACATCACTGCTGAGAATTTGATAAATATTATTTAATTATAAAAAATTCAGATTAACTTTGTTATTATCTTCTGGTTGGTTAAAATGAAATGTCCTTTTAGCATTAAAAATCTTGTTAATTATTATTATATAAGATCTGTTATAGAGGCTCTGTAAAATGATATTTTGTGATAGAAAGCCCTGGCTCAAATACTCACGTTGCAAATCACTGTGTTGCTAATCACGATTCATGTTCATTATTTGAGGTTACAAGGTTGTGCTTACATATATACAAATTGATGTACATTCTGCATTAATTCTGAAGGTAAAGACAATTTTCATATAAATACACAAATGAATTCAATTAAGTGAATGAACATTAGGTATGAAGAAACTATGCCCATGAGAAAGAGAGAAAGAGAGAAAGAGAGAGAGGGGGGGGGGGGGGGAAAGAGAGTGCGAAAGAGAAAAAAACCAAAAGAGAGAAAGAGAACAAGAGAACAACATATTTACATGAAGTTTAAAAGGTATTTATTTATTTGTCATATGTGGAGAAATTTATGACCTGAACCAAACTTGCTTGTCAGTCAGTCTGTCATGCAAGACAATGAAATACAGTTGTGATGCATTCATTGTACTATTGCAAACTTCATTTTTATGTGCTGTAATAATTTATTAATGTCTGCATGCTCATGTGTGTTGTTGTCTTTTACATATCGAACAAGTGGTTTTCTCTTGATCATGTGCATACACAGACCCAAACTCAAGCACACAGCACAAACTCTCTCTCTCTCTCTCTCTCTCTCACGCACACACACACACACACAATAATACGTAAACAAGAGTACACATCTACTACTACCACACTCACTTGATATTTATTTATGTGGTTTTTGTTTAATGCCTGTTTTTATGTCTAAGTGTCTAAGATTTCTCTCTCACTCCCTCCGCGCTCCCACTTACACACACACACACACACACACACACACACACACACACACACACACACACACACACATATATATATATATATTAATATGCTTCTATTTGTATGTTTAGTTTCAAAACCTACTATGATGTTTACCTGCATTCTTGCCAGTTGATAATAAAAGACATCACATGCCACTTTCACATTTTAAATTTTGACAATAAAATAATTGACAAATGATAACACACAAAAGTAACATTGTTTGGATGGTTATATGGTTATAAGATAATCCTTAACAAATAATGAAATAAAATAGCATATTGGCAAGGTAAACTTGAAAATGAAAGTAATGTCACAAAACTCTTTATGAATGATTTCAACTACAACAGCATGGTAAAAACACACTAACGTTACTGTTGTTGATGTTTTTGTTGATGAAATTCGCATCATCATTGTTGTTGTTGTTGTTTTTAATTCCAAGTTGGAAATTGTCTGGATGCTTGCAGCATTTGTCATAGTTACAATTATCCATACCTCCTTCCCTATGAATAACATTATCTCCGAATATACTGATGTTGTTGTTGTTGGCGTGACTGTTTGGTATCAAAGTGTAAGTTGTTGATGATGATGTGGGTGATTTGTTGCTTTTTCGAAACACTATCACGACTGGACGCTACAAAATTATTGTTGAATGAGTGGCCACTGAAACCGGCCACACCAAAAGATGGCACGTAGCAATCAACGCAACAACACACTGGCTCCAGCTTTCTAGATGTTTTTGTTGATGGCTTGCTGTTGTTTTGGTCGTGATGTAGTTGTTTTTGTTGTTGAATTGTTGTGTCAGCCGACGTTATTGATGGCGTTGCAGTTGTTAAATGACAGCAACAAGGGCCCCTTGGGCATTCCTTTTTACGGTTGTTTTGTTGTTGTTAGCACTGTTTGCCTGTCCAGTGTTGTTGCTGATGTGTCGCTTGCTGGCACCTTCATTTTTCTTATTCAAGTTTCTCTTCTTCAAATTGCAGCCTCTCTCAGAATCAGCAGCGACACTGTTAACTGCTGTCTTTGGGATGATATCCGGGAGTGATGATGATTCACTTTGCTTATCGGACCATTCACCGGCATCATCATTCTCATAGTCGTTATCATCACAGTTTTTGCCATCATCATTACCATCGTCAACGACAACGTCATCGTCATAATGATAATGATCGTTCGTATGTTTCTTCATCGTCAACTTCTTCTTCGGCTTCCTGATACCATCGTGACTCTGATTAGGACTCAACTTGTTGTTATTACTTTTGTTGCTTGTGTGATTGTTTACAATCTTCCAACAACAGCAACAGCAATGCTGACTACTGCTGCTTGCGTTGCTGCAACTTCCTATGGAACATTCCTCAGACGAAATGAGACCAAAATCTCTTTCTAGGTTCGGGAACTGTTCACAATCTTTGGTAACATCATCAACAGCATAGTTATGACTATTATTATTATTATTATTGTTGTTGTTGTTGTTATGATTATTACTGTTGTTACGGTTATTGTTGTTATTAAGCAGACGCTTGACGAACTTCATTAACTTGCCTGTACTCATAATACGATGTGGTGTTGCTACTTGGTGACCACTGCTGCGTGGCGAGATAGCTGTCGCTCTTGAATATCGTTGTTGCCGCTTCTGCTACTTTTGTCGTTGATGTTGATGACGTCGATGCAGACGCTGATGACGTCAAAGTGGAGGGGGGGAGGTGTGATTTGATGTAACTTCTGTCAGGGTGTGTAGAGTTTGTTTGATCCTACTACCTCTTCATCGAGATTTCTGCGGGGAAAAATTCAGTAGTTATCACCAGTTATCATACAACATGCAGAAGATAAGAGTGATTATATTGGTCACTTGAGTTAGCTCAGTCGGTATATGTGCCATGTCTTGAGCTGCTATGATGTGGTTCGAATACCGCCTGTCCAAAACTCAAAGACAGTCGTACACATATGATTGGGTTCTAGCGTGTGCATTTTTAATGTGTGTGTACGTCGTGTGGATAGTACAGTAGAGAACAAGCAGCTATGTGTTTGTAAAGATACATTATGAATAACGAATTATATCAAATCATATGCACGCACGCAGGTACACGAACAAGCATACACTTACACACACACACACAACACACAAAGATTAAGTTACACATATAGTTTGTATAATATACAAATTCACAGATGAAATATTGATAAAATAGAACACTGGTAAAATAATTATTTTAAAAAATCAATCAAATGCAAGTCATTGAAATTAAAATTCAGAAGCAAAAATGACACCACAAACATTGCTTAATAATATAACTAATATTATAAAATGATTAAATTATTTTATAACTATAACATAATTATTCTTATGATGATAACACGACTAAAGTTATGAAATTATAAATAACATATCATCAGATAACAAGAGATAAAACCTCAGCAATCATCTTAAATACTGAATGTCATCATTATCATTATAACACAACACCGCTTATGATAAAAAATTATAGTGAAAACAAAGTCTAGACACAAAAAATTATTATTATTACTATATAAATATATATATATAATATATATAAAGAGGACCAAACACATAAGGAGAGCCTCATTAAAATGTTGAATCTTTTTTTTACTCTCAAACAATACAAAGTTTATTTTATACCAAAATTCAACTTTTTAATTATTTTACAGCTCTAATCAACATTCAAGTACCCTGGCTAGGCTTGAGAGATAACAAATGAATACACACACATACACACACACAAAATAGATTAAATATTCACTCAAAATGGAAAAAATGATGAAAAGTGAACTTCAATCCAAATCTTTCGTTTAGGGTTGAGTTGAAAGACATGTGGATAAAAATTACTAACATCTCCTTACAACAGAAACTTCGCTATCCATAATTAATAATTTTCAACACCAACATCATTGGTACAGTGTAAGATCAGTAAGATATCATCAACGCTATCACTGTTAACATCATCATAGTCCACATGCTAGAAAAAACTAAGTAAAGTACAAGCCAATACATCGGACCAAAAAGCTATAGATATCAGGTACAATATAATCGATATAATCCAGAGTTTTACGTCAGCGACCAAGAAACAAATATAATAGACAAACAGATATAACAAACCTAAACATAAAGAGATTGGTCCAGATTCAAAAGCGCAGTGACAAACAAAAAATTTTTCTTAAATATAAGTAGACGAAAAGATGCATAGATACAGGCAGACATGCAGTGCTACGCATGCAGGAAAAGAAAAATAAATTGGCAATATCATCTATTATTGATAGATGCCCTGGATTCAAGTGCACACACAGATATATATGTTAATAAAGAAATATGGACAGACAGTTCGAAAATTCAGGCAGACTAATGTCAGACAACCTTAAACTTGGGTGTGGTTGACTAGGGATCTCTTGTTTGTTTGTCTGATTGCATGGGTGTCTGTCTATCTATACGTCTCTGAATATATTCTTTTGTATGTATTTTGTATGAATCATGAAGAGATGATGATGATGATGACAAGAATGAGGTCATCAATGATGATGGTTCACTGAAGTTAATGATTATAATGATGATGGAGTGTAAAAAGTTGATAGTATTTATTGAAAGTATTATTTAATATTGAAAGTATTATTTAGTATCGAAAGTATTATTTAGTATCGAAAGTATTATTTAGTATCGAAAGTATTATTTAGTATTGAAAGTATTATTTAGTATCGAAAGTATTATTTAGTATCGAAAGTATTATTTAGTATCGAAAGTATTATTTAGTATCGAAAGTATTATTTAGTATTGAAAGTATTATTTAGTATTGAAAGTATTATTTAGTATCGAAAGTATTATTTAGTATCGAAAGTATTATTTAGTATCGAAAGTATTATTTAGTATTGAAAGTATTATTTAGTATTGAAAGTATTATTTAGTATTGAAAGTATTATTTAGTATTGAAAGTATTATTTAGTATTGAAAGTAGATGACACAACAATGATAAATTCTTGAACATTTCAGAAGTTCTAAAACTCATAAAAAAAATGCATCTATATGCAACCAGTCTAGCTTGAAATGAAAAAAAAACGAGTAAATAAATAAATTAATTTCGTATAATTTTAGAAGTAGAATACATTGAGACACAAATATTTACACTGAAGACTGGACAAATAAGAAATAAGTAAGTCATATATATATATATTGATATTAACATAATCTATACACAAACTTGCAACATAAAAATAATTGTAATCTGTTTGCACATGTAACCCTTTAATATTATATTGTCTTTGTCTCTCTCTCTTTCCTCTCTCTCTCTCTCTCTCTCTCTCTCTCTCTCTCTCATTCAACAAATAGGAATTGAAATGAAATCAGCAGACGTTCTGTAAACAGTGAATAGATCCTTCAATTAATTTTTCTTGTCTTTAAATTAAGCCAAATTAAGCCTACATTTAAATAAATAGAGAGAAAAACAGGCAAAACAGGAAAAAGAACCAGAGAGAGAAAGAGAGAAAGAGAGAGAGAGAGAGAGAAAGAGAAAGAATATCTGTTGCTAGACACATGTGTAAATATCAGTGGCAGCTTGAAGGTATAATTCAATATTGATCATGTTGCCAGATGAGGTGAGGAATAAGGAATCAATCAATCAATCAATCAATCAATCAATCAATCAATCAATCAATCAATCAATCAATCAATCAATCAATCAATCAATCAATCAATCAATCAACCAACAAACCAATTAATAAACCAATCAACCAACCAACAAACCAACCAGTTAATCAACCAACTAACCAATCAATCACTTGATTGATATATTTAACTAAAAAAATTAAAAAATTCAGTAAAAAAATCATTAAATCTAGGGTTTGAGCCATCGAGCAATCAATCTTTACATTAAATAACAAAACAATCAACATAATTCTGCATTAATATTATATTCAAATAAGTATCAGAACAGAACTTTTTAACTTTTTTTGCAGCCTTATGTTAAATATCTTTTTAATGACAAGAGCCAAATCTATGAAAATAAATAAGTTTAAATTTCTAAACCATTTCAAACCACAGAAACACACACAAGCACACAGACACACACGCTGGTTCACACACACACACACACACACACACACACACACACACACACACACACACACACGCTTATCTACAGATACAGACAAGCTTCTTCATGATAAATTAAAATTATTGCATTAATATAATTAATCTACATGCTTCAAAAAGATTATACAAAATTACATACAAAATATCATCAAATAAAAACTAAAATCATTACAGACATTATATATATATATATATATATATATATATATATATATAATGTAAAATGTAAATAGACAAAGTCTAGACATATAAGACATAAAACTGTATACAAGAGACAGACATATAACTGATATGGAAAGTAGACAGATATATAACATGAAAAATGTGTATAACAGACAACACGTCTAGACACGCATATATAACATAAGAATGTATAAAACTTAATACATAATAATACAATTGAACCAACAAGTCAATTGGAGAATTAACAAGTCTATCTCAAGCGTTAACATTTTCGTTGATGCATTCATCATTACAAAAAAAAATATAACTAACCACAACAGACAAGAAGAGGAGTGTTCAACACTACACTACAATAAAACATTGGCATGAAGCACACACTCGCACGCACACACAGACACGCACACATAGGCAAAGATACAAACGCGGACCCACAGGCATACACATGTTGACATAACATTTTATATAGTATTCAATAGCCAGCAGTGCACAACAATGATATAAAAATTAACATCCTCAATTAATGATTTATTTGTTAGTTAATTGATTGATTAATTAATTAATATCAACATTAATAAGCCTTTGCCCACCACAATAAAATTATACACAACATAAGAATGTGAATAGACAACGTCTAGACATGTATAACAGACACCGTCTAGACACACATATAACATACAAACATATAAAACAGACATAGTCTGAACAAATACATGTATTTAACATAAACAACTTAAAAGACAGCAAGAAAAGACAGCTCAATAAGATTTTACACAATTTTTCCAAATTATTTTTTACTTAAAAAATTATCATTGAAGTTAGTAGATATCATTGAAACTGTTATTAAAATTATGTTAAATGGTTAAGTTGCTGAGCTCTGATGTCGCAGTGTATGGTTTTAAATGCAAACAGTTTTTTTATTAATTTGCATTTGCATACATTGTGCAACTATTGTTATCATACTGGAAAATACTAAAGATATAATAAAAAAAAACAACTTTATAACATAAGGCGAAAAAAATAATTCACATAAAAAATAATTACAGAAAAATATTTAAAAAATAGTATGTGATTGATAGATGAAGAGGATTGATTAATTAACCTCTCAAAGGATGAATAAATGAATGACTGATTGAATGGTTGATTGATCAAATTAAGTAATGATAAAAAAAGCAGAAGTTGCAAAAACAACAAATAACGTTAACTACAATAATAATAATATCAATGGCAACAACAACAATAACGAATCAATAAATAGCAACCATCAAATATTCAACTAATAAATATTTTTGATCAAATATATTAACTTTCAACTTTCTAAATCTATAATATAATAATTATAGTATAGCCATATTTACCAATGACGCCAAAAGATGTCAATCATAATTTAATAAGCAAACAAGCCAGACAGATAACAATACACAAGAAAAAAACCAACTGATTATTATTAATAGATATGATTCTTAAAGTAATTTTTACATGTTTTTAACTAAAATTTAATTTTGAAGGTCAAACATAAAAGTAAATAAATAATAAATATAAAAACAAGTAATAATAAATAAAAATAAACACATTAGATCAGGGGTGGGCAAACTACGCGGCCCGCAAGGCCTTGTATGCCAAAAAAAGGTCGCCAGTCAAACATAATGGCCAGAAAAAAAAGGAGCCACAAGTCTTAAAAAAATTTTTTCCCCGCCCGAGTCGAAAAAATTTGCTATTTAAATACAATGGTAAAATAGTCCTCAATGAGGCCCTCACAGCAAAAAGTTCGCCCACCAATGCATTGGATAATGAAGATAAACAGAATATATAATTAAATTAATTAACTCAATTTGAAATATAAATTTTAATTTACTGTATCAGACAAGTCAAAAGGTAATAGTAAGTTTATATATATATATATAAACTTTATATTTATTATTTAATTAATACTTACAAAATTAATTAATGACTGTTAATAATTATTTTGATAATCATGAATCAGCTAACTGTTTGTAAGTTTGTTATATATTATACAGTGATTTATTTAAAATTTAATTTTGATTAAACTTCTCAAAAAAGAAAAAGATTTAGCAATTTGAGTGATTAGCAATAAAAGCTAGGACTGTACCAAAATTAAGCTTTTTTTCATATTTCGCAAAAATTTGGCTTCTAAAAAATTTGGCTGAAGCCAAATTTGGATCGAATTTAATTTTATTTCTAATTTTCACCTAAATTTCGGCAAGAATTTAACACCAGTTATAAAAAATTTTAACAATTTCTGTAACATCAATGCAAAAAAAGATTTTCTGTATTATATAGTTAGCACAGACAAGGTAAATAATATATAACCAGATATCGAAAGGATTCTTGTTTATTATTTTTATTTTATTAGTAAGTAAATGATTCACAAATGAGAATTTTAAATTCAGTCTAATTCTGCTTCGGGCAAATTTTCAAAAATCGCATTCAGTGCAGCTCTAATAAAATGTTACTTTACTTTTTTAAATGGAAACAAAAACCAAATTAATAGGAAGTAGGTAAAGAAAATAATAGAAATAATTATTTATAAGTTAATTAATCATTTAATTTTTAATGAATAAAAACTGAAATTTAATTTATCAGACAACATTCATATATATATAATTTACATAACTATTATAATAATAGTAATAAAAATAATAATAAAAGTATTATTATTGTACTATTTATTAATTTATTTTTTTAGTTAATTAAATAAATTGAAAGATTAAAAACTAAGTAACACAAATTATTTGATCCATAAGAGTCCCATTCAAGGTTAATATAACACAATTATTACATCTATAATTAAAAATTATCAAAATACAAATTGTTTTAATATAATATAAAATTTATATAAAATTAAAATGATGTTAAAAAAGCAATGAAAGCAGCATGCTTAACCCAAAAAATCACCATGACATGAAGATGAAAAGTAAAATATCCTAAATTAATTATTAAAGCAAGAAAAGAACAATTTTTTTAAACAATATTAAAACTAACAAAATATTAACTGAATATAATTAATAAATAAATTGATTCATTTTTTGATGAGTTTTCAATTGAAAAAAGTAAATAAAAGTAAGCCAAACGATCACACTTACTTTCAGCGTAAAACCTTGGCCCAGACAATAATGGCTGGCTATGTCTGAAATTCAAAAAAAATTCAAAACCGCTACTAAGTATCCATTTTTTTTATAATTTAGGTTAGGCAGAATGGATATTTTTACAAAAATAAACTAAAAAAAAACAAATAAGTCGTTTGAAATTAAATATTTGTTGATTCGGAGAGCAAGCCAGACATACACGCGCATTCATTTGAAAAAAGTTTTTTTAAAAGTTCATTTTATATGTCCTTACGGCTTAGACTCTAAAACGCTAACCTAACTAAGCTTAATTTAATGTTTAATCTAATCAAAATTGTAACAATAATCTAGGTTATATAAATAAATAAATTTTATTTTAAAAAGAATTTTAAATTCATCTCAATATATAAATAAATCAATCTATCTTCCGATCAATTAGATTAGCGAGTTAGACAGACGATGATGAACAAACAAATAAGAAAACTCGCGTAGAACCACGTTGATGATAATGGCTTGAGGGTCGTGTTTATATAGATCAGTGAAACATTTCATACACATTTCTATATTATAACATATTGTAATATAATATAATAGGTCATTCATACATACAAACACTTATATAAAGGTATATACAAACATATATACAAACATATATACATACATCCATACATTCATTCTTATACAAATATAGAATACACACACATATAAAACGCGTATATACGTATATTATAGTATAGAGACATAATTGTAGTTATACTACCTGTCTAGACGTCTAGACGACAATCAAAAGCCATCAATTATAAATTAAATATTATTTAATATTTTTTAATTTAGGATTTAATATAAACGAGAATAAAAGATCGGCCGCATACGTAAAAATAAAAGTAAATAAATACGTTTGGAAATTGGGTTAGTTATTATTATTCGTTGCTCAGCGGAATTCGGTCGTTCGTTTTTATAAATGTTTCAATCATCATTTTTTTAATGACAATTATAATAGGAGCATTAAAATAATTTTTGTTTTTAGCAGCTGTTAAATATTTTAGCAGAATTGAAATAAAAATATTACGAAAATCATAGAAATAAAAATTTCGTATCAATGTTTACAAGGTTGCGCTGCATTGCAAGCGGGCTAGTTAGTGTCTGGATATATTGACCGACTTTTTAAAAATATTTCTTTGGAAATTCCCAAAGATAACAAATTACGCAATGGTAAACCGTTGCATCGGATTTTCAAACGTAAATTTTTCAATATTTAAGCAACAATTTAGGATAATTCTATAACGAATAGTTTGAAAAAGTATTTTTTAACATTATTTTTTGTTTATCAATTCTCATTTGTGCCATTTTGAAGTGATGTAAGTTGGTCCACATTTCACATTGGAACCATCGGAACAGCGCCTTAGAAATATAAAAATTCGTTAAGAAGTGTCGTGGCGATGAACTTTAAAAGTAAATAATAAAAAAGTCGCTCATCTTTGCTCAAATTCATGAATATATCAATTATTACTTCAAAGACGTGCCTGTTTGTGATACTTTTTTACTCGTGTAGGTAGCTAATATCGCTCAAGTTTACGAATAAAAATCGATCGAATTTCACGTAAACAAATAATTTACGAGTTCATTTACATAGCACAAGCGTGGAATTGTTGTTTTTCTGCAGACCAGAAACCAGATTAAATGAAGTTTTATCCATAAGTCAGATAGCGAAACATTAGCATGATTTTATTTCGACAACTGTCCCCAACAGTGAATTAGTGACTAGCTGTGTTGCTTATTTATGTTACATTGTTGTTTTTTTGTCTTATCCTTTTCAGGACATTGGCGACCATGGACTTTTAATTTTTTTTAGTAGTTGTCGATGCTTTTCTTGACAAAGGTTGTGGACTGTAGGTTTCCGTTACTTGCTGTCAACCGCATCAGTATACGCTGAGTATATGCTAGCCACTGAGATGCTTTGACTGTTTTAATTAATCATTTTCTCAACTAATGCTACAATGTTTGTTATGATTCGCTGTAAATAAAAATTTCAACTAGTTACTTATAGATTGTTCAACATTATCTAATTGACTTAAGATTACAATTACATGCTACAGGCACATTACCATTGGATCACTTTTCAAGTGACTTCTTGATTTTAGGCACCATTTTTGGAAAAAAAACAAAATGAATGGAAGAAAATAATTTTATTAAAATTAACAGCATTAAATGTGGTCGACAATTTAAATGATACACAATCTTCAAAATCTCAAGTACATCAACATGAATGAGTTTATTCAATATCATGCTTGGTGGTCCAGAGAATGCAGGCAACAATATAAACATTTATACATTCATAACATAACAACGTAACATAACATAACATTAACGTAACATAACATGACATGACATGACATTAGGTGGGTGAATATAGCACAACATAGTATAAAAAAGAAATACTACGAATTAATAGTAACATTCATATTGTTCAATGTCTCACATTACGATATAACAATATAATCCGCATAAGTGTATGTTTGTGTGTGTTTGTTTTCTGACAATAAAAAAATCTATGATTCATCTTCATACGAAGAGATGAATTTTTTTACATTGATAAGACAACCTGGTTCTGCAAAAAAACAAAATTTTCTCATGTAATAACGTGAATTGCATACACTCAAGATTTATTTGACGTAGACGTTCAGGACGTTAAACATAACAGGCTCTGTCAGATGAATCGGAAAATGACATTAACCACAAATAAATTTTTCTTCGAAGATAAAAATATAAATTGAAAAAAGTGGAAAAATAAACTAAACAATTCACATCAATGTGTTTTATGATATGATTGGAACTTGGAATGAAATCAAAATTCACAATGCATACTTATAACATCGGGTGGTGAAAAACTGACAAAGTTTCTTTAAAACGATAGCTAATGACGCCCGAAACAAAAAAGGGCCCACAAATAAATTACATTAAAAAAATAGACAATTAAATGATAAGCTAACAATAAAAATAAGTTAATAATAATAATTGTAATAAATTTGGATAATCAACAAGTTTACAATTGTTATGATAATTATCCTGGCGTCATAAGCAAACAAATGCTTTCAACAAAATAAACACACACTCACACGCGCGCGTATACACACACGTATATATATATATATATATATATATATATATATATATATATATACATTGTATATATTAAAACAAAGTTTGATAGACATTATATATGAAAGTTACAAGTTTGATTTCTGAAGCACTGGTCTTAAATATCTGAATGATTCATGAACCTGGATGTGGTTGTTATTGATATATTGGAATCAATTTTATAAGAATCCAAAGCGTTTACTATTCATGTGTGTAGGGCATCTTTTAGGTAATAAGTGAGTAAGTATTGGAAAGTTACGATATGTTTATGGCAATATAATAAACAAAATAAGCAACATTAACCGTGGATTTGTTGAGAGGCGAGTTGAGAGCATATTCGTACAACCTCTGGTAAACATTCCCATCATAGCACCCTAGAGCGCTGCCCAGTAAACGGTCAGGAAAGTCAAATGCATCCACCAATGGAAGGACATTTGGTCTAATGTTCAGCAACAATGCCTCAATACGTTCTATGCAGATGTTTATTTGATCTGTCGTTATCCCACAGGACTAAGAGTGGATGAGTTAGGTGGGATTTATTACTCAAATCCAATATCAAATAATCTTTTCATAAAACAGTTCAAAACAAATTTTAAATCATCTCTACCTATGAAAACATAATCAAAAAGTTTGTCTGTCTGTTATTTTTGAATGCATTTTGGAAAAAAGGGTTCCTACAGCGGTAAAATGCTATTTTAATGCCTATGTATGTCATCAGAATAATTACAAACGTATCATTTTAAATCTACAGAGCAATCAAGCAAACAGAAACAAATCCACCTATGACCAACCAAAATGAAAAAGCAAAAATTGAAAGATAAAATGAAAAATAAATTGCAAAGACAAACATGACAGAGCATGAGAATTTAAGTTGTAAAATATTTAAATAACGATGTATTGAATTGAATTGATTGACTGCATTTGGCAAAATTTCAAATTCGATAATAAAAATCATAAAACGTAAACATCAAAAAACATAACTTTACGAACTGACAAACAAAACAACGCGGACAACCTCAATGAACTCGACGGCATGGTCGACGATGGACTTGAGGGCATAGAGTTCAAACAACTGACCCAACACTGTGTACACACCTGCATCTTCTTGTCGGACTGTTTCAAGTTGTTCGTGCACTGAACTGGTCAGGTATACGTGTGAGTGGGCCTGGTAATGTCGTTGTTTGTAGTTGTTGCTGTTGGTAATGTTAAGGTTTAAATACTGTGTACATATGAATTTGTGCATCTGGCCACATACACAACGTATTAATTCGAATAGCGAGAATGCTATAGGAATACCGAAAAAGCTTGAACGTTCTATCATGCTTAAATGTTCTATCACGCTTAAAATATATAATTTTTTTGGTTTTGAACTCAAGCAACATGGCAATGATTTACGTACAATCTGTTAGAAAAATTAAACGGGGAATAGATAGATAGATAGAGAGAGATAGGAGGGGGGAGAGTGAGATAGAAAGAGAGAGAGAGAACAGATTTAGTTATTTTTGCCCGGTCAATAAATGCATTTTCATTGACGTTTTAAAAATAACTTCACATTTTATTAGTATTTTGCTAGTTGTTTTTGTAACAATTAGAAATTAACAAACAATTAAAAATGTTTTAAATACTTGAAACTCCAGAAAAAAAACAAACAGTTTTTCAAAAAGAAAACAAAACAGCATAGAGTAAATTTTTATGGTGGAACCTTGGCAAGAGTACATTACTGTTCAATACCATATTCAGTTTCTAATAAAGGAAATACATCTAGCATCTTAGAATCATTGAGCTTCATTATTCATTTTTGTTCTAATTCATAAATCTGCAGCAGCAACAACTTCGTCCTCTGGGTGGAGACAGCTAATAAAAAATTAATTTTTTTTTGATCGCCTCCGAGCTATTCATCTTCTTTTTAACTGATTTGCGAAACGAAACATTTATGAAAGCGACTAAACAATAGATGAATAACACCACAGACGAAAAGATAGAAGAAAGATAATAACGATAACAGCCTTTATAATAATAATAATCTTAACCACAACACGAATCAATATGATGACGTCACAGACAGCCGTTGTTGAAGGCAAGACGGTGATTCAATTGAACAAGTGATCAATGTGATGCTGCGTTAGTAGAATTTGTCAGGAGGTTACTATGAGTTTGTTGACAGTGAGTCATATGCAAATGCATACACACGCAGCAAAACCATCTTTTCGTGTTATTACGTCTAGGGTTCATAAAACGTTATTTATAAACGTCCACATCTGTTCCCTCATCATAAACTGTTCTTTCAATAAAAAGTTAAATTGTTCAGACGAATATAAGAATTGAACTATATCGCAATGAAGGAATAAGTAGATGACATTTTGAACCATAATTAGAAGAAAAGCTTTTTCTTCTCTTTACAATCACGAAAGTTTAAAAAACTTAACAAGTCAGATTCTATAAGCAGGAAAAATCATTGAAAACATAAATAGATTAAGTAGATCTAAGGCTTTCACGGTTTAACTATAATTAGAAAAAGGATACATAAAGTTTATTTGATAAAAGTGATAGCTTGATGACGTGAACTTTTCAAATGAAACAATTTTTTTACTCGTCTGAAAGATAAACATTTTAAACAACTAACTCCAAATAAATTATTTTTGACTTTCGGTTAAAATTTGAACAAAAAAGAGGGCCCAAATTTTTTTTTATTTAAAAATAAAAATTAAACAACTTGAATTCGAGCAGACAGTCTATCCATCTGTCTATCCATCCAGCCACCCAACAGTTTATCCATCTATATATCCATACATTTATCTATCCAACTAACTATCCATCCATCCATATATCCATCTAGTGCTATGTTAAAGAATGAAAATTTTAATAATAACAATTTAAAGAGTAGTGCAAGACATTTGTGAGTTACAATAATCCCATACAAACATGTGGCACTTGTTTGTATGGATTGAGAGCAATAATCATAAAACGAACGAAGAAGAATAACAATGAATGATAATAAATATTAAAAATAATAATTAACGCACACGCACACACACACACACACCACACACACACACACACACACGATTGACAACACTCGTTCACTGGCTTGCTGATAACAAACATATGAAAATTAGGTTAAAAAAATACTCTCTACGACAATGCTTGAGTGAGAAAAAACTTCTTCAACTTTAACGCCAAATATAACGCTATCCGCGATTGAAAGTTTGAAACACTTTATGAAACACTTTAGATAAGTTAAAAATCATTCATTCTTTCATTTACTTTCCCACTCACTCACTCACTCACTCACTCACTCACTCACTCACTCACTCACTCACTCACTCACTCACTCACTTACTCACTCACTCACTCACTCACTCACTTATTCCCTCACTCACAAAATAAATTACTGAATTCATTTATGAATTTATCAATCAATCAGTTTTTTATTCATCCGCTCAATTATACAATTTCAGTTTCCATTCGTATATCTTAGGTGGATCCATCTCTTCAATCGGTCACGTATTATAATAATAAATAACTCAAAAGTTCATTCGTTCGTTCGTTCATTCATTCATTCATTTATTCATTCGTTCGTGAATTTTTATAATGTTTACGAAAGCCACTGACGGCATTCATTCACTGTATCAAGTGACTTTTGAAGTTTTTATCGAACGTTTCGAATTCGTCTAACTCGCTCACTCAATCATCTATTTATTCATTCATTCACTCCTTCATTCATTCATTCAGTCAGTCATTTAACCTATTTACAGTACACACACTCACACACGCACTTTATGCATACAAACAACCACACACACACATAAACAATCATACACACGAGATTTTTTTTCTGACATTTTTTTTATGAACGGCACGTACTCGCAGTGGCAACAATTGTTTATTCGAATTCGATTACGAAGCATCAATCCGATCTTCATTGGCTGCTTAGGTTTTGTTTTTAATTTAAAAAAATTATTTGCTCGTGGTTGATTCATAACAAATTATTTGTCGGTACATTGATAACAAAATTATCTGTTGATAACATTGATAATAAAAAAACGTTGATAAAAGAAATTCATTGCCAGTGCATTCACTCTCCCTCATTCACTCTCACTCGTTCACTTTCACTCATTCACTCTCCTCTTCACATCATCAGTTCATCTGTATCCCCTCTCACTCATTCACTCTCACTCATTCACTCCACTCATCACATCATCAACTAATGATGAACTTTCCTCATTCGCAGTTTTTAAAGCAAAATAACTTTTAAATGATCCGATTTTCAAAACACGTCCACAAACTCACCCACTACTAAACAGCCAAACGCTGAACTCGTTTGAAACATCGTGTCCGATTAATCGGTTGATGATTAACTACATAAACCAATAAACTCCACCACACACAAACATAGCAAAAAACCGGGCTAAAAATCTATTCAGTAGTTCATTTATTAGAGCAGATGAACTCAAGAACGACAAACAAGTAGGTAGAGATAGATGAACCAATTTGAACATCAACCAACATCATTTAACATTCTATGAACTATATCATTGCGATAACTGAAGATAACTGTATTTTTGTATTTGCTTATCAGTATGTATGTATGTGTGTGGTGCGTGTGCGTGCGTATGTGTGTGTGTGTGTGCAGTTCTATAATTAAGATAATTGTATAATGTACAAAACACAAGACAAAATAGTAGTGCGTACCTAGAAGGGAATGCAAACAAAGTTAACACAGGTGATGATTGCACGGGTATATAATTAAGGCCAATTGTTTGGCCTAGAAACTGAATAAATAATCAGGTAAATGCTTAAAAAAGTAAGTCAATTTATACAAAATAAACTAAAATTCAGCGCGTGCATGGAGCTGATGAAGTATATATACACCACCAAAATAAACTGAGTTAAGCGCTAACATATGAGGAGGCACAGGTTGGAAGCTTTGTTAGTTCATTGTTTGTTATAAGTGAGTGAACTTGGAAATTACGTAAAAACAAAATGATGATTTCTTGTAACCAACAACTGAACTTTATTTAATGACATCAACCAAATTCAGTTAAAGTGGCGATATTGTTAAATGTCTTCTAAATATTTTTGATCATCGTATCGTAAAAATGAATTTGAATATTAGACTAAATAAGAAAACTACACCCAGCGTCACGTAATGTATACTATTAATATACTGTAGCTTTCTTTAATCTCAACTCAACTGGAAGAAACAATGTTTTATCGTTCAACTTAATTCAATTTCTAAGAAATCACCTAAATTAACTAGCCGGTAAATCTAATTTGGATTTAAAAATGCATGCAGAAAGACTAAATTTTACATGTTTTACTCCATTCACTCTTCAAGCAGTGATGAACTGTGCTGCCTCCACTGCTACAAATGCATGCACTCCTACGTGACATTACTAATAATATGAATCAAGAAAACTGAAGTTGACGGTTGAGCACATTCCAGTCAAGATTGATAGCCCAACTACAGAGAAATAACTTTTTTCCCGAGATAAAGGCATTTTTATCCCAAAAATTTTAATTAAGAATTTAACTAACTTGAGATCGACTCACTCCATTTATTTAATGCCAATGTTTCGTACATGCTGCCTTACAACTTTATATAACTAATATCTGCCATATAAATCATAAAGATAGAAGAATGAATAATAATAATAATAATAAATTATTGTGAAAAAACAAATTCAGCTAGTAAACAAAGGTATGATGACGTGATCGAAAAAATAAATTAACGCATACAAATTAGTTTCAGGTCTGTCTAGTCTGCTATAAACAAGCGAACAGGTCGGGTCATTGGACTCTACTGAATGTTTACTATTGTTCACCGCTGTTCACACAACCAAATACACAATGTTTTTAACAGTGTTCACTTTCTATGTTCTACGTTCGTTAATCGTTCATACATCACTTACAAACCGGTGCACACATATGTGTGCGAGAGTAAATGTATGAATTGTTTATAAAGATGAGTGTGCGTGTGGTTGCGCGCGCGTGTGTATGTGTGTAGATGTATTGAGAAATAGAAAGTATTTTGATGCATTGCTCCATCAAAAATTTTAAGTGGATGGCTGTTTGTTGAGCATAAAATTGTTTGAATGCCTGCCTTACATATTTCTCTAGCTACAAAGCGGCTTGCTATGCGATACATGTTACATGTACTTAAATATATATGCTTTGTTGTAACGTTGGCACTATACAAACAAATCGAAACATGAGCATTTGAGGTTGGTTTCACTATGCATCTATTTATAGACTTGTTTGTCTACGGATGAGCTATGTGAAACATGTTTTGAAAAATGGGCCAATGATGACTGATAACATAAATGCATTCCTGATTGAACTTCACTAATCATACATAGATTTTCAAAAAGTCAAAAAATCTAAAAACTTTGGACCACAAAGTAAGGACATATTTGTTCACGTGCTTTTGGCTTTTATATAAACCGAAACATGAAAATAACAGAACATTGATGTCAGAATTTTAACAGAAAATAAAAATATATCTAAAAAGTTATAAATATGTGGAGTTTAACAAAAACAGTAGAATGAAAAACATTCACAACCACATAAAAATTACATGAAGCAAGCTAAAGTTAAAATATGCAAATGATGTCTTAAAATATGCAAGTAAATGTTAAAATATGCAAATTAATGTGACCTTAGCAGCCCTGATGAGATAGCAAGCTGAATAGTTCCAAGCTTCATGATGTGGGCGTCCAGTGGCCAACAACCCATCCAATTTCTTTGAGGCTTTCTCGATGCACCTGCGTGTGTGTGTGTGTTTGTGTGTGTGTGTGTGTGTGTACGTACGTATGCAAGTATTTGTGTGTGTGTGTGCGTGTGTGTATTTAAACGTTGGCGTTGGTATCTTTCGAATGTAGACACGTTGCCATCTAAAACACATATGCGTGATAAATTGAAATTGATAACATTCAGGTAAATAAAGAAATGATGCCTGACAATCGATTACATATGCCAGTAGCGTTTAAATTATAACTACAGGAAACAATTACATTTGAAGTTAAAAAACACCTCGTTCAGTGTTGACTCATCATTTTATTGTCACACCAAAAATCACCACGACTTTGAAGATGGTGATTGTGATAATGATGACGATGATTTTTGTTGCAGATGACGATGGGGAGATTGTGATGGTGGTTTTGAAGATGGTGATTTTAGAGAGAGTGACTTTGGAGATGGTGATTTCTGGAGAGGGTGATTTTGAAAATGGTGATCGGGACAATGACGATGATCGCGATGAGGAATGAACTAGTTTCTGGCTGACATTGATTGACAAGCTGACTGACAATAGTTGCCTCTTACTTTTCAAACTTTGAAATGATACCATAAAAAAAGATGCATAGTTTTTTTTTCTTATAAAAAAAAAGTTTTAAAGTTCATTTAAAAAAAAAGCAAACTGAGAATTTGAAGTTTAAAAACCGATGAAAATCTATAGAATGATTGTATGTAAATAAACGTGCAATGTGCGTATGAAAAGCTCGAACGTTCATTAATGTTTACAACTTTCGTTTACATTTCTTCAATTGTTCACATCTACGTTCATTAATTTTTGTTTGCGAGTGTTCGTCCAATTATATTCTACTTGTTTGTTTATTCATTTATGTTTGTATATTAAATTTTCAAGTTTGCAAATCAGAATGTATGTGTATTAAGTTAGTATGTTTATTTTTTGTTTGTTCGAATTCATGTTTGTGTATGTAGGATAAAAGAATTGCCTGTTTACTTGCAATAATTCGTTTCAAATGTAATATTTTATTTGGATGGTGGAGTTCACCCACCCACTAACCAACCATCCAAGAGAACAATCAGTCGACTAACCAGTCAATCGAGCAACCAGCTAACAAACTAAAAAACCAACCAAACAGTCAACAAACCACAAAACTAACATAAGAGCTCTCCTTTCAAAAGCTTCGACAATCTCTACAAATGACAATGGAAAGTGAAACCTCGGTCTTTCCGAGTGAAGGTGACGAAAGATATATTTAGAACTTTGGTTATCTGGTAACGATGACGCAGACGATGACAGTAACGCAGCTTGGTAAACTTTTAAAAGGTATCTGTGAAAAGAGATACATTAAATGGCACACTATAAAAAAAGATAACTAATCCAATTGTTTCACCTATTGAAAATTATGCTGTGAATTTTTAAAGCAGTTTAAAATTTTTAAGGTAGTTTTAAATTTGTGAAAAAGTTATCTACACTCGCGTTTTAACTGAAAATGATTAAAATATAGTCAAGATGAAAATTCTAAAACATTGGTCAAAAATAATACAGGACATAACCACATAAGACATAAGAATAAATACATTTTTACGAAATAAAACAACATTTATGTAGAAACATACAAACACACATCTTTTCAAAACACACATAACTCTACAAAAACTTTAAAAAAAATGTCATAAAACGCACACACATCCTTGAAAAAAACACATTCCTAGACAACAGACACATCCCTAAAAAACACACACAACTGCACTTGAAAAGAACAGACGCACATCAGACAAGCCACCCCCAACCTGGCCGTTTGCAGATAGAGAACAGGGTGAACACCTTCATAGGTACACGCCGCGACAACTTCGGTGTATATCTTGGGAATGCCACTGGCGGCACTGTAGCCATGCCCGCCACAAATCAGACGACACCTCTCGATGCCAACCACCGCCTCGTCCAGCGTCAGGGCTTTCAAACCGGCTGACAGTGCATGCAACTGGTGCGTGGGTGAATGAATGGCTAGATGAAATGAACAATTAGCTGATGAATTCATTCATTCATTAAATTCATTCATATGTTCGTTCGTTCATTCGTTCATTCATTCATTCATTCATTCATTCATTCATTCATTCATAGGAAGCATATGGATTGATAGACTAGATTGGTGGCTGAATGGTTCGATGGATGTATCGATAGAATAATTAAGTTACTATTACACACTTACATAGAAGTGTTACAGTATATGAGTGAATATAAAAACAGAATGGCTAGATGACTGCCAATGCACACCACCAAACATTGAAACCAATTAAAGAAAGAATAACTAACTAACTGAATTTAAAGTCAAAAGTACAAAAGCCGACAAAAAAAAATGATCAGACATGATTGAAAACGCAACACGTAGAAGCACATAGATAGAAGGATAGCGTTGATAGCCTCACACCTCAGGCAAGTCACTGAGGTCTCCCTTCTGAATATCGTAGTTCATGGTGAAGTAGAGCTCTCTAAGTTTGTTGCCAGCAATGTAGAAGATGTAGGAGGCTGCAAGTTCAGTGAAGAGGATGTGCTGCTGGGCCTGGTACTCTATGATGTGTGGTTCTTCTTGTCTGCGTGCGTGCGCGTGTGTGTGTATGTTCGTGTATGTGTATGTATGTGTGCGTGTATGTGCATGGTTATGTTTGTCTGTGTGTGCGTGTTCATATTTTGCGTGCATATGTGTGTGCGCGGTCGTATTAATAAATGAACAATTACAAGTGCACGCAAGAGCACAGACACAAATACATACAGAGACAAACACATACAGAGACAAACACAGACTTAAAAATAAAAGCAGATTATACTGACCCAGGAGCGTACTCAGATTGTCGCCTGACGCAACTGTACCTGGCTGCAATGGTGACCGCCTGGGCTAATCCCTGCCCTGCCTGGTTGAAAACCAGCATGGCCCTCACAAACACCATCGACCCATACTTCAACTTCTCCAGCTTCTTCTCTTTCTGATATGTTCCATCCCTGGTCACCTGAACGAGTGAGTGAGTGAAAAAGTGAGTGAAAAAGTGAGTGAATGAGTGAGTGAGTGAGTGAGTGAGTGAGTGAATAGATGGATAAACGAGTGAATGGATGGAAAGATGTACAAGTTGGTGAATGAGTGGATGGATGAATTAGTGAATGAGAAAATAAATTAATAAATAGATGTCTGAAAGTCTGTTGAGAATGATGAGAAGTAATACAGAGCACGCATTCCCGCTAATCATCCATCTTCGCTATTAATATTTAGTTATCTTCCTACCTAGTTCATTGATTCAACAGAGTTAGTTATGAAGCTTCCCCTCAAAACGAGCTCTTGGTTCATTCCCAAGAAATAATAGTCCAGCACCAACAATAAACGTTCAATCAAAAAAAGTAAAAAAAAACCTTTGCACTCTTCATCAACATGTTCCTTCTTGGAATCCTAAACTGATCAAATTTCACGAATCCGTTGTCCATACCGTGGAAGCCAAGTTTCGTCCCTATGTCCCCAATCGTTAATCCTGTCGTTGTTGTTTGGTTGTTTGTAACATCGTCGAGGATGTTGTGTTGTTTCAACACATGATTTTTTTCATTGTTGCTGTTTATATTGATGCTAACAATATTGTTAACATCATCACTACCGTCCCGATAACGCCAACCTAATCACAACAAGAAAAAACAATTACGCCAACATCATCACAACATTAACAATGACAGCAACAACACTTCCACCAAACAAATAAAAAAAACATCAACAACAACAGCAACAACATCAGTAGCAACGAAATATTTTATCTTTTATCTTTTTTAGGGCCCTTTTTCATGTTTCTTGAAAAACAAAAACAAAATAAAAAAAATTGTCGGTGGCAAAACGACATTCAAAGACCACCTTTCAAGGGTTCGTGCGTCTCAAAATCTCTGAGTTGAACGATGAAGGGGTGGATGCCTTCGTTCCGCCCGTTTGTAATCAACGAGGCCATGACTATCGCGCAGTTGCACGTCTTGCCCACTGCAGTAGTGTGATGTGATCGCGAAATGTAATTGATGTGATCGCGAAATGTAATATATGTGATGTAATGTATGGTCATTGAAATGATGAAATGTAATGTGATTGATGTGATGTAATGTGATTGAGGATGTTATGTAATGTGATCAAGGATGTAATGTAATGTGATTGATGTGATGTAATGTAATGTGGTTGAGGATGTTATATAAAGTGGTTGGTGTGACATAATGCGGTAAACATTATGATGATGATGCAAAGGATAATGTCGCCTATAGCAAAGTTAATAATAATTATAATTACAATAATAATAATATAATAATAATTATTATTATTATTGCTGTTACAAATATGATTAATATAGCATTAAAATAGATCGTAACATGTGTCGATGATGATGTGAGTAAACTGAACTGGCTGAGTGCGTTAGGTGCATTCGGTGCATTGTATGAGTGAACGAACGAATGAATGTGTGTGTGTGTGTGCGCGTGTCTGTATGTATGTGTGTGGGTGTCTGCGTGCGCCTGTATGTATGCTTAAACCAAAAAGAATGAAACAAAACAAAAATAAATTCAAACGATGAAAGTGGTGACTATGAGGATGAAGACGATGATAACTAACATCACAATGACGATGATGGAGGTTATAGTAATGGGCATGATTAGGATTGCGACGACGACGATGATGACGACGGTGATGAAAAAGAAGAAAACATCTCCAAAAGATGCAAATCCTAAAAAACCTGCCAGATGAAACTGTCAGAAAGATTGAAATTTGACAAGGTCGATCCGATCTCTAAGTATTACGACTGTCGATTTGGCGTTCAGATTATTGCTCTGAAAGAAGCTCAATAAGAAAAAAACGTTTTAGTCATAAACGGCTCTCCTCATCAAAATCCAACAGTTAAAATTTCATATGCACCCACCCCAGATATTTGCTGGTTCATCCGCCGAACCAACAATGCGTACGCGGTTTCTATAAGCGAATGATAGTTTCCTTTAATTCAGTTTTTAATTTTTTTTTTAATTTTTTGGACCAGGTTCTGACAATTTTGTCCGGCGTTTTGTCAGTAATGACTTTCTGTTCGACACACAATGTTTGTTTTTACATGCTGCTACTACTTCTGCAGGTGTCTTGAGACCACAGGAATATATACTGTTTGGCACTTCATAACTACACACTACTACTACTACTACTACTACTACTACTACTACTACTACTACTACTACTACTGATAATAATAATAATAATGATGGTAAAGATGATGACGATGACGATGATGAAAAAGAGACGAAAAGGATGACTGATTAATTTTGACCATAGTGATGATGATAGTTAAAAAAAATGACATGTCTAGCGCCTGAAACCGCAACAACAACAAAAAACAACAACAACAACAATAATAATAATAACAACACAAATAATAATAACGATAATAGTAATAATAATAATAACAACAACCACAAAAATAATTAAAACAAAGTAATAATAATTTCGAAGTGAATAGATAGCTAGTGCAAATTTATTGATAAATGAACAATATCGCGTCATTAACTCACCGACTCACTCTCCCTCTCTCTCTCTCCCCCTCCCTCTCTCTCTCTCTCTATCACTATCTATCTCTATCACTAACTTACTCATATTCAGGCAGACAGCAAGCAACAACAATAACGATTTATTAAACTATAAAAAATAATTACCCAATAATAACGATGATGAAAACGACCATGACGATAATGATGGAGATGATGATGATAACGATGATAAATACGGTGAAGGCGGTGACGATGATAATACAGAAGCGAATACAATACACAAGTGATAACAACAGCAGTCGGAAACATCAACAATAAAACACCATCAACAATAGTAATAATGTACACTCTTTAATTAACTTTAAATTAAGTTAATAAGTAACTACATTACGGTTCGAAATTTTGAAAAAGTGAATCAGAAATTGATCAAAGTCGAAAACGCTGTTATGTTTTCTAATAATATCATTTATGATCTAATTGCTTTTATTTATTTTATTGGATTTGATTTTTAAATTCTGACTTAATTTAAAGTTAATTAAAGAGTGTACATCAATTCTGACTTAATTTAAAGTTAATTAAAGAGTGTACAATTTAAATTAAATTTCGAACCGTAATGTAGTTACGATTCGAAATATAGAAAAACTGAACCAGAAACTGATCAAAACTGAAAATGCTGTGACATTTCTTAAAAATTGTATCTACGACAGTCTCAACCATAATCGATCTTTATACATAAATAAAAGTAAATCTGTGGATGGTGAAACTATTTTAAATAGTCACAGATTGTTTCTATAGTAGCAAGTAGCATTATGGACAGGGGTGGGCAAACTACGGTCGTCAGCCAGACATTATGAACAAAAAAATGGAGCCACAAATCTTAAAAAATTCTCCCTCAGGTCGAAAAAATTTGCACTTCAAGTACATATGCGGCCCTTCAAAGGTAAAATAGTTCTCAATGCGGCCCTCACAGCAAAAAAGTTTGCCCGCCCCTGATGTAAGACGGACAATTTCATCACAGAATTAATATTAATATTTTTAGTATAAATTCTTTTAAATGCAGTGTAGCATAATTTAGCAAAAAAACCAGAACTTAACTTTTACACTGATTGATTCTAAAACAAATTATTATTATTGTTGTTGTTATATTTAAATTATTATTATTGTTCTTGTTATATATAAATTATTATTTTTATTGTTGCTGTAATAATAGCAATAATAATAATAATAAAGATAGCAATAATAACATATGTAAATTATTATTATTATTCTTAAATATAAATTATTATTATTTTGTTGTTGTTATACATAAATTATTATTATTATTATTGTTGTTGTTATTATATATATATATATAAGGTATTATTATTATTGTTGTATATAAATTATTATTATTATTGTTGTTGTAATATATAAATTATTATTATTATTATTGTTGTATATAAATTATTATTATTATTGTCGTTATTACATATGAATTATTATTATTATTGATGCTATTATTATCCTTAGTGATGTTGCTACTAATGTTTACATAGACCGGAGGTATTTGTTTTGGCGTGTAGTCGAAAAAAAATTTGTGTATGGATGGCTCAGAATAATTTACAAATAATAATAATAGCAATAATAATAATAATAATAATAATAATAATAATAATAATAGCAAATAAAATAATGATAAAAAATGCAATAACAATATCAAACCATTACTTAAAATAGTGTTTAGTAATCAAATTTATGATCTAGATCTACTAAGTAAGATTTCCTCAGCTAAGCTGTTGCCACGAATGACAGAATCGTTTAAACTTTGTTTAGCGATAATATCGCTACTGAAGTTTGAAACTCTAGAGGATGTCGTCGCTAACTTATAAAACGTTCAAGTCATTATCGCCTCAACATTTTTTTTAAATTATAAAATTTAGAAATTGTTTAGAGAAATTGACAGATTAGAGTTTGACTCACCCATATCAATTTGTGTTTGGATATAACTAGATAATGATTCATCTGATACACCCTGATTTACAATAATACGTACTTTATCTAATTATTTTGTTCTTCTCTATCCAACTCACTAATTTTTTCTCTCCAATATGGAATTCAACCAATTAATCACACAGCATATGCGCCATGAGTTTATTAGTGATAAACTTTTGCGCAAGAAGCAATTGAACCGGGTCACCAAGCAACAAAAGCCCGCGACACGACCACAGCAAACGCAACTGCCTGAGCTATCAGGCCAACTGCAATGCTATTTAGTTTTTTCGACTTTGCGACGGATAATGAAAGGGTGATATTTTATCGAGACAGCTGGTGACAATAACGAATATGAGTGAATGATAAGCAAAATGATGACAAAAATGATGATATAACGAAAAATGATGGTGATAAAAATATGACAATAATAAAGATGCAGATGAAGATGATGAAAAGGATGATGATGAAGATGATGGTGATGACCACGACAATGATGACGATAACAATTATGATAACAATTATGATAACGGTGATCACGGCGCCAAACGATCAACCCATTATCACATCTTCACTAAATTATTCCACCATTCTAGTATATCATCAAATCAAATCGGTATAACACTCATGACAACACTCATCATTCAAAAAAACGTCACGTCACACCATCACACCAACATCACACCAACATCACATCATGACCAACATCCCCCTGGCCACCATTTGATTGACGTCAGAGTGGGTGAGTGAATGATGAACTCATCTGTTGACGGATCGAACGTTGCTGTAGTCTCCAATCCCCTCACATTTGTTCCTGGATCGTGCGTGTGTGTGCGTGTGTGTGTATGTGTGAGTGTGTGTATGTATGAGTGTGTGTGAGTGCGTGATAATGCGATAAAATGATGTAATAATAATAATAATTATATTACAATGTGATAAAGATGAGGTGTTGCTTATGATGATGCGATGAGAAGATGAGTGACTGAAGGAATGAAAAGATGAAGAGATGGAGAGGGAGAGAGGGGCACGTCACAAAAACAAATGTAGCAACAAACAACAACACCAAACAACAACGCCAAACAGCCAACGAACCATGACCCATCTCGGTTTGAATATAAGTGCCGAGGATTTCGTAGTTCTCGATTCTGGGCATCCATAACTTTTTCTGCTCCTCGTCTGCCATGGACTCGAAGGTGGGGGTAAACATGGTGGTGTGTAGGGAGAAGGGAGGGACCTCATTGGGAAATATCAAACTGAGAAGTGGTCGTGTTATTTCATTTCCGTTACGTCATTTCCGTTACGTTATTTCCGTTATGTTATTTACGTTATGATGTTGTGTGTCGCGCTGCTTTTTTCTTAGAGAACTTGCTTCAAAGAGTATCAACACGAACACCAGACACATACATACACACACGCACACACACACGCACACGCACGATCACACTTACAAACACGCATGAACATACAAACATAGACACACACACACACACACACACACACACACACACACACACACACACACACACACACATACACACACACAGCATATGACAGTCAGAAAACTTTTTGCATTTGAACAAGGTCACCGCGAATTAAGAGGAGGCAACTCCAATCATTCTGTCATTTTGTGTTGTTTTGTAATCTCGTCTGTGTCATTATTTGTCGTTATACTAATTCTATCCATGTTTTGTAGTGAAACTACTTTGTTAACTACAATATTGATTCAAACATGAAGTAATATATAACAGAAAAGACATTGGGCAATTATAGTAATTCAATAAAGAACATAATCACACGACTGGGCAAGTAACTATCTCTCTTTGATAAGACAGATTTTCATGAGGTAAATTTATTTTATAGATAAAATTTATCATATCTTAAGTACGCTACGTTCAACTTTTTGATAGCAATTAACTAACAAAAGTACAATAATAAAAATAATAATTAATAATAATAATAATATAAAAATAACAATAAAATAATAATTAATAATAATGATAATAACTGGATAATAAATTGAACACAATTGATGAGATAACTAAAAGTGAAAAATTACTAAATAAACCTAAAGAGTGAAAGATAGATAATTTTAAAATAGAAAAATAATTAAATTTAAAGAAAAAAGATGAATGATGATGATCACCTTTCATTTCTACAACCACCCTCATCCCATCATCATCTTTTCCATTATTCCATTATTCCCATTCCAACCTAGAGATTAATCTAAACTTGTCAAAAAGCATCTGAAAAACACACGCACACACACACACACACACACACACACACACACACACACACACACACACACACACACACACACACAAACACATACTTAAACACATATACACCCACACAAAACACACATACACAAACATACTCTTCTATACTCATTGTTATAATGTTTTCTCATCAAAAACCAGGCAAGTAATGGTTTCAAAACACTAATTCAGCCTATTCTTTAGCAGTGTGGCATTGAGAAAAATATCTAGACGGTTTATGTTTTATACACAATACATTTGTATATTTACATATTTACAAATTGAAAATATATATAAATAAATAAATACACCAGAAACATAAGTTTGAGTTTGCTTCGAAAAAAAAATAAAGAAAAGAAATGGAATAAAATTACTTGGACAGACCATTGCATAAAGTAAGATTCAGCTCTACTGATCGATTTGTCTTCCTTTAATAACTTTATGTATGCGGCTGACTTTCTGATGTTCTGCGCGTATGCCTCATCTCTTGATGCATAGTACCGGTCCGGAAGGTTAGAGAATGATTCATTATTCAGTACAGCTAATTCTGCGGTGATGTGCAATTACAAAATGGTCAGGGAGAAACCAGACCAACAATTCAAAAACAGCTGGTTTGATTGAATTTGATTTTTAATTGATGGCATTGATATTGATTTGAAGTTTTTATATTAAAATTAATAAGATGCCTAAAGACCAGAGAAGCAGCACAAACTCAAATTAGAGACCAATTAAAAAATAATGCAGCAGAACTAACGCGCTTGTCGTCTGGTTTCCGTCAAGTATGACGACCCATCAATGATGTTTGTCAAGAGTTCTATGTTGAAAGTACATTTTTTTCTTTCAGCCACAAAGTCCGGATTGACATTAGTGTCGTCGTATCGCTTGACTTTCATTGTTTCATCTTGTTTCATTTTTCTTCTGCTGTTTAAATGTGAAAATCGCGTCAAATTATGAATTGTCCCTTTAAATTTTAAAGTTTAAGTTTAAAAGTGTTGAAAAGTAGACCGCGAAGTAAAAATACGGGATTAAAAAGCCATGACATTCTAGTGATGTGCCATTATTTATTGTGAGTTGTAATGTATTCTAATATATTTATTTGTATAGTAACGTCGTCCAAAATTTTATGACTGAATCACTAATATTTCTAGCTATATATATAAAGATGGAAATTAAACGTTTAACATTTTTTGAAGGTTTGTTTCCATTGAATGTAAAAGTATGTCGTAATTCATGACTAGTTAATAACGTTTACCAACCTAAATTATATTATAGAAACACTTTATCGTATTTTTCCATTATAATTTTCACAGAAAGCAAGAAAAGTAAACTTTTATAAATTAAAAATGCCTAAAAATAGCTATTAAATATTGTCTACGGTTGATCCAAATGGGTATAGATTGAATATAATGACGCAGACGCACCTTAGCCAGTATCCGATGTCAGGTAATGTACTATAGTACAATTCCTGTGCCAAATTTTCACGCATTAAATCCAGTTCAAAATTTATTGTAATTTAATCGTTTAATCATTTATAACGATAACACTATTTGTGTTGAACCAAACATTGTCTAAAAAATTCTAGATTACAGAACGTACATCGGTGAAGATGTCAATTTTCGAAAACAATTATTTTCCATTAGCAGTAACAGTAATTAATGCCTGATCTCGTCATCGTTATATGGGCAGAAATAACATGCAATCGAGCATGAGAGAAAAAGTCATTTAATTGAAAAGTATCTGACTTAATGAGTATTATGAGACCTGAATATTCAACTTGAAACTTTAAATTGATTCAAATTCTAAATGTAAAAATCAAATGTGAATGCCCGTGCTTGTATCGAATGATAGAATTCTGAAATAACGAAACGAAACATAGTTAACCAATCAGATGATACCTACACTTCTCATATGAACCATCTTGCGTTAGGCATGAACTGGATATTGCTAAATTGCTCGACTAGAGATATTTAAGAAAAATAATAATTTCAAGATGAAAAAATAAATCAATCAATGGCAAAAAGGTGTAAGTCTCACAAAATAAGATTTAAAACTTGAACTATTAATATATACTATACCACGTACTATATACAAATAATGAAAAATTAAATGAAAACAAACCAAAAAACTTAACCCACTAATAAAATGAAAATTTAAATAAAAATCAGAAAAATAGTAAAGATAGAAGATTCTTAAAAGGCAGTGGAATAAAATCATCCCATTATTAAAAAAAACTGCAGTGGTGTAATGGTTAAGGAGTTAGGCGCTGATGTTGCAGTGAGTGAGTTCAACTGCATAAAGATCCCAGCAAATCACGTGCAATGTGTGACGAGCTGATTCACGCATATTCACACGACCTCTGTGTGTATTTGTGTTGTAAAAAACTACATAAAAATATAAAAATAATTAACTTGAAATAAATAAAAAAATTAAAAATAAAAAAATAAAATAATTAATAAATAAAAATAATTAACTTGAAAAAAACATGATCGTATCATTTACTTGCTGTACTGTGTATCATCAAATATCATGATACCATGGACGAGAAGGATAGACTTCAACAGTGATATAATTATCTACTAGTACACAATCTGACAAATGAGCCAAATTAACTGAAGAAAAAGAAAGTGTCCTACCAGCCAAAAAATTTATTTAAAAATCACCGTACACACGTACACACACATTATATATATATATATATATATACATACATATATATATATATATATATATATATATATATATATATATATGTATGATATATAATATAAAGGACTTTAAATATATATATATATGTGAGTGTGTATGTGTGTGTGTGTGTGTGTGTGTGTGTGTGTGTGTGTGTTTGTGTGTAAATATATATCACCATAATCGGCGTTGTTCCTCATCATGGGGCTATCATCATCATAGCCATCGTCGTAATCGTCGTCGTCGTCCCCAGCATCATCATCATCATCATCATCATCATCATCATCATCATCATCATCATCATCATCATCATCAGGACACTTCAATCCATATCCTCCATGCTGAACATCAGTGGTTCACTGCCATCCTGTTGAATTATGATGTTCCAAAGTTAACAACCATGAAAATGACTTCACATCCACATAGGCAGCATGATAAACACGCACAACATCAATCCATCAATCATTACAAACCTCAGTTTTGACAGCGTAATCACCACCCCCACTACCACCCCTATAATCATCACCACCATCAACATTCGTTTTCCTCTTCCCTCTGAAGAGAGCAAACAGGAAGATGGTGAGGATGATGGCAAAGAGAATGATGCTAGTATGCAGGAGGTGCAGGTTTATCACTTGTTTGTCACTCTATCATTAATTGTGAAGATGTGTGTGCATGTGTATGTGTGTGTGTGTGTGTGTGTGTGTCTGTGTGTGTCTGTCTGTCTGTCTGTGCGTGTTGTACGTTATGTGTGTGTGTATCTGTGTGTGTGTGTGTCTGTGTGTGTCTTTGTACGATATGTGTGTTTGTGTGTGCGTAAATATGCGTGCGTGTGTTGTGGAAAAAAAAAATCCATATGATGATATTTTTAAACCTACTAACAAAAGATAAATAAATGGTTAAAAGTGGATCTAATTTGTGCTCAAATTTTATTTTTGACTCCCCGCTCTTGCAGGTTGATGAGTGTGGCGACTTGAAGATGGCGTTCGTCGGTAGGGATGTGTTGTTCGTGGTGGGCTTGCATGTACCTGGAGGTCTGCAGAGGCAGAAGGAATGATATGCAAGATCATTAGTGATTGAGGATGGTAATTTAAGTTTTTTCTTTCTCTCTCCTCTCTCTTTCTCTCTCTCTCTCTCTCTCACACACACACACACACACACACACACACACACACACACACACACACACACACACACACACACAGACACACAAATATTAGTAGACTTTTTAAATCTGAAGTTAAAAGAAAAAAAACAAGAACAAACATATTAGAAGTTGGGAAGAGAGAAGAATGATCGGCGATGGTGACACAGGCAAACAGTGTAACAGGTGGGCAAACATCATCTTTGCATACTTCATCCCCGTTGTCACTGCTGGTCCATACATGTGGAAGTTCAGTGAACACTTCCAGCATGGCATTTGAGCCTGGTGATTTATATTAAACAAGAGTCGATTGTTCATCAACTAAAAAGACAAATAAATGGCTATAAGCAAGTAAAATAATGTTTTCCATCAAGTATATGAGTGTGTGTGTTGGTGCAAATTTGTTCGTTTGTTTGTGGGTGTGTGTGTGAGAGAGAGAGAGAGAGAGAAAGGAGAGAGAAAGAAAGGGAGAGAGAAAGAAAGTTAACATGTACAGCTAGGCTTACTGCAAAAATTGAAAACTTTTCAATCCTGTCAAGCCGGCTGAGCACAAAAAACATAGAAAAAAATAGACAGATACACAAACATACAAACACGTACATAAAGATAAACAAACAAAGAAACATACAAACATAGGACAAAACACTTGTACTTGGTGACCTTTGATGCCAATGTCATGAGCACTTAGAAGTCCAGAGAGGATTGTAAGGTTGTGCCGCTGGTGGACAAATGATGGAGATGGCTGGACTGTGATCTTCAGTGGGATTGTTATGTTCCTTTAAGGATAAGTTAATTTTATAATACTCATATATGAATAATTTTAAAATCAATCAATCAATCAACCAACCAATCAATCATATAAATATTTTTTTAGAAACATCATTTTATTTTCCCATATAACAGCACCAACTTTGAAGTGTAGTTTGTTGCACTTTTGTCCGTCGTAGACAAATTTGGTGACAATGATGAATTGCTACTCAGGCAGAAACTAACTCTTGAGAAGCCATTCAGAAATATGTTCCAATCCTTCGAGTTGCAATGATAATATTCAAAATTTATCCTAAATTTTGAATAAATATTCTTCTGATTAAATGAACAAAAAGTAGAAATGCACAATCAAAAATCAATGTAATAAAAACTAATGACTTAGCGTTAGCCGATCAATTAAAATCTACAATTAACAACATTTATTACTTCCTTCTGAATAAATTTAAGTATGCAGCCTATTCTTTATCAGTGCCTGCGTGATGTAAATAATTATAGATAGCGTAATGTAAAGTTAGTTAGTACCTTTTTGATGTCCGTTGATTTCAGTTGGGCCGTTTTTACGTAGGCCCCAATGGACATTGTGATCAGTGAAAATATTACCAGAACTACCAGAAAGAGGACAAGTGGAGGTTTTTTCTTTACGAAGTGTTTCAAATTTTCAAAAATTGAAACGCAGCAACCCTTCATTTTTATTTAAAATTTCATTTCATGTGTTTTTAAAAAGTTAGAGTTTTTTAAACGAAACCTTGTTAAATGCATTGTTTATTTAATAAAAGTGAACCTAATAAAGTTTTTATGACAAAAGCATGATGTAATGCTTTCATATTTCTAGATTTCAATAAAATTTACGATTTATCTAAATAGTTTCAAAGTAAAATCATTTTTTAAAACAATTAATAAATATATTTTTATTAATACATTTTATAATTATAATAGATTTTTAATTTGTAATAAATTTAAAGATTTTATGACATTAGATGAACTTGAATCTTCAAACTAACTTGAGCATCAAATATTTATGTTCATGTGGCAACCCCGTTTCATTTAGGACTCAAGTACCCAGTTTGATTACAAATGCTAATTAATTACTAACTCTAATCACGGCTAATGTTTAATTACGCAAATGAAATGTAACTTTTGTAACGTATTTAACGTATGTAACGTGTGTTATTACTTAAGTAATCTGTCACTCAATTATTCAGTAGTCTATAATATTAATTAACTCATGCTATTGCCTTACGCTCTTGACTTACACACACTTACACATATTATAATATTTTGAATGAGTGATTGCAATTGATTACGGTCAGTCACCGATAAAACATACAAAACATGCATACATGGTAAATCCGAATGTTTTAATAATCCTATATATATATACAATAGGTGTCAGAAATATTGATGAAAATCACGGCATGTTCGGCGTTAGTTAACTTCCAATTTAACTTTTCGATTTTTTTACGTGTTTTCGTTACCGATGATTCCCCTGTTTCTAAATTTATTAGTAGGAAGAATTCCTAGGAAGAACTGCAGTTGTTGGATATTTATTATCTGATGTCTTTATTATATGAGTATTGATTCGGCTAGTCGTAAATTATAATGGTTGTTATTGTTATGATTTCAACATTGTGTTCCAAGATTTGTCTTGTAATTTTAGTTTTGTGTTTCTCTTTCATCTGATTCTTTATAGCGCCAGTTTGTACGTGCATCGTGAGTCTTCTCGATAGCTTGGTCGTCGTCATACCAATATATTCAGAGTTATGGTGCCCACACTCACCAGTATTACACTTGAACAAATAGGTATATTAGATGGCTATGATCCATTATCGATTCTGGTTTACTAGTGCAGTTGTTTTTCATCACAAGAGATGGCGTTCTTTGGCTGGCTATGATGCAGAGAGCTTAGCCAGACCCATCTGCTTGCAAGATTCATTGAGGAGCGCTGTTGAACATCGCGGAAATGGAGCATTATTAACTAATTGATAGATTGATTTTTATATGTATTGTTGCTACTTATTCCGTGTAAGTTGCTATCGTACTCGAATAAATTATAATTTGATTTCAACGAAACGTATGTAATAGAATATTTTATTCAAGGATAGGTTTAACTTGACTTTTTCACTATCAGCCGATCTTTCGTTATATTAATTCTTATGATGAAGTGATAAACTAAGACGTATTTGTATTGCAAAACAAACGATTGATCATTAGGTAGGTTTTGAAAAACGACGGCAAATTTTATGTAAATTTAAGTTAATGAACTGAACTGTTGTTGATTTGTTGATTTGAATATTTAACGATTTTTATTAAATTATAAAAAACAGTTTCATGAAACACGAAAGCTGCAAAGTTTAGTTGGAAAAATCGTAATAAGAACCGATGGGGCCGAGACTCACTAATGTCAAACGATGCTGATTTAAGTTTCTGTAAAAGTAAAATTTGTTCATTGAAAAAAAGATTGTATTGATATAAATATACTCAAATAAGTTTTATTATATATTTCCATTTGCATATCTTCTCGAAAATATCTATCTAATTTATTGGGTTTTCGTATTTTGCAATTCTGTTCATGAATGTTTATTCTTACAGCAATTTGGAGCAAAACATTTTCAACAATCGTTTCTACAAACTCAAATTTTGTAACCTAAAATAAAAATTGAAAATAATCACCTTCTTCTCCTCCCTCCTCCTCCCCCTCCTCCTCCTCCTCCTCTTTCTCCATCACAGACTTCCTAACCTTCCAAATGGTGAATGCTGTTCCAGAGCCCAAAAGAATGCCCCCCACTGCAGAGCCCACAATGACGATGATCATCACCGTGCTACCCACACCAGCAACCTCGGCCACCAGTCGACTCTCTGAAATCAAATCCAACAACAGTTTTGTTTGACTTGACTAAAGAAAAACAAGCTCAAGACATCGTTCAATTGATTAGCAACTGTAAAATAACAAATTAAAATATTTAGGCAAAAGTCTACCGAGGCAAAGAGTTTTGTTCGTCAGCTCCAAATCACTATCACAGCCGCAATAAGATACGGATCTCTCTCCAATGGTATCAGTTAGACATTTTGTGTCTTTATGGCACATTCCGTTCTGCACGTTGCAGTCTAAATAGAGAATTGAAATGGAAATAATTAATGTGAAGTTTCGAAAGAAGAACTGGTAGTTAAAAATTAAATGAACTATGTGCATACAATGAATGTAACGTTCAAAAATCTAAAAATATCGTCAGGATGTCGCATGATGTGCGAAAACCTCGGATGTCGCAGAGATTCCCCGTCCATCCGGGCGTACACTTCCACTGTTTGCATTCCTTACTGAAGCGCTCATTTTTATCGTTCAAGCAGTAGTGGGCGGTCTTGAAGTTGTCCGTGTAATCAAGTCTCATGTTCACTGAATCAAAAAACAACGCATGAAGTATATCTTTACCGTTACTGTTAATTTGTAATATCTGTTGGTCTGTTGGTTGTTGCAAATTATTAGAATAACAACAAAAGTGTAACACTCACGAGATCATCATTGCGTAGAAAATAGGCAATGTTATGATATCAGTACTAGTGCAGATGTACAAAATTGTCATAAAAAACACCTTACCCTCTCTTACGAGATACACTTCTCTCTTCTTCATCTCACATTGACCCGGTTCCAACTGTCCATTGACCTTGAGGCTGCTGGCACAAAAACATTCTGGATCCTCATCTGTCCACTGTTTGACGAAGAATTCAGTTCGGTCGAAACATTTTATTACAATAAGAAAATAACAATTTAATCGATAAAAATTGAAATGAAAAATCGCTTAAATCAAATATTTTTAACATAAAAAGATGAATATATGAAGCAAATATAGAATTAAACTGTAGTTGAACATACGGAAGTGATCAGGAAGAAGTAGTTGCCGTCGAGACACTGCTCGTGACATTTGCTGCTGAAGAACTCCACGTTATCCGAGGGGGCATCTCGCCTCACTAACGTTTCCTCGCTCACGAACTTGAAGCAACCAATCAGCGAAAAACCTTTGGAAGGCTCTGTTCGTGAAAGGATTTTGTTTTATTCGTTTAAGTTTTTATTTTAAACACACATTATAATATTTATTCTGCTGTCTAAAACTAAATTACAACTTATTTAATATTCAATACTTAGTTCTACCAGCAACGAAGATCTGGGCCCTCGACAGATGTTTGAACCAGGTCGTCGTGCAATGAAAACGACGCAAAATAAATGGCACTCCTACAGACTGAGCTAATCCGCCCGCCGTTAAAATTTAAAGTGATTCTTACGCTTATTCTTTTAGTGTTCATTTTAATTACATTATTAAATGTTTCTTTTAAATATATCTCCTTACTGGCATAGACAGAGAAGTGATCGGGACCACCACAGAGCGTTCCATCACTACATGATACACTGCACTTTTTCAATTCTACTCTACGGTTGATCTCGTCGGCGCAGACACACACGCCATCCTTAAGATATTTTCGTTTCAATTTATTAATTTATTTGTTTCTAATTAAATTTATTATAATATACTAAACTAAATTATTATTTTCAATTCATTATAATGTCTTTGAGTATTTGGAGTGATTTTGAGTGAATCGTGGATGAATGTTAGCTACCGGGTCATCCGAAAGCTTGTCAGACTCTTCATCTTTCTCATTCGATTCAGTGCTGTGTGGAAACTAGAGTTCACAAAATATTGCCGTTTGGTTTATTTTGATTTTAATGAATGTTCGTTAAAACTTTCTCATTTGGTATACAAAGAACGAAATATCCATTGAAAATTTTGAAAAAGTGGCAAATTAAGAGCGAGCAACCTTAATGGTGTAATACTTGGTGCCGCAGTACGCCTGGCAACCACCAATGGACTTCACATTGGTGCTGCTCTGCTTATTTACCTCACGAAAACAACCCTGCAGGTTCTCCAGCTTTCGATCTTGAAAACAAAATTTAGTAAATAATATTTGTCAGATAGTTTTCAAATTTGCCACTTCAAAGTATTCTGAAACAGTGACACGATGGGTAGCAATAAAACAATGTTACAATAATGTTATATATAAAAAAAGAAATTCTCACGCATTCACCGATATCTATAGCTATTTCGCCATCCTTGGTAACGCATTCGATGCTGATGTTGGAAAGCATCCAGGTGTCCACACACAAATTATCCTCACAGTTGCCGTTGTTCACTGAACAATCTTCATAAATTTAATGAAAATAACCTTTTAGTTGTTTCAATGAATACTATTCAATTTTTTTAAAGATCCCAAAAAGTTTTTTTTATAATTTCAGAGTTATTTAAATAAAAATAGATTTAAATTTTCTGTAATTAGTTTAAGGGAATTTATGGAAACGACGGACTTCATGGGCCTATCTGAAGACGACGTTGATGTCGGTGCCAAAATTGGTCGGCAATACTTAACAAGATACTTGGAGCATATCAATTTTTGCGTCAATTTTTCATTTTAAATAGTGCTTTCATGTTTATAAATTTAATGAATAAAAAATAATTAAACAATATATTTTGGATAAAGTTTCCAAAAAATTCCTAAAAAAGTTTTTTGAGCGTTGATAACGGATCCCCTTTTGACTAAATGATAACAAAAATTTAATCAACTACTGAAAATGTTGAAAAATGTATGAAACTTGTAAATAACTTTCTGAATCATAATAAATTGTAATAAATTGAATTACTGAAATATGTTTCCAAACATTAAAAAAACTAGCTTTTCTCAGTTGCGTTAAATGTAGTTGCACTGACCATTAGTGACGCACAGAACGGTACCTCCATCGACTTCAACGCAGATTTTCTCACCACAGCCACCGTTATCATTTGAACATCTGCTTCTCTTCGGCGGTGAAGCTTCTAAAGTTGGGCAGAAGTTTGCAGTTGAAATTTAAAAATTTAAGGGACAGTGATTAATTTTCCAAAATGACCAAATGAAAATCAGTTAAAACAGCAGCCAATTACAGATTGACGAATTACAACAGCGAATTGCAATGACCTTTGAGGTTGTCATCCTGGGAACTGCCATCTTCAAATTTGTCATTTTTGTGTCCGAGGATGACGTGACACCACCGTGTGTTTCGCATGTTTAATTAATTAAGTTCAGTTTGTGAGAAGTGATGTCACTCATCCGTCAAACAATAAAATTATGGATTGATAAGTTGTACGCACACGCACACACGCTCACACATATACACACACACATACACACACATATACACACATACACACACACACATCCGAACAACCTTTGGGTGACCCTCCTGGACCACCAACGTCCATTCCATCATCTTCCATGTCTGCCTCTGATTTTTTAATTATTTTTTTTTATAATATAATAAACACCTTAAAAAACTATTTATTCTTCAAAATTAAAAAATATTGTGAATAAATATTCCAACTGAATCAACTTATAAACCGTATCCATAGACTTCCGCTTCATCCAACGAGAAATGGGCTAATTTCGTCACTACCGGTGTAGACAAGATGATGACATAACGACCGATGACGTTGTCCTTGCATTTGACCTCCATGGGATAACCAAAACCATACAGTTTGCCGTTCCATTCTCCGCACAGTTCGTACTGGTAAATTTTGCTGGTTTCCCAGGTATTGGTGAACCTTATTTCAAGTTTCGCCACTTTGGTTTTACCTATGTTTGGAGATTTTGTAGAATGAATGCTTGTTGTTAATATTCGAAGACTTAACGTTGCTAGGATGTCTGATAAAATGTGTGTGTGTGAATGTGTGTGAATATGTGATTGAATGTGTGTGTGTGAATGTGTGTGTGAATGTGTGTGTATGAATGTGTGTGTGTGTGAATGTGTGTGTATGAATGTGTATGTGTGAATGTGTGTGTGTGTGAATGTATGTGTGTGAATGTATGTGTGTGAATGTGTGTGTGTGAATGTGTGTGTGTGTGAATGTATGTGTGTTAATGTGTGTTTAAATGTGTGTGTGTATGAATGTGTGTGTGTGATTGAATGTGTGTGTGAATGTGTGTGAATGTGTGTGTGAGTAAATGTATGTGTGTTAATGTGTGTTTGAATGTGTGTGTATGAATGTGTGTGTGTGTGAATGTATGTGGATTAATGTGTGTGTGAATGTGTGTGTGTGGATGTGTGATTGAATGTGTGATTGAATGTGTGTGAATGTGTGTGTGTGGTGAATGTGTGATTGAATGTGTGTGTGTGTGAATTGTGTAGGCGTGTAAATTTACTAGCCAGGCAAATTGGAGTGGTAGAGAAGGACTCGATGTATGTAGCTGACAGTTGAGAGATCCACAGCGTACCACGGAAAGATTTTCCGGAAGTTAGCCTCTGGTGGGATTATTTTTCCATCCGTCACGTGACTGACATTACTCTCCAACTCGGCTTTGTTGACTATCACCTTCTTATGTGCCGCTATGTTTATCAAGATTTCCTCATCTGCGTGTGTGTGTGCGTGTGTGTGTGCGTGTGTGTGTGTGAGTGCGTGTGCGTGCGTGCGTGTGATTGTTCACGCAAAAATGGCGACTGTCCAAGCGACTTGATGTGTCTTGAATAAACTAAATATCAACCACAAAGATGCATCATACAACCACCTAAAATTTCCATCTAAGCCCTTACACGTACACACACACACACACACACACACGTACACACACACACACGCACGCATATATAAACACACATACACACATATACAAAAACATATACATATTTAAACATCTATATATACATATATATATATATATTATATATATATATATATAATACATGTTCGTATATTCGTACGTATATTAGCAATGCATTTTTTCCCATCACTGAGCTGCTGGTCGACACCGCACTGACACTCGACGATGATGAGACTTCTGGCAAATTTGGCTTCAAAGCACGTCATGTCGCTAGGGCAGTCGCCGTTGTTGAGCGCACAATCTTGTGAGGTTGTGGTTGATGTTTTGTTTGTTGGTTAGGTACATGTCCGTGCAACTACAATCCAATGGAATGATTGCAACATGTGAAGATTGATGTCATGTCGTTAACTTTTCATATCTTGTGAATTTTTGTTTATTTGATGAACGTTCTGTGAGATCATCAGACAAACAACACCGAAATAAATTATAATCAAACATTAAAATGGCAAACATTGAAAGAACCATAGAGATGGTAAACATTGTGATGGTGAACACTAAGATAGTGAACATTGAGGTGGTAAACACTGAATGGTGAACATTGAGATGGTGAACATTGGGTGGTGAACATTGAATGAACAGCCATTGCCTACCTCTTTCATTGCATTGTTCACCTTTCCAACCTTCCTTACATTTCTGTTCGTCACAATGGGTTAAATTTAATTTTTCCCTCTCACAGTGAGAATATGCTGAGAACCTCTGTGAGAACTGCAGTTGGAAGTTTACTGCGTGTGTTTTGCATTGGGTTTTTATTATTTTATTATTTTTATTGAAAATTTGTTTTATCTCGATTGATGTTATGTTTGACGCTATTAAAATTTCAACTTGAGAGGTTACGGCTTTTTCAATGTTTTGTTTAGTTTCAATGTTTTGTTTAACTTCAATGTTGTTTAACTTTAATGTATTGCTTAACTTCAATGTTTTGTTTAACTTTAAACATATTTATAATATTTAAAAAACTGTGATTTTTTTTATATTTTCCAAATATTTGAGTAATTTTAAAAATAATTTTTTTTTTAATATAGTATAGAAAATTTCGATGTTTTTGAAAACAGAAACAATTCAATTTTTATTAGTAGTTGTTGTAAAAGTAGCTGTAGCAGTAGTAGAAAAAGTAGTTGTGGTAGTAGTAGTAGTTGTGGCAGTAGTAGTAGTAATAGTAATAGCAGCAGTAGTAGTAGAAGTGGTACAAACCCGACATGACAGATGCATAATTATCGTGATGTTCAGCACTGCACTCTTGGCATTGTTTAACATTACGTTGGGTCTCTATGTAAGGGGAAGTGGCGTTCATACACGTGCACGTTGGAGCATTCTTTGTTGAGTTCTTGGTTGGTTTGTTTGGATGTTGGTTGGTTGAAGGATTGGTTGGCTGGCTGGTTGTTTGTTGGTTGCTGACTAGTTGTTTGTTTGTCTGTTTGTTTGTTTGTTGTTGTTTGATTAGCTGGTTTGAGTTTAATTTCAATAATTTTGTTGTAACGATTTATAAAGAATTATATTCTGTTGGTTTATCAGTAATATATAAAAGCAGTTATTATTTACGATCTGGATGATTTTTTTACAACCCTGATCTGAAACGTCAATCTAAAAAAAACTTCTACACACAAACACACACACACAAACAAACACACACACACACACACAAGAACTTATACACAAACACCTATACACACAAACTGGACATCCAGCATACATAAATGTTGAAGTAGACAGCCCCATCTTCCTGGCACATCTTCAAACATGTCTGGAAGGTTTCATTCGGACTGACGAGGGTTTCCGATATGATGGTCAAATTGTTTCTCCAGAAATCGCCAACGTGTGTGGAACAACAGTCTGTTATATCTTTCTCTGATTGGAAGGGGGTAGTTTTCATTTTAACTTCTAGCTATTCAAAAATACAATTAAAAGCGACAATATTAACAACCACAAAGACAAAAACCAAAACCGACAGGATGAATCTATTTAAACAGCAACACAACAACAACAACAACAACAACAACAAACTCACTACTATAGACAGCGAAATAGTTGAAACCTCCACAAGGACCTACTCCAAGGCAAACCTCGTCACAATGCTCTGACGGCAACGACTGGCCAACCCTTTCCGTACAAATGCATTCATCCTTCGACTGTGATGTTTTGTGTTCATCAGCATCATTATCGTCATCATCATCGTCGTCGTCATCATCATCGTCATCTTAATCATCATCACTAGCAGCACCACCATCACTATCATCAATCCTTCTCCACCTTCATGGCAATCATTATGAAGTCTTTGCATTTTTCGGAGCACGTGTGGATGTCTGTCTGGTGAAATGTCTGAAGTACGGCGATCCAGCTGTAGCAGCCGACATACTCGTGTGTGGCTGGTGGTGATAGGGATGTATACAATTTGTACATTCATTCATTTATTTGCTCCTTCGTTCATTCGTACATTCATTCTTTCATTTATTTGTTCTTTCGTTCGTTTATTTATTCATTGATTAGTTCGTTCGTTCATCCATTCAGTTATTCAACATATCATTGATTAAAAAATGTGTATACAACAACAACAACAACAACAACAACAACAACAACAACAACAACAACAACAACAACAACAACAACAACAACAGCAACAACAACAACAACAACAATAATAATAATAAATAATAACAATTTTCGTAGCATAATAATAACGACAACAATAATAATAATAAATAATAATAATTTTCGTAGCAGCTCCAACTTAATTGCGAATTAACGAGTGGAGCGAGATGCAGAAGAAATAGCTTAACGACGTAGAAGGAGCTGATGACATTGGTATCCGAGATTGAAAATCTCATTTTTTATACAATAGATTACATTTCTGAATTAGCGATTGAAGACATATTTGTTTACACACGTCTGTATAAACAATATCTTACGTCAGTATGAGCATAAATACTAGAAAAAAATTACAAACATCAAATTTGCGTGATTTTTTAGATTTTATTCGTGCAATTAATAGTCCTATGTGGCCAACAGACGAATAGGCAATGAATGATTTTTAGCCCGATTGGCCTAAGCAGATGATTCTAGTAATTACGTCGTCGTCATTATGATTTTTTTATTCTCTAAACTAATTGTAGATGAGTTTTTTAGCAGAAATGCTTGCCAAAGACCAAGAAGACGTGATGATTAATACTAATTTTAGAAGGGCACTCAACGATGTGTTTTCGTTGTTTGATATATTTGAGAATAAAGTAAAATAAAACCCGAAATAAAATATAACAAAATAGAATAATTTCAACATAATAATCCCTGCAAAGTAGAGCAAATGTTTTAATGTGCGAATGTTTGAACATTTTGAACTATGAAAAATTCATTTTTGTTGTTAGGACTCAGTTTTAACTAGTTTAATTTTATGATAATTAGTAAATTGTTAATATTTCTAAATTGATTCAAAAGTCGGAGGGTAAATCTCGTCATAAAAATTTTTCGACTGAAAGCTTAACTTGTATATTGAATAATGATGATGATGATGATGTTGGTGTTCATGATAATGATGGCGTAGATGCTGATGATGATGGAAAGATGTTGGTGGTGATGGTAAAGATGTTGGACCAGCTGTCTGATGTGTGCTTGGTTGTGACAAATTTTCAATCATTAAAAAAATTCTCAAGTTAGGCTGTTGTCGATTGGAATTAGATTAAGTTGACTCCTTTCAAATTCATTTTTCTTGCTTTCTAGTGTTTCACATGCAACAAGAACAATTTATAATTTCAATTATCAAATGTGGACTTTGCTTTATGAAAAAGGTTTTTAAAGAATTTGATAAAATTAACCCGTTTTCGGCCATCTTATAAAAATTCAAACAATATTACAATTAATAGAATTTTGTATGTAAAAATGTTGACCGAATGGAACTGTTTCAATTTACTGTATCATAATTTTCATAAAATATTCCTTGAACAAATGAATCTCTTTTACTTGCGCCCCTTGACTAATTTTTTTTTGAAAATTTAATACAAAATACAAAATTTCATTTTTGTATTTTTCACGCAAGTTTTAAGGGAGAGCGCATTTTTTAAATGCAATTTTATTAAAAAAGAAAGTTAAAAAAATAGATAATGAATACAAAAATCCAAATAGATGGCGTGTATTTTATCATGTTTTTTTAATTTTCCGTTGTTTAAAAGTTCTAAATTGAAGTTTTGATTTAGAATTTTTATGAGTAGGACGAAAAAATGTGACGTTCTGAAATGTTATCTCGAACAACTAACCAGATCTACTCCTCACTACTCCACTGATTTTATACAGGCACAAAGTTTTTGAAAAATTAATTTGAAAAAATAATTTTACATACCAAACATTTTTGAATGCAATCAATGGCAGACCAGGCTATCAACTTTGTGGTTATTCCAATGGGGTCATCATAGCAGATCTCAGTTTTCTGGTTCGGAACAGTAAGGTAACTGTAAACTTTGTAAAATTTACTAGCATTGTACAACTGAGTCGTTGACAAATGTAACAGTAGCAGTGAAACAAAGATAATTTTCAGTACGGCAGTCATGACACTATACGACCGGATGCACGAGCCTGTGCTTGAATTCTCTTAAAGCAAGATTAGATAAATATTTCTATTACCTTTATTTAGAAACAAAATTCTCCCTCTTTATTCCTCCTTTATTCTCCATCCTTCTCTCTCTCCAACTCTCCAACTCTCTCTTTTTCTATCTACAATTTATATATTTTAAAGGAAATCAACGTTTTAATTATCGTTATTCAAAGTTGAATTGTCTCTTTCAAGCGGGGAATTATTGATTGGATGAAACAATGGCTACATCAGTTTTAAAATCGGTCAACTTCCAATGACAGTACCGAAGCACTAGCGTTTATTTTTAATCTAGCTCTTTTCTTTTGCATTTTATCTCTCTTTCTCTCTCTCTCTTCTCTCTCTCCCTCTCTCTTTCTCTCTCTATCTATACCTTTTTTTCATCAGTAAGTAGTATTTAGATGGCAAAATTGTTTTTTTTTTGAAATATGAAAATTATTATAAGTTGAAACTTAATTTTAAAATGTTGACTGTACATTGTGCAGTTGTGTTAATTTTGGTTTCACTTTTTTTGAAAAATGTTTAATCAGAACAAAAAAACATTAAAATAAAGAATAAAAATAAAAATAGAAACATGACGGCGATAATATAAATAAAATAATAACATTTTTACTTAAACTACTCCATCTACAAATTTTCCTTTCTAGCAACAAACTGTTTTTGTTTAGGTAGTGCTCGCTTGACTCAAACAAGAATGAACATTTTTATCGTGAATTATTAAACCAGAAGCCTTTGTCATTAGATGATCGATAGTATATAAGCGAAATGATGATTGATGAGTTTAAACCAGAATTTTGAAATATTCATCACGACGAATGCGATCACTGAACTCTGCTTCAAAACCAGACCAACATTTGAACGTTAGAGTAGGAATACTCTAACTGAAAAATACATGGCGATTGTCATGTGTTTGAACGTAATTCAAGAATTCGGTTGAATTTTAGCTATAGTCCCGAGTCAGTTGATATTAGGTGAATAATAAAAAGTTAATATATAACTATGAAGACGATAAAGTAGTTGTTTATAATTCTAATGAAATTTTGCTAAAAATGAGGCTTGAGTGTACCAATTAAAATGATCGATTAAAACACGATCGGCTGCAAATTCAAAGCAAATTTTTGTAGCAGGCTTTATTGATACACTATTTATTTATTAATGTTCGTGATTGATTGATTTTTTTGGGAGATTTATATGCAAGTGGTATGATCAGAATTGATCGTAGGAGTATCATCTAAAAAGTTCATCGTCTCCATCGTCAAAATCTTTTATCGTCGTCATCACTATCAGTATCGATCGAAAACAAACATTTTTTTCAATAGTTAAATTTATATCTCACCAACACTGATCACCATTGCTTTCCTACGTAACATCATTTTTACTAACATCAACCAAACAACAGCACGTTTATCCTCATCATCATCTATATCCCTCTCATCATCTCATTATCATATATTCACTAGCCACGGATACGTTACCATTACAATCATCATTGTTTAATCACCATTATCATCCAACTCACCGTAGTTGTACAAAATTCTATTCAATGATGCACACTTCTTCTTTTTTTTCTCATCAGAGTTTTTTCCACTTTAATAATTTAAGATTGATTTTTTTTTGAATGTGGTGATGGGTGAAAGAATAATAGAAAGTTTGCGCGGGAACGATGAAAATAGTGATAAAAAGATAACATAATTTTTGTGAGTTTAAAGATAAATTTGAAAACAACTACATCGTTAAGATTAAACGTCTCCACGCAAACTTTAAAATTTTGAGATCCTTTGGAGAATAAAAAATATACACTTATTCCGAGAAATGTTGAACTGAAAAACAAAATTGTATTGAAATACAAAAACTAATCAATTTTTTGTTTATTTTGTTAAAAGTTTATAAAAAACAAACCAATAAAATTGATGCATTGATTCAACACATGAAGGATAATTTTTGAATTATATTTTTTCATTTTAAACAGCCTATAATTATGATATAAAACTACAATACACTTAATGTGTTTTTTATGTTTATGATGAGTCATCTTACAAAACGTCTCTTGAGAATTCTGATGGTGAGAGCCCGAAGCAAAATCAGATCTGAAGTTTCAAATTTCTAGTTTTGTCGAAATAATGAAAGGTGTTAGACAAGGCTGTGTATTCTCTCCAGACCTGTACAGTTTCTGTAGTAAGATCATCTTGAAAAAGATAGAATATCTACCTGGAATATTCATTGAAGACGTGAATACAAACAATGTAAGATATGCTGATGATACAGCTCTTATGGCAGATTCAATGGAAAAACTGCAAACAATTGTTTCCAAACTGGTTTTTGACATGTGAAAGGAAAGGCTTGCAAATTAACAAAGACGCTTATAAATCTTCAATACAAAACGATACGATACAATACAAAACAATACAATACAATACAATACAAAACAATACAATACAATACAATACAATTCAATACAATACAATACAAAACAGTACAATACAGTACAATACAACTCAATACAATGCAAAATTGGAATCTAAAAGAATAAAATATGTAGATTAATTTCTACATATGTTATTCCTAATGAAGATACATCTTCAACGGTTTTTAATTTTGACTATAAAGCCGTTCATGAAAACGTTATAGAAGAATGAAGGTAACTTTTAAAATTCAAAAATTAAAATTTTAAAAATATTGCGATTGACAAATTTTTTAAAATTTTTAATAAATGGAAAATGTTTTGCAAAATCGTCAGAAAAAAATCACAAAATAGCAGAACGTGAATAAGTGCTAAAATCTCAACGTGCGGTAGTATTTGCTTCAACTAACAATGAGATTAAAAAGTAGTGCATCAGAAAATGACTGTATAAAAACTTTAGATATATCTGTGCCAGCAGCATTTGAGTACAAGCAGACAGTTTCCCACTAATTAGTATTAAGAAATATGACGTTTATATTGATATACTTTAACATGATCTACAGGCAGCCGTTCGGTTCAACGTACTCTGAAACAAAAAATAACCTTATTTTGAATAATATCCTGTAGCGAAAATTATTACAAATATTCTGAAATTTACCGATAACATTTTTTCTGCAGTAAAGGACGCAGTTCTTGCAGTCTGTGGAGTCGACAATCCATTTAGCTGCTTTCGATAGAGGAGGATAATAGTTCGTTGACGTTGGCCATATTGCGTTTTTCGCTGCAGGCCAGAAGGAATCGTTGTAATAGATTTTGTACCAACCATCGTAATAGTTCAGACTGCACTTCCAAGTCGCGTTGGTCAGGATGTAGCTGTCCGACGTACTGGCTATGAAACCTCCTGGAGATATAAATCAACATTGCGTTGAAACGTTTTAACTGAACTATAAACGTAAATGGAAATACTCGGATAATTTGAAAAAAATTATGTTAACCATCTCCTTGATAGTTGTAGGTCTTGAGCGCAATGACTTGAATTCCGCCAGTCAAATTGTATGTGTCAGGAATGCTCCAGAATCTTGCATTTGGAAAATGTTTTGCCACAGATACGTTGTTTCCGTTTAGGTAAAACTCCCAGAGTTCGTTGTCCACAGTGATCGTCAATGGTCGAATGATTGGAGGATTCTCTCCATCTGTTCACGTCATTCAAGTATCCATTATCAACAAATTAATTTAAACACTTTGACTACAATTATAAAACCAGAATTACCATTTTTAAAATAATTTATGCAACCGGGCAAGACAGAGAACTTGTTCAAGGTTTGATTGAAGAGCTGGCACTGGTTAGTAGCAATGAAGAAGTTGTAAACCACACAGCCGGCTATTTGTGAACATCTCATTGAACACAGCAAGACGGCTTCCATAAACGAGAACGCGGACAAGCTCGTGGCCTCAATAGGATGGTCGCACGAACAAAAATCTACTTTCTCCTCCAGGTATCTGTGAAAGCAACTTGTTTTAGCGCTAACGATATTTAGAAATAAAATTAACAAAATATTGGCCATTTTCGGAAAAAGTTTAGATTTGAGGATCTAACTCAAGCAAGAAAAATATCCCTCATGTATATTTATTCATTTTTCAAACATGCAGAACAAAATTGGATTGGTATCAAAAAACTTTCTCAACGGAAATCCAGAAGAAAGAAATCATCTACTGAATGAGTTTTGTAGTATGCGACGAATGCTTCTCATTGTTTTATTAATGGAATCAATAAATTTTTCTCGGCGAAAATTGTTAAATTCAAAAGATGAATATTTTTAAAATAATAAAATTAAAATAATTTATAATTCAAAAATAAATAATTAAACTATAATTTTTTTTTTCAAATGCTGTTTTTATTAAATTTGACAGAGTGCGAGTACAATTACTTTGAAATACATACATAGATATAAAATTACATACACATACAATCGCCTATACATCTACATAAACAATGACAAATACACTCACAATCACAGTTATATATACATATATACACGCAGTTATATTCACAATACATAGATATATATATATATATTTAGATAGTGCTTTTGAGAAACATTTTGTTTGTAATTAGCGCTATACAAATTTTTGAATAATAATATATACCTACCTGTGTATTTAGGCATATTTGAATACATATTCTCTAGGTACTCGATCGAGTAGCCCATCTTGTTTCTTTCCTCTTCCAAGTTTATGTCTATATACATACACATGTATAATGTATATGTATAGATATATGATATGACGTCAAACATGTAAAATCTAATGCTTCCACATCCTATTCTATTGATTCTCATTTTCTTTTTTCCTTTATAAATTCCTCAACAAAAAGAAAAGTACTTCAAATTTAACGATCAAATTTAACGATTGTCTTCCTTGAAGAAACCAGCTACAACAAGAAGTTGTTTTAAACAATTTTTTGTATTCATACTATTTCAACAATTTTTGCGCATGCGTTCCAAGTGTTATTTATTCGTTTGTTTGTTCAATCGTTCGTTCGTTCGTTCGCTCATTTGTTCATTCGTTCAAAATGTTATTCAATTCCTTGTTTATATGATATTTATATAATGTTTGTATTACATAATCTATAAAATAAAAAAAACATTGAGAATATGTTGAGACAGTTTTTAAATTTTGAAATAACACAAACGCTCATATGGTCGAAAAATGAAAAAAATAACAAATGAAATTAGATTAGTTTATTTGTTTTTGCTGTTAATATGGATTGAAAAGTTGAACATGATGCAGGCTTAAGCGGTCAAATATCATTGATCCACTGACAACGATGATGATGATGATGAAGATGATGTAGATGATGATGATGTTTGTGGTTAATTTAGTGACGGCGAAGATTACGACGATGATGACATCACAAGCGATAGTGATGATGTTCTCAGTTTTTCAAATTTTTTTAAACTTTTAATAAGCTCTATGTTTTTAATATAGTTTTAACGATAATAAAGTTGATAAGGATTGTGATAACAATCATCTTTATCATATGACGATGATGGCGGTGACGATAGTGGTGATTTCATGGGTGGTATTGATAATGACGAAGATGATGATTGGAGGATGATGTGATTACAGCAAATTAACATCGCGGGGCTGTATTAATTAAGTTAAAGGTTACTCTCTCTTGCAACAAACACACAGCGTATATGAATACGCGTGAAAACCACGCATCATAAACATTGCATATGATGGGTGGGGATCTCTTTGTATTCGAACCCAGTCACTGCAGCAGCAAGGCCAGGCGCCTTTAACCATTGAACTATCATTAATTAATACGTTTTTATGAATTCTACAATTTAATTTATATTGCGATGATTGAAATCAACAGTGGACTTCATGCTGCTAGGAACTTTCATTTATTGCGTGAATCTTCTTATTAAATAACTCTTTCAATGAAAACTTGTTTTAACAAATTTGAAAACAAAGTCCTATCTCAATAAATTGCAATCAAATTCATTGACAGTTTTCAAGTATTTTAATGAATTTTTCTTCTGAAGTTCACTGGTAGCAAACTTCATATCTATGGCCCTGAATAGTCGTGTTGTATAATTGATTACCTCTCTCTTTACAAGACTCACTAATTGCCGGCTGGAGGAAGAAGTATCTGTCGCCAAGTTTGAGCCAGCCTTGCTTTAAATTTTAATTAATTTTTATTAACAATGAATCTATGAGATTTTTTTTTCAAATATTTGAAACCTAGAATTTTTACAAAAACATAAATATAGCAATAGCGCTAATGCGTGTGTGCTAGGGTAAAGGAATTGGATCTGTCGTATCTATGAATTAGAAGCCTGCATGGGAAACCATCCCGCGGGAAAACCGCGGGAATGGAAAATATTTTCGAGGGTACCCGCGTTAGCAGGAAAAAATATCGGTAAAATACCGCGGGAATAATGGGAATGGGAAATTTTTTCCATTAGCAAGTTACATACGTAATTTAATTTTTAACTTACTTTTTTTAAAACTGTTTAAATTTCTTTGCTTCACGAAAATAGCTCTTTGTTTACGTTTGTTTCACTAGTCTTCATTCTCCATCTTTCATTGCGGATAGTTTGGTTATTTGTTCTGAGATAAGTTTGTTTTCTAGTCAAAATTTTAATTTAGTTTCTAATTTATTGATATTCGTTTCAATGGAGCGATGCGATCTTCTCAAACTGATTGCTAGTAAAAGTGAAGCAATAAAGTTTATTCCGAATAGCAATGCAGCCAGTCCTATGAGAAAAGACGCAATAAACCAACCATTTTGTAACAGAACGGCATTGAACTAAACCACCAGAAGCAAACACCTCACCAGAAAATACCAGCACATTTTACGGTAAATAAAAATTCAACGAAATGCAAAATCTCAACGATAGAAAGTACGATTGCTCTAGAGATTTAGCCTGAAGCGTTGAGTCGATTTTATACAGATTTTCTAATCGCACTGACTGACGCTCATTTTAATTAATTGTTTGTATTAAGAAGTTGAATTTATAGATCAGTAATTGATTAAAACTTGTTTACTTAGCTTAACGTGTTGTTTGCTTTGAATCATTGTGGGCTGATACATCTAAAACAACATATTTTTAAATCTTCAAAAATACACTCGGAGCGTTACGTGATAGCGACAAATGTCAAACTTTAGTTCACGCGTATATCCATGCTCGAATACATTACTGCAACAGTTTGTTTTATGGTATCCCAGATAAGTCTTTGACAATACTTCAGTCAATTAAGAATAAAGCAGCTAAAGTTGACTGCAACCAATGCAAATTTGCTTGTTGGATCAAAAAACATCGCTGTATCAGGCCCCTCTTTGTGGTATGCATTGTCGAAATCACTGAGGTCACCTGGGCTGAACATTGAAAATTTTAAAAAGAATTTAAAATCTTATTTATTTTTGAAATGGTATTACATTTTGTTTATTCTTTCAGTGATTTTGTGTTTCATAATGTTTATTTAAATAGCCCTCTTGAGAAACTTTGAGTTAGTGCTATATAATGTTTCTGTAATATAAAAATGTTATCAACATGGGTAGTTTGTATTGTAGATAAACCCCTATAAATTTGAAAGTAAATTCAACATAATTTATCAATTGTTTACTAGGATGAGTTGAAAGTTTACAAAAAATCAGTTGAACCATTTTTAATTACCGAAGTTTCCATTGGAATTTAATTTTCAAGGATTGGCAAGGATAAAAACTGAATTCATTATTGTAAAATATACAATAAAAAAAATATATGAACAATATGTAATTAATTGGCATATGTGTGACTGTAAATCATCATAATCGGTCGACATCTTGACGAATAACACAAAGAAACAACGATATGATAATTTAGGTGATAGCACTTTTCTAAATCTATGCAATACTTTTTCTTTCATATAAAATTTGTTATATTAATAACCATCCATCAACATCATTTAACTAATTCAACGTAATCTATCAACAAACGTGTTTTACTCTCTCTCTCTCTCTCTCTCTCTCTTTTCTTCTCTCTCTCTCTTTCCCTCTCTCTCTCTCGTACACACACACACACAAAGATATATATATATATATATATATATATATATATCACAAATTTTTTGTTTATTTTCAATTGTTTGGTTCTTGATAGTTAGTTTTGGAATTGATGAGCTTGGAGGTTGTTTGTTTAGAACTCCATTTTCATAACTTTTATTCACTTATTTGATATATTGTTGATTATATGTACAAGTCTGGTCTGTACAAGTTTTGATTTTCTTATGGGATCTCCGTAAATCCTCACAATCTCAAATTTTCATTTTGTGTTAAATAAATGAATTTTTGATTTGATTTGATAAATTTATTAGCAGGGAGGATTCCAATTGCACGTTGATGGATATTTATTATTAGATGTCTTTGTTCTATGAGTATTGATTCGGCCAGTGGTTAATTAAAATGGTTGTTATTGTAATGTAAGATTTCAACATCGTGGTCCAAGATTTGTCTAGTAATTTTAGTTTTGTGTTTCTCTTTCAGGTGATTCTTTATAGCGTCAGTTTGTACGTGCATCGTGAGTCTTCTCGATAGCTTGGTCGTCGTCATGCCATGGCTTACCAGTGCAATTGTTTTTTATTACGAGAGATGACGTTCTTTGGTTAGAGAACAGAGAAGTATGTTTGTAGTTCGTAGTTTAATATTATACATATTCAATTCAATTCAAAAATAGCTTTATTCAGCAAAATAACAACAGTTTTTCGCTAGGAGACCCGAAGTATCAACTTGTAGGGCCACCTATACACAATAGAAAAGGATTATGGATAGTAATAAACATAAACATGAAACTAATTCTATTATAAACAAAATATAAAAATAATAGATGATGAGAAAGGAATTCTTTTAACTATACACTAATAATAATAATAAAACATTTTCGAGTAATATGAAAATTAAGACAATAAAACTAAATGGTCGAGTTGCTATATTAAAAATTAATCAAGAAAAGTAATTTCAACGAACCAATTTGTTAATTATATAATTATAAGAACATAGAGTCAATGAATTCTTAGCATATATTGGCAGTAAATCCCAAAGATGCATTGATAAAGAAAGTACTGAATTTATATAAAAATTTAACCTGGGTTTAGAAAAATAAAAATCAGAATTATATCTCAAGGATCGAGTATTTTGGTTTTTAAATATGATAATTTGCTTATGAAGTAGCGGACAAAAATTAAGTTTATATAATTTAAAAAAGAAAATTAAAGAATAAAAAGTGTGTAATTGACTTACATTTAAAATATTTGCCATATTATAATAATGGCTATTGTGATCAATTCTATTTAATTTAAACAAAATACGCAAGAAAAAATTTTGATTAAGAGTTAACATATGAAGATTGGACTTCGAACTACAACCCCAGACAGGAATGCAATAAGTTAAGTAAGGCAAAATGAGAGAATTATATAAAGACATTAAAGTAAAAATAGGAAATCTAGATCTCAAACGATAAATTACACCCAGATTTTTGGATAGTTTGCTAGATATCCACCTTATATGATCAAACCAATTCAAATTACTAGAGATAACAACACCCAAAATTTTACAGAATGTACTCTTTTAATTAATATATTAGGATAATAAATGTCTGTACGAATTTTAGGACCAAAAAAAATAAATAAAGTTTTGTGCAGGTTAATTCTTAAGTTATTAGAAACAACCCAATCATAGACATGAATTAATTCATTATTAATTGTAGAAACCAATGAATCAAGATTATAATTCGAAAAAAGTAAAGTAGTATCGTCGGCAAAAAGTACAAATTTTAAAACACTAGAAGAGTTAATAAAGTCATTAATAAAAATATTAAATAATAGAGGACCCTAAATAGAACCTTGCGGAACACCTGATGCAATAGAAGACAGTTGAGACAGAATTATTAATAGAGACATATTGATAACGTTCATGCAGATAAGAATAAAACCATTTATAAGCTATTCCTCTTATACCGTATCTAGATAATTTATTTAGTAAAATTTTATGATCCAATGAGTCAAAAGCCTTACAGAGATCAATAAAAACGCCAATAGAGAATTTTTTAAACTCAAGAGCAAGAGAAACATAATTTATTACGTCAGCAATAGCAAATTGTGTAGATTGTTTAGGACGAAAACCATACTGATTAGAGCAGAAAATGTTATTAGAATTTAAAAAATTAGAAAGTCTATTATGAACAATTTTTTCAATAAGTTTGGCTAAACTAGAAATAATAGATATAGGTCGGTAATTATTAATAATATGCCTATTACCAGATTTAAACAAGGGTATAACCCTAGAAATCTTTAAACATTTAGGGAAATAACCATTATTAAAAGACAAATTTATTAAATGTTGTAAAGGAATAATAATATTATTAAAAGTTTTTTTTAGTAAAAAGTTTGAAAAACAATCATCACCCGAACTATAAGAATTTTTAAAATTATTAATAGAATCAATGATTTCAAGGAAGGAACAATCAAATAAAATAAAAATGTTTGAAAAATGAACATCCAAATACTTACGATAACCATGACTAACATTTTCACCACCCCTAATGAATGACTACAATTATCCACAGTAATATTATAAGATTGAATTTTTTTCATACCCATACATGGCATCAATAAATTCCAGGTACATTTAGCATTATGCCTATTTCTATTAAATTGATCCCTAAAATACATATCTTCTGAAACTCTACATAATTTTACAAAAATATTTTTGTAATTTTTATATAACAATTGGTCAGACAAAGATTTTGACTGTAAGAACTTCTTATAAAGTTTATTTTTAACAAAAGAGGAAATAACCAAACCCTTGGTAATCCAGGGTTTTTTCTTGCGAGTTCGTTTATGAGTTGCTAAACAAAATTTAATAACAGCTTGCTTAAAAATATTAGAAAACAATTCAAAAGCTGTATCAGTGTCTGAACAACTTAAAACAACATTCCAATCCAAAGTCTTTAGGTACATATATATATATATATATATATATATATATATATATATATATATATATATATATATAGAGAGAGAGAGAGAGAGAGAGAGAAAGAGAAAAAAGAAAAGAGCATAGAGTTTTTCAAATTTTTGAAAAAACAATTTTTTTCCTCAAATAGTGAGGACTATTTACACAAAAAGCAGCGTACCTTGTGTGCATTTCTGCAGTGAGTGCGTGGTGTTGAGTAGATTTGTAAAAAACCAGATATTCATATGAAAAAAAATTTTTTTTCTCATGGAGTGGTCAACCCTATAGCAACCCCCCTAGCTAAGTAGCACCCCCCCCGTAGCTAAGTCCTTATTTTTATCCATGCAAGTAATGTTTCTTCATGCAGACACACAAATTTCCAAATTATACGCTATTTTGAAAAAATTGGTTGTCAAAAATTAATCACTGACGATGATATAGTAACATATGGTCTAAATACGTGGGCAAAATATTGCGGGGTGAATCTCTATTTAAACATCCGATTATTCGTTGCTTTCTTTATTAATTTGATGAAAATCGAATTAATTCTTTGCTTCTAGATAATCTTATCTAATAGTAACAATGGTTTCGTTAAAATTTTTCACACTAATTGTTACCTTAACGTTAAGTTGCGACCTGGCAGCCAATGAACGTGTCAAAGGTAAATGTATTAGTTATCGTTTTTAAAATTTGAAATCAAACCTAGTTTTTGATTAATATGCCTCTTAATTGAGAAACAAACTTGAATTGTGAATTTTTTAATTTCAATTTATTGTCAAAAACTACAGTTGAAAATATGCAAGTCAAACGTGTAGGCGGCAGTGGAGACTTGGTTATAGAAGTATTCTTTATCATAGACAACTCTATCTACAACAAGTTATCACAAACTTCTTTTGAAGATTGAATTTATTCTTATAGAGATATTAATTTTATTTCTATTTACCCTTTCCATATAACCTTGTTATTATGTAGTAATGAAACATTTTGTGTAAACAATTTTAACATATAAACCAACATTTTAATATCATATTTATAAGGCTTCCCTAAGAATATTTCCTAAAAAATTAACATTTATAACAAATTTTTAAAAACATTCTATTGACCAAACTGTTTAATATTACATTAATTACATCATAATTTTATCCAACGACGAGAAAGACATTCCTGTTATTATACAAACCCATTACTCTTCAACCGACAGATGGATGGGTTACTATGACAACAACAAAGACAAAACTATCGACATGCTTCGCTACCACTTTGCACATTTGGCTGATGGGGTATGTTGCCAAATGTTAATCTAAATTTAATTATTTCAATTTTATTTTTACTTATTACATCATTTGAAAGTTTCAATTAAGCTGATAAAATACTTTGTCTACGATGTTTTTATTTGGTTTATGTTTGTGAGTTCCTAAGAATTCAGTTCATTTGCCTAGTTTTTTTTAGTTTTGAAAATCTTGTTATTGAACATTTGCAAAGGTTGACCAGAAATACAGAACAATTGATGACAGGCAGCACACGTATTCGATCAAACTTATTGGCTTCTACATAGCCGATGTGAGGAAACAAAATTATTTTATAAATTTATTCAACTCTCTTCTCTGTTAATTAATGTATCTAAAAGTAACAACTACATTATTACAGTCTATGCAAACACACGTGAATCAAGACATCGCGCCTGCCAGCAATGATATTTATTTAAAGTTGTCAATCTTTTTCAGACTCCCAACAAAGTGCCATTCATAGAGAATAACAAAATCAACGATGAAACTTTAAACATGAATGCAGCCTTAGAAAGCTTGTTGATATGGGTGAAGGATAACGTGAAGACATCTGATAATCCAAATAAAATTATTCCAGTTTTTGACATGGCTGTTTTATTTACCAGGTTGCTTTTAGCAAAATCACTGATATTATTATAATTTCAGTTAATATTGTTGTTGAGTTTTTACAATTATTTGATTTTTTTTCAATTCTCGAACAAATTCCCTCCCCCCCTTGCTGACTACAGTTACGAGACAAACAACTTCATTAATGGCATAGCCTACAGGGGTACTGTATGTTCTACTCGTGCTGCGGCCGTTGTCAAGGTGGGCAACAGTTTTGCAGACACCTTAGTAATCTTCGCTCATGAGATGGGGCATATGTGAGAAGTTTTGTTTTCAAATTTTTAATCATGATTAGTTTGAAACAATTTTAAACCCAAATGACATTAGCATAATTTGAGGTACAATTCAAAATTAGGAAGATGTAGCTGAAGAGATGGCTTTAGGACTGCCCTATTCTTTTTATGAAAATTATTATTCTTTTTATGAAAATTATGAAAATTAAATTTTATGAAATTATTTGGTCAATAAATTTTGGTTTTTATTGATTCATACATGTTTGGCCAAAAGCTAAAAATCTGTAGCCTTTCTTTGCAGGTTAGGTTCTCATCACGATGGCGTTCAAAATGACTGCAAACCAAAGGATTACTACATAATGACTGCTGTATACGAGGCTTATGCGAAAAATAACAACTACCATACATTCTCACCATGCACCAGATTCAACTTTGAAAATCATACCAAATATTTGGACCAGTGAGGGTTTAATTTGACAAAAAAATGATTTGCCAATATATCGTTGACTGTTCAAATCTTTTTTATAATTTCAAGAACAGGACAAAACTGCATGTCAAAATCAAACATGAGCAGGAAAGCTGAAGATACGTCGGGATATCTGAAAGAGGCAATGGGATTGAAGTACAGTCCAGATTTTCATTGCGAGATGAGATTAGGGAAAGGGCACAAATTTTGCACTGTTAGTTTTTAGTCATAACTTTTCTATTTTAGCATTAAATTGAGCTATTCAGTTATTTTAACTAAATTATTATTCAAATATTACTTGAATCAGTCACATTATTTTAAAAAAAATTGAATAATTCTATCTAAACATTAAAAATTCCATCAAAAATTGTACTTGATAGTTTTTACCGGATAAATTTTAAATTCTTTTTTTTTAAATAATTAAAATTAAAATTCAAAAGCCTGGCGTTTCTGGTCATGCTGATATGTGCCGCGAAGTTTACTGCTTCGATCCGCAGACAAAGGGTTGTGCTCCCATCGGCCCTGCCTTCGCAGGCTCTTCCTGTGGAGACAAAATGTGGTGCATGGATAAAAAGTGTGTTCAAGATGACAGGGCTCCTGCTGTTACAGGTTTTTTTTAAAGATTGTATTTACTGGGATTGAAATTTACAGGTTGATGCCTCTATACAAATTTCGGTCGTTTGACAACTTTTATAAAATTTACAATGAAGTTAAAGTTGAAATTTTATAAAGTTTAATTTTTTGAAAAATAAAATGCTTAAAATAGATGCAAAAAATAATTTAGACCCGTGCATATATGGAGACGCACCGAACTTGTTCCATGAAAGTGACTACTCGTATACATGCGAAGAAGTTGCACTAGATAAAAGGAAGTGGTGCCCCATTGCCAAGAACAACTGTTGCAAAACGTGCAAAGGATTCTAATCTATCGTTATTTGATTGTTGATTTAAAAGATGATTTGATCAATAAAAATTATTAGAATTAGAGCATTGTTCTTTATCGCATACAAATATGTTGATTGAAAGACAAACATCAATATAAAATATGTCCAAGTTAGTTTACTTAAAGATCAAATTTAGGCCAAGGTTAAAAATTTTGATAAAATTTTTTTATTAAATTGGGTTGGACCGCTCATTCTCATAAGCATGGCACAAATTCATAAATAATTCAATAATAATAATTTGAAAGCAATCAATACTATTCATGTGAGAAAAATAATAACTTGTAGATTATCACTAGCCAGTAAATGTTGCGAGAAAATTTTAGAATCACAAACAAAAATCTTAAGTACTGATACAGATTTATTTGTGAGGCCATAGAACAAATGTTTGAATGAATGAATAAATTTACCAAAGTATGTGGAGACTCGTCCAAGAAATTACGAATACGGTACAATTTGTGCAATTGATTGAAACGGGCGTTCTTTAATGATCCTTCATCAGTAAGTTCGAGTCCAAAACCGCAGACAATTACGCAACTGATATTGATTTTTGCCGGCTGCTGCCAAGTTGCGACCAGTAAAAACCTTGTTTTTCATTTTTCGTTGGTGAATTCAGAATCAGCTTTTTGATCTCTGATTTTGCAACCATAGGAAAACATAAAAACAAGTTAACTTCATCAATCTTTCTGGTGCCAAGAACGTGTTTGTCTGAAACACTAATAGATGCATCAATTATACCATTCTTTTGATTAAAATATCTTAAAATTTGATCAGATGTTAAATCATTGGAGACTTTAACATAATTTTTAGTTTTACAGACAACCTTGTTAACTATCCACAATATTTTTGAGTTTCTATTATTATCATCCATCAACTTATATCAGTACTTCATGCGTTTTTCAGACAAAAGTTTATTTTCCGCCCTCAAAACACTCCGCCATTCATTTTTACAATCCAACTTAGGATCCAATCTATCTATCATTCTCTCCAACCGTGAACAACGCTGTTTTATTGCTTCACACTCATCACCAAACAACAGAGCTGATATGTCTTCTCTGAAACTTGAGCAACCTGATCTACAATTACTTCAAGCTTACTATTGGAAAGGTCGAATTCTTTTCGGTTTCATTACTTTTTACATGGTCTTGACAAGCGGAGAGTCAACAATTAATTCAACATACTTTTCTGCATTAAATTTTCTATTCTTCACTGAAGTTGTCTTTATCATTGGTATAGCTACATAAATTGAACAATGGTTTAAAAATACATCTCTTGCAAAAATAATGCTTTTACAAATTGGAAATTCCACTGAGTTAACGATCAAACCAGAGTACCTAGCAAGTTATGCGTTGATTCAACTATGATGTTCGTCATTTGTCAAATACTTCCAACAGATTAACTGTATGAAAGCCATTTTCATTATTACATTTTGTTTATTTTTTCACAAGCTTTTTCAAGAAAAAAACATGAAATAAAGAGACAACATAACTTAGCCTATTCCTTCCATATCTATCTAAAAAATAAACAATTTTAACAAAATCATAGAAAAACACCCACGGAATTTGATACATAAAGTCAAAAATTCCGTGTAATTTAACAAAGTTGATGATAACTATTATAATTTTAATAAGTTTAAAAATTGTCTATCTTCCATTAAAACAAATACAATTAAACTTTGTTTTAACACGCTTACAGTTGTTCAAACAATTTGAGTCGATTCGAAAAAATGAAATCCATCTATTTCGTTGTTTGCATTATTTATTGACTTTGCGAAATTCGCGATCTAAGAACGTGTTCTTTCAATGTTTATGAGTATTTTTCAACATTGTGAACATCTATATATACGCATAAGCAAACTTGGTCTAATCGTTGGTTGTGGCGTTTTAGTTGAAATAATCAAATTTTAATTAATTAATTAAAATGAAATCATTTTTGTGTGTGCTGCTGGTCTGTCTTTTGCAGATTCACTCTGGAGCATCTAAAGAAGCAGGTTGTAGCAACAGAATTTTTTACTCTATCATGAATCATTTTTTATAATTTAGTTATGATTCAAAATTTTAATACTAAAAACATATTTTAATATTGCAGAATGCCCAAAATCATTCAAGTACACTGTGCAACTTGATAAGCAAGGAAATAAAGCAGATGTTGACATTCCTTTCACTGCTCGGGATGGTGACAAGGTTTAAAGTTAATAAATAATATTTTCCAAAAATTGTATTCGTTTCATAGCAATGAAATTATTTTAGTATTTTTAAATTTTTTGTAAAATTTTTAATATCATTCTTACTTTGATTCACAGTGCAGTTACAAAACAAACAATTGGTCGGTCATTGAAGGCAAGCTCCCTGAAAAAGCTGGAGGAAAAATTGTTTGGGTAAAGGATGTTGTTAAATTTGATTTCGAATAAAAGAAATTGCTGGTCTGTAATTATTTGTAACTTTCAATGCTTTGTTCGATATATTTTTTCTTATTACTGTTTCAACATATCAAGAAAAAATTTAGGGACGTCTAAAATTAAACTTTTTGTTTCTATAAAAAATTCTAGAGTGGCAAGTTCCAGAGTGAGAACTGGGTCTATTTCCTGGACGTGTTCACTGGTCAATGGATCTGTCCGAAATATTGCGTGCATTCAATGATTGATGATGTCGACTATGCCGTATGCAAGAAAATTCGGGTACTTATTTAAAATTAATTAATTTAAACCAATCATTTTTACTCCATTATCCATGATTTATTCGCCGTTGTAATTCTGTTTTCATTTTATAAAGTTGTCTTGCATGTTGTAACAGTTTCTGCGTCTGTCAGATTCTTATATTTAAAAAAATGATAAGAAGTATTTTAAGATTGTAATATGTTTACATTAGCTTGATTGATTATTTGTAATAATTATCAACTTTTAGACACAATATCTTATTTGACATTTTCAGTTGGGCAAATAATCGAAGTCGAGAGTTGACAACGTTTGAATTTCAAAATAAAACATCAATAATTCTATTAAATTTAAAAAAGCATTCGATAATTTGAATTACAATATTTGTTTTTTCCGATTCTAATACATTGTAATTTAACTCGATGGTTTTTTATTTTATTTAAAAGTTAAAATTTTTAGTCATGTACAAAGACAACAAAATTAATGCTAAATGATAAGATTTCCGTAGTACATAACAATACACAATGACATATCAAGGAAGAGTTAACTCACTAAAGACTAATATTAAAACGTCTTATCGTTTGAAAATTGCATCTAATAATGTATTAAATATTTGATGATACTTTATATAAGTTAATGATTGGCGTTATTTAGATATGTTTTTAACATATAAGAATAAATATTTATTACTAACATTTACTCGAATAAATATTTATACACAAATAGAACTTATGACAAACAAATTTCACTTTGAAACAAAACTTCCGTGTCAAATGCGACCATGAATAAAAAATCTGTATTTTCTTTTTTTAGCTGTAAATCTTTGATGTATGTGCCTGCCTAAAGTGTGTGTTTTAGGGCCAGCCAAATTTAGGACGGGGATCAATTTGAATTTTTTTTATTTTAGTCTTTCCCTACTGATTGGCGGTTGTTGGTTAGAATTTAATATGTCAATTCATAACGTCTTTTTTGGTTATAATTAATTCTTTTTTTAATTATTTTCTACATATATTCTGATTAAGGTGCAATGCCATAAGTTTTTCTGAAGATATATTTTTATTTGAAAGTATTTGAAATGATTATTACATTTCAGAGAGGATATGATGCAAGGTTGAAATTCAAGTGTTCAATAACGAACTGTTGTTAAAGTGCAAGTATTAAGGGGATTAAAAAAGATAATTTGTGTGTGTTTGTGAGTGTGTGGCGTGGTGTATGTGTAAATTTGATTTAATTAACTAATCACTAATTTCTATTCTGCTGAACTCTGATGAGAGTTTTTCAAAATTAAAAAAACGTTGGGTTAATTATGACGAGGTTTTCATAGTGCAATAGGCTATCGTTGAAAATAAAAGTAAGTATATTCAAAAGCAATGCCCATTATTTTGGCATTTTATCCGTTTCATAATAAAAATTTTTAATTAACTTAAAACAATCCACAATTTAAGCTTCTCAGTTTCATTTTTCAACACCTTTGGAATTTTCAAACCTTTCCAAGGACACTAAACAGTTCACCGCTTGTGCAAATCTTCCCATCGGCCTCGTAATATTTTTCCAACGTCTGCAAAATTATTGAATCGTCTTCGTAAGCTGGGACTGCGTGCTGTCGGATGATGCGAGCCATTGACTGTTTGCAAGTCTTTAAGTCATGGTAATACTGATAAGGATAAACTTTATCAATACTGTAGCCCAGCTCTGCTAGCTCTCTCTTAACAGTGTACGCTTCTATATATAATTTTCTCTTTGTCTCTCGAAAGACGTTGTTTACGTAATAAGGAATGTTAGCTAAAAAAAACAAGCGGTTACATTTTTTTTATTAAGGTACTTTTATATGCATTTTTTAATTGAATATTTTTTGAGTATATGAAAAAATTTATTTGTATATTTTTCAGACTAACTTTCATTCATATCCTTGTGCAATTTTATGAAGAGCTTCCCGTTGTGATTCAGCCAGTTATTAAAACATTTATCGTACAACGCCTTTTAGTAATAGTAAAAGGAAATTTTAAAGAAAATTTAACGTTATAACGTTTAGATTGAACTGTAAAAAAATTAACGACAAAATTAACAGTTAAGGGCTGGTTAAATAAATTTTGTTTCATGATATCAAAAAATTTCATGCAGATTTTTCGTAATTTTGAATCGTCACTAACCTTCCTCTCAGCTTCGTCAAAGTAATACAAACTATGAAATATGAGGATGAGGTCTGTTTTTGGTTTATCTCCGCTGGGACCTTGCCAACTTTGCGCCATTGTTAAATGGCAATTGAACTCCAGGTTGTACGGAAGTAATCTTTCAACATTCTTTTTCATCATCTCAACAAACTTCGGATCTTTCTCAATTACCGTCAGACGTTTAACGTTTTTCACCAGTCTTTATATTCGGTGATTTGAAATTTTTTTTTTACATTTAAAGACGACTTTAAAGTTAAATACTTTTTAAGGAATGTCAATTCACTTAGAGCAGGTCCGCCTCCAACTACAATCACGTCTTCAACGTCTTTCAGATAATGGACATCTATTTCGTCGTACAACTTGTCATACACTTCGTAGACATCTAGCAGTTCAAACGGCAAATTTATTTGCATTATTTGATTGATTTAAGTTTAAATAATAATAAAATAGATCAAAATGTGTAAAAAAAACTAACTCCCTTGCGTTCTGAAATCTCTAAAAGCTTCTCCGTAAGAATAGTCGTCCTCTTTTTTCTCCATCTGATTCTGGCGATGAATTTTATAATTAAGATGCATTCGCGTTAAACTTTAGTGTTTGTTTGGTGACATTTTAAAATATAAGAATTCGCAGGCATTTAAAAATGTTCCTGTATTTGGTGTTGTCTCACATAAATTAGATGTAAACATACTTAAAAATGCAAAGTCCAAAAGTGTTCAAACTTTTTCATTTGCGCATTATAATACATACATACATACACACATCACACACACACACACGCACACACACACACACAAACACACAAAAAAACAGACAAACCCACACATTTGTTGAACGATTACAAAAATCTTATTATTGATTATAACGATGAATACTATGATGATGATGTAGCAATAATATTAATGAAGAAGATGATGATGAGGAATATTACAATGTTAGCCCTGATTCAAGTCAGTTCAATTTTTTATCCGTTCAAAAGCAATCACATCAACAATAAAAAAAATGATCAAAATTTTTGTTAAACTAAACAATGATTTGAATGTGATTAAATTTTGAATGACCAAATAAGATATAAAACTTGAGCAGACCCATCTAATGAGACAGATGGTATGATATTTTAAATCAAATCAAATCAAATTTTATTCAATCCAAATTAATAATAATTAGGTAATGATTAGGACTGAGACCAAAGCTAAAAGAAAACAAAATTCTTGTGTCGTAGGTCACCGTTCGCAAATTGGTTTGATATGATGATAGCAATGTGATGATGAACGTTGGTTATCAGAGTGAACACCTTAAAGATGGCTGTGATGGACATATATATATAACTTGCGATGTCGTCAAAAAGGTGATGTTTCAAAAAGATTGAGAAGTATGGTTGAATTCTTTATCGCATGATGATAATGTTTCGAGACGCGTCGATCCACCTGTAATCTTTCCGGGAAATTACTTCATTCATTTATTATAGGCCGCGGAAAATTACCAGATTGGATCAAAATAAAAGTGAAGAACTGCTACAAAAGTTTCACTAACACACTCAACAATAGAAACACACGATAATGTTAAATACGCAGCCACTAAAAATGCAAATTCAATAACTTTATATAAATGCATGTGAATGTTTCGTTTTGTGTGTGTGTATGTATGTATGTGTATAAACTTCGGGTCTCCTGCTTTGGCTGAATGAAACATTTTTTGAATTGAATATATATTTTTTTACAGAATATTTATTACATATTTACTTGAAATAATTTTTATATTTTAATTATTATGTTATAATAGTTTTATGAGTTTTATAAACAATTGATTAATTAAATCGTTTGCTAAAAATAAATGCAGCTCCTCATCATTTGATTTGTACCCAAATGTTGATTCATTATTGCTCTTTTCAGAATTTTTTTATAAAATGTATTGACGTATATGTACGTACATTTCTCATTTGAAACTCATTCACTCATTCGTACATACAAATTTGTGCACGTTTGTGCATGCGAATGAACACAGAGACGTATTCGTTATCTGCCCAACACAAGCGACTCATTGTGTAAGTGCTATAGAAAATCGAAATAATGGAACACACTTTCAAATTTTTGTTGAATTGTTATAGGTAGTAGTGAGGCTTTCGTAACAATGCTTTGTTCTGTACTGTAACGCTATTCAACAGCATATGAATGCCTTTGTTTGAAATTTGGGCTTGTAGATACCATCATACAAACGCAACAACAATAGATGCATCAGGTTTTCGTTGGTTGCAGTGATTCTGATGAACATTTAACAGTTAACTCATTTTTAATGGGGATTTTATTATTTTGACAGTATTTTAAATTTGTAAAAATTTTCTTATTTCGATTTTGGAACATTTAAATTTCTTTCGAACGCTTTCAGTATAGTTTTTTTTACAAATAATATAAATTATTATGTTCGACATAGACATAAAAATCTTCCACTATTTTGATTGATTTGAAATTTTGAAAAATATGGCGGAGGAGCAGGGGCAGGGGCAGGGGAACCAGAAAAACGAAAAGGGTCAACTCACCGAAAAAGAATACGTAAGAATTTTTCAAAAATAATTTAAATTTACCTGAAAATTATTTTTTAAAAAAAATAATTATAATCACTCTGATTGAAATAATTTTAACTGTGTCGCAAACTTGTTGAGAAAAACTGTAGAATACGAGTGAAGATTGGGTGGGATGACAAAAAGTTAATGGTTAAAGGCACCTAATCATGTGTTGTAGTGGTCGGGTTTGAATTCAAACAGATTTCCACCTATCATATAAATTGATTTGTATCTAATTAATTAACGCGGATATTTTGGCGATAACCCTGAATATTGCAGTAAAAGCTATTATATTACTATATAAAATTCTAGCGTTGTTTAAGGTTTCATAACCATTTTTGTCAAACATGTTAAATGAATTTTTTTAGATAAATTTGTGTTCTATTTAACGAACATACCTCATTGAGTTTTTTTTAATAAAAATTTATTTAATCTTTTTTAGAATGGAATTTTAGGCCTTTACAGATCAGAGTTCAGAACAGCTAACCTATTTTTCCCGATCACCAATATAGACCTTTTCAACAAATCCCAGGTTTTTACTGCTCAATTCATTATTCAATTGCACGTTTCTCACAAATTTTAAATATTTATTTATTTTTTAGCTTGGAAAAATTTGTTTATTGAATTGTGTAAATCAAATTTGTTTTCTGAATGCAATATTAGCGATGCTATTATTACTTTTTTTGCTTACAGTGGCCAATGCCTTCAACTATTTTTGTGTCGTACAAACTGGCAGTTGCCATCTACACAACAATCGTCGTCATAATCAATTTGACAAAAAAAGGGCTCAACTATTTCGTGTACATATCAGAAATTTCCTACTCGGTTATAATGATTTATTTCGTAATCTCATCCATTCGTGTTTTAGTTCACGATATATCACAGCGCATAAGAGGCAAACCACCACCGGACATCCTGGTGACTCCACAAGACATTTTTGGAGGAAACCTCGTAGTGATACCTGGACAAAATCGGGGATTCAATAATCAAACTGGAAACGCTGATATCTCTGGAGCTGTGAAAAACATACAAACTTCAGGCAAAATAAACCAAACCATTAACGCTGGGGCTGGGGCTTCTGCCTCCGTTGGAAACAACGGACTGACATCTCGACAAACTACAGACAATGTTAACCAAACTGATAACACTGGAGGGCTTGCCTCCGTAGGAAACAACGTGGCGACATCCAGACAAACTACAGGAAATAATAACCAACCTAACAACGCTGTGACTCGGAGTCCCGTGACAACAATAGTGGTGACGTCAAAACAAACTACAGGCAGTAGTAACCAAAAAGGGGACGCTGGTGCTCCTGAAGCCGTAGGTGACGTTGTAGTGACTACTAAACAAGTTACAGGAATTATTAACCAAACAAGCAATTTTGGGGCTGCGGGTCCCGGGACAACAATTCAGTTGAGATCTAAACAAACAACAATAACTAATATCCAAACTAACAAGACTGGAATTTTCAGTCGTCTGAAAAACTTTGGGAGAAAATTAAAAGAAACCTCAGGCATTAATGACCAAATTGACACAACAGGTCCTATAAATATTTTTGAAAGAATTACCATTTATATAGAATGGTTGGTTAAACACATTGCTTATTTTGCGGCTCCGATAGTTACAATAAGTTACGGCTTTACCGGGGAGGGCCCTCTTACAATGGATGATGTCAACGCAAACATAATGAACATTTTCATTGTCTTGATTGACCTGCTACTCTCTGCATCTCCTGTGAAATTGTATCACATTGTATGGGCGATCTTTTACGGCATTCTCTACGGTCTGTTTTCATATCTTTATTACACAAAGTATGGAATCGTCCTCTACAAGAATCTAACAGATTGGTCCGATCCGTCAAATGTCATTAAGAATTTGTCTTTAATTATTTTTGTCGGAGCCTTTCTCAGCAACCTGCTCATCTACGTTTTGTATTCACTGAGAGTTGCTTCGTACTCGAAACTGATGAAACATTACAAATCCATGTCCAATGAAAAAACTGTTATCTACGTGAAGGCTGCATGAACTTTTTCTCTTATTTCATCTCCAAATTAACGCGATAAACTACCCTATTATTTTCAAAAATGTTTTTAAAGTATTTAACTGGTATATATATATATATATATATATATATATATATATATATATATATATATATATTAAATGTTCGTTTTTTCAACAAAAAATATTTAAAAATATTTTTTGTCTATCTTTTTGTTGATTAACTTTAACAAATTTTATTTTTTATAAGTATGTTATAGTTCTATTATTGTCGTTTAAATAGCATTTTTTAATTTTAAATAGATTTAGGTACAATGATGAATGTTTCGACTGAATCAATGAATTATTTTAAATAAATGCATATGCTTGCCTATATATATATATATGATGGTTTGACTGACACACAAAACCGTGCAACCAATTCTTTAAGTAAACTTGTTCGTAATAGACAAATTAATTTAAACTCCTTAAATTTATGGAGAAAAACAAAAGTTGAAACGTGGAATGTTTTTGCTAACCCATTTCGTTCAACGTTTTTGATAAGAATAATAATTAAATATCAGTTTCATGTTAGACTAGAGTTTATCTATCTTTTAACGTGATTTAATTTTTTTATTTTGTTTAATTACTTTTTTGTGTTTAATCATAAGAAGTTATTTTATAGGTGAAAAGTTTGATAACTAAGAGATTGAGTATATTTTTTATTGTTTCTTTTAACTTGTTTGAAATTTCAAGCAAAACCGTTTGACCTCGAGATGTGTTGTCGCAGGTTTAAAGACTTGGAAGTTTTATGATGATTTCATGTGGTTATTTATTATTTGAATTTGAAAATTTTATCGAAATGATTTTTTTATTTTTCTTACTGCAAATTGAATTTAAAAAAAACTTTTTTTAATAAATTTTTGTTCCATACTACATCGTTTGAGTTGATTTATTGCATAAAGTTACTACTCATCAATTTAGAAGACATATCCCATTAGATTATACGTTACATTACGTTTTCGTAATATAGAAACGTGTATAAAATAATTTATGACAAAATCCTAAGTAATTGTAATTTCATTTATGGCTTTACCTCTTAAAAATTGAAAGATCTAGCAGCAGACGCGCGTCTGAAAATGTGTTTAGCAGAAAAGAAAATCTAAAATGATATCATAGTTATATAGGTAGATAATCACTCAAAATAATCACTCACCAATGTGATTTGCGTGCATTTACAGAGAATTTTAAAATAAATTCAATGTTATGAAACCTAGATCAAATATTTTTTGGCGTTTTTCGGGTTAAAATGAGTAGGCCTACTTGTTTAGTTTCATGAGGGAATCTTTGAAAAATTTGTTTTTAAGCTGTGAAGTTGTCAATTAATATCCTATTTTCAACATTAAATCTAGTTTTTGAGCAGCAAGTACTGCCATCAATTCTGATAAAAAATAAATAAAATTTAGTAATCATGATTAAGTTTATTTAACATTTAGACACACATGTGAGATGCATCTATTTTTATCACAGGATCTTGTATAAATTGTAATGTGTTTCCGTACCGTACAGACAATCACGACACGACAAACGTTTAGCTTGATTTGCTAGATGGTTTGCTGCCATTTTTTGTTTAACAACTTATATTCTTATAATTATATAATTAATTAAAATTGAAATAAATAAAACTATCGAATTTTTATCTATTATCTATTTCACTGAAACGGAAATAAATAAGTTGGATTTTGAAGAACAGAAACTACAGAATTACAGAAACATGAGAACTTTTTATGAGAACCCGGCAAAGCTATTGAAATTATAATTTGGTTTGCATTGTATTGCTTTTGTGCTTCATACATTAGCGTTAGCATGAAAAGAAAAGCAGTTGTTACATTAGGCGGATCCTATTGTAATCAGTTGTAGACGTTTTTGGCTCGGTGCCGGTGCATTATAATCACAGTATATACACACAAAGACACACACCACAGACACACAGAAACACACACACACAGACACACACACATACACACACATACACACACATACAAAAGATGTTGAATTCGCTGATTTTATTAAAAATTCACGTACGAGCAGACGATTAAATAGTTATCATTCAACATCAAATTTCGAAATTAAGTAATTTAAATGATATTTAGAAATATCAATATCATGTCATACTTTTCCATGGAAGCAACTGTAGCATGCACCACTGACGTCACTCTGCTAGACATTAACTTTCATATTGCAATTAGCGTCATCGTCTTCGTCGACTTGAATTTGCAACTCTAGCTAAACTTGCCATTATTCGAAAATTCATACTAATGTTTGAATATTTTTTCATCTCTTCAGTAGATGACACTGTTTGGCACATATTAACCAGCTATTGAAATTTTTCATGTTTTTAAAAAATCTTTACAAAAAATCACAGGCTATAACATGCTATCAGTTTATACTTTTGACATCTATTTTGACTTTTGAAAATTTATTTTTAAGCTAAATCAAATTGTATCAATTTGAGATGAACAACGAATCTGTGCATCGTGTGATGGAATGAAACTCTCTTATTCAAAACAGGTCTTTCGTTATCAGTTTTTTGAATTCACCGAAAAGTAACAACAACAAGTTAACTAATTTAACAAACACTATATACTTCAATTATTTCGTTTTAATAACTTTTAAATGAAAACTAGAAAATAACTTTACATCTGTGTAAAACATTTTTATAAAAATTGATTTTCACTATAATGTTCAACATTCTAACAATAAAATTCATTATTTTTTGCTCGAAAATTTTATAAATATTCAATTAAGCTTTGTCTGACACATTGTTAACAACGCAAAATAAGATTCCAGCTCCATAAGCCTTCTTACCGTCTGCGATCATCTTGTTCATTTCCTTCTTAATAACATCCAAATTTTCGTATGGAGGAGTAGCATCGTATTGAACGAAATGCAGCATGCGATTGTTGAAGAGCTTCAAATCCAAATAAAACTCGTAATGATGTTCGCTTTCGATTTTGTAGCCCAAACTGCGAACCTCCTCCTTTATTGTGAAAGCTTCCAACTGCGGCCGTCGTCCTGTCTTTCTGTAAAAGCTATTCAGCGTGTCTTCGTCATTGTCTGGTGAAAATAAAATTATGTTTAATTTTTTTTTCATTGGTAACATTCAAGTGCGGATCCAAAACATTTAATGGGTGAAGCAACTTTGACCGAGAGGTCAAAACTGAAAATTTTGTTTGAGTTGCCAAAAAAAAGACGACCTTTTTGCTTATCGCACAACTTGTTGTCAACTTTGATATCTAATAAGATGATTTTCATGTCCTAAATAGTACTCAGACAACATACATGTTTGACAAACTTAATAAAAATTACAAAAAAATCCTCCACTAATATGATCTCAACATAATGATTAAAGATGACTGACTTTCGTGAAGGTCTTTAGCCAATTTTATGTACAACTTTCCGCCGGGATTCAACCAATCGTTAAAACACTTTCTGTAAAATTCCTATGGCAAGTTAGCAATCACATCGTTGAATAAGACAATAATTAATAGGTTAATGATTTAGAATAGTTTTTCCATTAAAATTAAAATATCATGTTTCACGTTCTAAAAGTAAATCTCACATTCTGACCTTTCTTTCTTCTGGTTTAAAATAATACAGACAATGGAACATCGTTATCAAATCAACTCGAATGTTTGGGCCCTGCCATTGTTGAGCTTCAGAGGAATGCAACTCCCCTACGATATCTTTGTGCAGTGAATTGCTCAGGTTCATTTTCAGCTGTTCTAGGCATACGGCGTCCTTATCAACTAAAATTAAATGCTTCATATTCGGAGCTACCCTTTAAAAAAGTTTTTGATTCATTTGGGATGGTGTGTCAATATGACTTGGGTTATTCTGATTTTTGTAGAATTTTGAGTGTTTAATAACATTGTAGACTTATAGATTTTAAAATATTACAATATGGTTCTATAATGAATGTTATTCACTTATTATATGTGCGACTATCAGAATCATCTCTTACTTACTTTGCTGGCTAGTGACGTTTTTCGTCAGAAAAATTTTATAATACTATTAAAAATAAATTAGATACTTGAATAAATTTGAAAAAAAGAACCTCTTCAGAAATTCCAGCTCACAAACAGCAGTTCCACACCCAATCGCAATGACTCTCTCGACACCATCGCAAACTCCCACTTGATCGTACGTCCCCTTGTAAACATCGTAAACTGTTGTGTGATTTTAACAAACCATTAAACAAACATTCACATACATATTTGAATCTCAGCACTTCTAGCTAAATTATTATAAATCATAAATTTTTATATATATACATAAATAATTAAATAATTTAATAGGTGAGTAAATTAATTTTTGATTAATATTCATGAAAAATTATTTCAAAGTAAATATATTCCCCTTAATGATTAACCTCCAAGTTGCCTTATTTCATGCAGTGATTCGGTGCAGGAATACTTGCTGTCGTTTGCATCATCCATCTGCCAGCCTAACTTTTGAAATCTTCAAGCAGACGTGAAAAGTTATTCGCATCAATTCCCCTTCATAGACTGGGTATATAAGCAAATAAAATGAAATGGTACTGCGTGTTTTAAGCTGATGTACATGTATTATTAGACGCGCAATTAAAAAGGTGATTTTGTTTACAACAATGATAATAATTTATCGATCGATCTTCATTTCTTCGTTTATTTATTCGTTCGTTCATTCATTCATTCATTCGTTCGTTCAAACTTACCCAAGTTATCAAATCCTTAATAACATAATTCACTGAACGTATTTAAACTCTTCATTGTTAAAAATTTAATGAAGGAACGAATGAAATCACGTAAGGAACGTTAAAACATACTCCTCATCGGTTAAATTTGAAGTTTGAGATAAAAAAATCTCTGAAGTGCTTCTTGGTAAAATTAAAATTCAGTTTCATAGGGCAAAGGTACAAGTGATTAAAAATATTCCTCGTGTCTGATAAAATTTTAAAATGAGAGAGTATTTTTTATGCATGGCGCTAAATTGGTGCCTATGTCTGTTGCGTTACTGTCTGACGACACGGAGCTCATTAACCATAATTTATTCTTCAATCTAAATGTTTTGTATTAACTGTTGTATTGCAATTAAAATATTATAATTTGTTTCAAAAAATATGAAACCAGAGTCGCAGTTGGGTCATGTAGATAACAAACCGCCAGGCTTCTAAGTACCATGTGTTAAACATTTTAGAAAAAAAAAGTAAAATCTTGAAAATTAAACTTGAACAAGTTGTGAGACTTGAACGGTCGACGATACATGTATTACAACAAACAACCAGAGAAACACACAGAAGGCAGACAGACGGACAAACAGATAGACAGACAGACATACAAATAATGAATTGTGATGTTGAAAATACTTACTAACTTTCATTGATGAAAATGATCGTGACATTGCCAACATTGTCAAGATTATAAACTTCGCATTTTAAAAACATTTTATTTTCAAAAAAAAATTTGAAAAATGGTTTCACGGAATTGAAAAATGCTATTTGAGTTTCTCAAAAAGTGCTATCAAAATTAATGCAAGCGTACCTATCAATCATTGCAATTTCAATGATAATATCACACACACATATTTGTTGCTTCAAAATATCGCTCTGGTTTATTTTTGATAAAATTTGAACATTAATTATTATTTATTAAACGTTTCATATTTGTTTAAATTATTCCTGTTTAGTATATTTTCAAAATAGTTTTGAAAGATTGTAACTAAACTATATTTATTTCATATTATAAAACTATTTAGATGAACAAATTTACTTCATTCAAATACATCTCAAACAAATACATTATTCACACGTACCTACATCACGAGCAAATGCATACAACTTATTGCCATGCTAGTTAAATTTATTGCAACACAAAACGGAGCCTGAACGCAACCTTAAAATGTGTTTATAAACACCTCATTAAATGTGAAACTGGTTTGAAGACAGACTTAACAATTCGTTAAAAAAGATAAAAAATGCAGGTTTAACAAATAAAATAGAAAAAGAGGAAAGCTGACAATCACCAAGACCAAACAAAATAACCTATTGAAAGTGAGACGACTTAAAATAAGGTTGTTATTGAAACTTGGAACCAAAACAAGACAACTTGAGAGGGCAAAAAGAGTTAGGCCAATAACTATTTGCAATGTACAAACTCGATATATTGTACTCCATGTCTAAAATTTTTAATTATAGTGTCGTAATGCAGATTTTGTACAGCGCTTCATGAGTTGTCTAAATGTATATAGATCATGTTTTTAAATAAATATAATTTCGCAAGTAAACTCTACGTTTCAAATGTCCCATCTCAATATTAAGAGTACAAGAGTCGGCTTGCAAGTTACAAAAATGTAATGAAAATAATAAAAGCATCTTACTAAAGCGGCAGACGTTTGAGATTTGGCAGTGTGTTAATTTGTGTACAGAAAAGATTATTAAATCTAAAACTACTAAGCCATCAATCACATTTCTTCTTCTTATTTCTTTACTATCATAATTAATGCTCTTAACAAACGTTCAAAGATACCATCAACACAGAGCTCGTGCACCGCGCACATTGCAAGTGATAAACGAGAATCTCTGCATTGCATCTCGACCATCACACCATGATATTTTATTTGATAACATCGTTTGCAATAATTTTTTTTATTTATATGCTTAACTTTTCAAATTATTCAGTTGATAAAAGAAAGCCGAACGCTGACGTTTAACAAAAAAATCACTACTGAAAGAATTATTATTATTATTGAAATCAACATTTGTGTGATCAGCAAGCTAGGTTCAAAGTTTTTAATCACTTTATTAATAAAATGGAAAGCGTTATTGAAAACAAAAAGCGTTATTCAAAGCAAAGTATTTTCAATGTAAAGCAGTATTACTGAACATTGTTCAATAATTTAAAACGTCCTGTCAAAAATGTTTACGGCTGATTATAGCAGGTGTACTTCAGCTGATTCCAAACCAGCCCAACAGGGCAGGGTATCACATAACACTGCTGCCACTCAGAGCATTGAACGAATAGAGTGGAATTTTTGTGGGGAAAATAAAATTTCTCAAGAGCAGCATTTGCTGCTGTGCAAGGATTGCTTTCAGCACAGTTGTAAAACGACATGTGAGAAGGTTCTTCTGGTTTTTTTGGCCGGTCAGTCGTGACGATCTGTTTGGAGTTCAGATCCCGTGCACATGTTTCAGTTTGCGCGCTCCAAAACAGTCCGTCAGGGCATGATATGACATGACATTCACCGTGCTTGATGCACTGAACGAATTTGGATGCATCCTCGCTGGGGAAATATAACTTAGCAGAAGCAGAATTACTCGTGTTGCAAGGATTTTTGTTGTCGCAATTGAATCCATCAGCTGCTTTTTGCATTGTTGAGTTACATGAAAGGTCTAAAATGAATAAATATTATTTTGTTTTTATGTTTTTAAATAATAAAGTTAAAGTGATGAAATACATTTTGTCCTTACCTTCAATGCATTCAAACGAGAAATGTTTTCTTGGTACGCACAGCTTATTAGTTGGGCATGGATTTGTATTGCAAGCTAAGGATTCTAATAAATGACATTAGATTGATAATAAAAAAACAATTTTTTGTAGTTAACATCACCCAAAAAACATTCAATTAATTATAAAGTAAAATTATAAAATTGTTTAATGTTGCGAGTTACAAACCATTTTTCGAAGTTTCAATTTCATAGGAAGTTCTGTTGATAGTGCGACTTTCGATACGACAAAAGACATACCTCTCTTGAGCTGCGGGATTGCCAGGAAAGTAAACAACAGCAGGTATGAACTCGGTTATGTCAAACTTCAGTTCGTGGAAGGAAGAAGTGGGGTAGGTATCGTTGGAAAAGTACGCGATTCCGTCTCCACCGCTGATCTTTTACATTTAAATTAATGTTTCGAAATATTTTGACAAGTGGAATTGAAATAAAATTTTGGAGATTGTAACCTCAACTGCCAGCCCACAGAATGGTACAGTAATTTTAACATTTTTCGTTTCATTCGCATAGAGATAAATACGGATAGGATCTTCTGAGATGTATATCGGAGCTGTTGTAATCATTGATTTGAATTTATCAGAGGAAATTATAAAATTTAAACTTTGAAAAGCTTATGAAAATATTTAAAATTGGAGAATATTAATGTGATACATTTTTTAACCTTCACAAGTTTTCTTTTCAACTGTTTCCTTCAATGCATCTAAATCAAGGAAACCATTTAGATAGAAAACATTCTTGCAGTCAGGATCTGTTGCTATAGCTCTGAGTTCTACACTATTTATGTAACTACCTATGCCGACCGCAATGACTGTGATATCCTTTTTATGCAGTCTGTCAGCCGCGGCCAGAGTACTGAAAAAATTATTTGACGCCCCATCTGTCATGACGATTCCGATTTTTGAAACTCCTAAGGTTGTTGTTGTTGGAAGTTTTGAATAAATACTTAAAAAAATTATTTTTGAAAAATATTTCATTCAAGAAAATTTTTTACAATTAGTAGATCAAAATATTTTATCCTAACCAGCTGGCCGTGCTCCCGAACTAGGCAAAAACGATTGTGTTGCTAAATAATCTAATGCTTTGTCAGTTTGGGTGCCTGTCAAATTAAAATTTGATGCCTTAGTAATTTTCGGTTAACAATAAATACTCGATTTTGTTGTTCTCACCCTGGCTTAGATACACGATGTTTCCTATTGCGGCTTGATATTCTTCCAGCGTTGAATAGTCGTTTAATTTAAATTCAACTTGAACGATGCCAGAGAATTGAACCACAGATATTCTAGAATTCAAATTCGGGTCTGGCCCAATGTTCAACGCCGCAATGAATTTTTTCAAGAAAATTTTCACTTTATCGAAATTATCGTAGCCTATACTTCCAGATCCATCGACCACAAACACTATATCAGCTACTGAGTTGTTGCATCCTTTCATTAAAAAGAACACAAAAAATTGATGTGAATTAGATTTATACTACAATGCTTAACGTTAATTTTAAAAAGATGTACAAATTATTGCCTGTATTCAAATTAATCGCTTTGTTCATGTAAGTTGATGCTTGATCGGTTTTTCGGTATTCTAAACTCCAGAGATTTGCTTGATCCTCAACGGACCTTGGGATGTCAGAAGATACCAACGACAGGAAAATACGCGCTGCCAATCCGGAATAAAATGGCTTCAATAAATCGTTCCATGTTACGTTGTCCCATGCAATATTGAATTCAGATTGAATGTCAAACTGAAGTGATTGGCTCAATGATTGTGTCTTCATAAACATAGTTTCATCAACCTATAAGTTTATCAGGAAACAAATTTGAAATAGATAAGTTTTACATACCGAATCCTAATTTTTTTAAATTCATTTTCGTTTACCTTCCAAATGCCTCCATAGTAACCATGTGCATAAGTGCTGCCATCGAGTCCATCGTTACTTTCCACGTAGGCAATCCTCCTTAGCATCATCTTATCATCAGGGAAGATGCACGATGAATCCATCTTGTCACACACTGCATCGACCACACTTGGTCCGCTGGCTCGTTCTACCAACGTTTCATCGTACAGGCAATGCACATGCACACTGATGAACGTCGAAATTGAAAACAATAGTACCCCTGAAATTTTACTCATATTTCAAGGTTCACGTGTAAACTGAAGAGAAAATTCGAATTAAATGTACTTTTATATTGAAGAAAAACCGTGCATAGAATGGTGAAACTGTTATTTGATTTTAATTAAATTTTTTCCGGGGCCTTAAATCTTGCAATGATTGAAACATCAAACTAACTAAACTAAACTAACTCTGAGTATGTGTAAATGTAGTTTTATGTCTTAACAATACAAATGAATGTTAAATAACTGAGGCTTAATTTTCAATTATTTCTCAGAAACAATTAATTGTTTGAGCTTATCGTTGAAAACGTAAATCCTTTTTATATTCAAACTGGAATTAACTAAATCAAAATTACATAGTGACCGGTACATTACACAGTAACGGGTTTTAACCGTGGACTTTTGCCTTAAAATTTAAATTACTCAAACAACATCATAGAATTCCATTTGGTAATATATCATTTAATTAATTATTTTTTTAACGTAAAAACTAACATGGTTTAATCTATTAATTATCATTATTCTATATATATCTATTTTATTAAATAAATACTTAATTAGTTAATTATTTATTCATTTATTATTAATTATCACTTATTATTCATTCATTCACCCAAAATGTCATATGGCATCGATAACATTGATTGATCGGCATTTTCTCAGAGACATGGATTTAAATGCTTTTCAAATTTGTTACCGACAATTGTAAAAGTTTCAATGACGAATAAGAATTATTTTAAGATGTTTCTTTGTCTTTTTATTCTATTAGTTATTTTCTAAGTATAGGCGTTTTTTTTATGTATTTTTTGTTTTTAATAAAATTTGTGGAAAGTTCTTCTTTTAAGAATGATTCAACTTTTAAATAAGCAAAAACGCATAGAAGTTGTACAGAAATTTGTTTGAAAAATTTTAAATTTAGTATTATGATACCACAATAAAATATTTGTACCGGCTTGACGCTGACAGTTTTAACATATATATTTTTGCTTTATTAAATAATCTTAAACATAGTATGTTTTTGATCCTTATAACAGGAAATTACATTAAAAATTGTGAAATTTCAAGTTTATTCATTTACAACAGATAAACATTCATTTCAAAATGCTTAGTTTTTTTTTCAAATTTTTCCAAAAAATTTTTTTAATTTTTAGGTACAAATTTGTATTGCGAACCAAAAGCTTCTATGAGAAAGTGAATGTAGTGTTTTATATCATGGCTCTGGATCGAATGCACGTGTTGTACGTAGCGTGCCAAATAAGACTTGCAGGACAGGACATCTCAAAGCACTGGCCCCACTGACTGCACTGCACAAATTTGGAAGGGTCATCATGAGGGAAGTAAAATTTTCTTTTAGAAGCGTTTTCCTCTGTGCAAGGATTATTTTTAACGCAGCTGTATTTAGATGATTCCACTGAATGATCAGTTGTCGTTAATTTTCTCAACGTAGAAACTGCTGAAGTTTGGGTTGTAGTCAATTTTGGAGGTCTAGTAAACTCGAAAGAGGGAGTCGTCATTATTCTTGAAACTGTTCTTGACGTATTTGAGAATTTTATAAATGCTGTAAGAACAGGTGGGGCTGTTGTTGGAATTTCAGTAAACCCCAAAAACGGCGTCGATGGCTTCACTGTTGGAGGGGTTTTTCGCGTCCTAGTTAATTCCGGAAATGTAGTTGATCTAGTTGTCCTCGGTGTTCTGCTAAATTCGTAAATCGTTGTTGTCGGCTTAGTTTTCCCATACTCTAATAAAAAGTTATTCATAGAGTCAAAAATTATTTGTGATGTATTTGTATTTTTTTTTAAATTTAGAACTTACCGTCAACGCATTCATATGAAAAATGTTTTCTTGGAACGCACTTTTGGTTTATTCGGCAAGGGTTTGGATCACAACTGTCAGTTTCTGTGAAGCAAAATTTTTTTTAAACATATCAACAGTACTTATACATATCCAGTATTTTTCGTAATTGTGATCAATACAGTCTTCAAATTACTGACTGTTGTTCACAGTTTCAATTTCATAAATGGTTTTGTTATTGGTGTGACTTTCGATTCGGCAAAAGACATATCTTTCATGAGAATAAACAAAGCCAGGAAAATACACGACAGCAGGTGTGAATGTTGTTATGTGCACACTGATTTCGTAGAACGCCGAAGTTGGGTAAGTGTCATTTGAGAAGTACACTGTACCATCACCTCCAACGATCTAATCATAAAAAATCACTGTTTGTTATTTCAAAATAATTAAGATCTTATCAAAATTTTACCTCTACTGTTAGACCACTTTTTGTGACGGTTAATTTGCAGTTCCTAGTCTCGTTCGCGTAAAGAGTAAAGTTCAGTGGAGTGTCTGACACGTAAATTGGGGCTGAAAAATATAATTTAAATTCAAAATTTAATATATTTAATTGAGTCTAAAATTTGAAAAATGTTGGGAAATTTTTAAACCTTCGCATGTTTTCTTTTCGATTGTATCTTTCAACTCCTGCAAATCAAAATAGCCATCCAGATAGAAGACATTCCTGCAACTCGGCTCTGTTGCAATGGCAGTTAGCTCTTCTCTATTGACGCTAGCGCCGACTCCAACTGCGATGACAGTTATGTCTTCTTGGTGCAACTCTGCAGCCTTATCAAGTGTTAAGTTGTAAAAGTTGGAAGCTCCATCAGTTATTACAATTGCGATTTTAGGAACCCCTGTTAACGTAGTAATTGTTATTAGTGAAGTATTTAGGTTTATAATTTTAGCTGTTACTTTAAATACTAACCAGCTGACCGCGCTCCGGCACTTGGTACAAATGACTTAGTTGTCAAATATTCTAAAGCGAGGTGAGTATGCGTATCTGAAAATAATTAATAATTTGTCCAATTATCCAATTATTATGTAACATAAAGTAGTTAATGACAATTCTTACTCATATCTAGATAGTTAATGTTATCAATAGCTCTTTCGTAATCATGGAGTGTGGAGTGTTCATCCAAATCAAACTCAAGTTGTACGTGATCTGAAAATTGAACCACAGATATTCTTGAATGGGAGCTAGGATCCGATCCTATATTCAGGGAACTAGTAAAATTTTTCAAGAAACTCTTTATAACGTTGAAGTCGAAGATACCAATACTCCCAGATCCGTCGATTGCAAGCACGATATCAGCTATTCCATTTTTGCATCCTTGGGTTAGATTATTATTCAAATTATTTTTATTATATACATTTCAGATTTTTAGTATTTTAAATTACCTGTATTCAAATTATTAACTTTATTCATATAAGTTGATAAATGTCCGTTAGTCCGATAGTTCTGACTCCAGAATATAGCCTGATCTATCACTGATCTTGGAAGATTGTTGGATAGCAAAGAAAGAAATATTCGAGCCGCTAATCCGGAATAAAACGGTTTCGATAACTCACTGTAGGAAACAGTTTTCCAATCAATTTTAAACGCTCCATAAATACTAGAGTAAAGAGCAGAACTCAATGATTTTGTTAACTGGAACGACGATTGTTCAACCTAGAATTTATTAATTTCCAACTGATATTAAAGACAGTATGACACAAACTGATCATGAAAAATTATTTGATTTTATTAACCGTAGCATTTATTTTATCTGAACTTACCTTCCAGATTCCTCCAAAATTGCCAGGGGCGTACGTACCGCCATCAAGTCCATCGTTAGTTTCAACGTAAGCAATCCTCCTCAACATCATCTTGTCATCAGGAAAGACGCATGCCGATTCTATCTTCCTACACACTGCTTCAACCACTACAGGACCACTTGCCCTTGCGGTTAAGGTCTCATCAAATGCTTCCAGCAAGGAGATCATCCCAACAACCACCAAACAAATTAATGGTAAATGTTTCATAATGTGAAAACCTATTCAAAAATATTTGTTTAAAAAAATATGCTCAACAGTTTGAAACATTAAAAACTTTTTTTATTTGTCAAATCAGAGAAATAATCTGAAAATTTTGAGATATTTAAAAACTTACCTTTGGCTTTTTATGGTAAATTGTTTGTCAGCTATTGTATCGTAAAGTTTGCGTAAGTTACCTAAAAACTAAAAAAATTTTTTCGGTTTTGTTTACACCAGCAGTAAATTTAAAAGTTAGTTTTCTTCTAGTTTTAAGTTTAGCCAAGCAGCTGTATAAACGCAGTGCTTAAATGGTTTTTTAGTATCATGTAGTTCAATAAATAACATCTTATAACTAAAATAATCATCATGCTGAGTGTCATTAAAGTTGTAAAACAAGAGACCACTTGAAACTCATCCCATTTAGAGACCGGCAATATCATCCTTTTCAAATTCGATTATAAGTGGGTGGTGAATTTATTAAGACTGACTTTTTTATATTTTCGGTGATTCGACAGTTATGTCTTTGCTGCCCAAACGTTTTCTCGTCAAGTGCTATTGATTTTTATTATATATAATTATCTATATTATCAACAACTGCTGACTAAGAAACAATTTTTTGAAGTTCAAAAGTGGTTACCGACTTTTGCAATGACGTGAATATTTCAAGTAGTTAATCCTCTGAAAACCTCTCTTTATAAATTGTTGAATTGCTTAAGGTGAGATGCTTTACTCGATAGATTATGAATGTACTCTATAGGCTGAAGACCAAAAAGCTGAAATTAACTGCAATCATTGATCCAACACTTATATTTCTAAAGTGATTCATAAATTTTGTTGAAACGATATATTCTAAATAAAAAAATTTAATAAAGCCTCCACAAGTTTACAATCAATCGAAATTACTCTATTCAGTTTAACATTAACATAAAGAATGCACCAGAATGTTAAACGCATGTGGTAAAAAAACTAGCCAGCTTAAACCTACAAGATTTTTTTGTGTAATATACTTACTTTTTAACGAAGTGTAAAATTGATTTTTCTTTCAATATGTAATTGGTTTGTTGAAAATATGTAATGTAGATAAATAAATTATTAAACTCTGCAATTAAGATAATTTTTATATCAGACATTTTATTTAGCAGATCTTTTTTATTCGATTTTCCGATTTTCATTGGAGTTTTTTGTTTATGGGCAAACTACCTGGTTAAATAGCTATTTAACAAAAACACGTTTTGATCTACTATGGAGGAAGTGCTAAAGTTTCAAGCTGATTCCTCCACTTTACATGAAAAGCTAACCAAGCGATTGAAAAAATATTTAAAAGAATTTATTTAGAAACATTAATGACTTGATCAATTCAGAAAACGCATTCGTCAAAAGTTTTAAAAACTAATCTTGTCTTGTTTCACATAAATTCGTCTAATATAGTTAAGGTGCCTGGTCATGTTGACACAATGACCGGGTTCAAATGCAAGAAAATTCACGTATATACGTTTATTCATGTGTGAGTTTCAGTTTGTTGTTAAATGAGAATTGTAAAAAACTGTAAAATCGTAATTTATTTTCAACCCTAAGTCAACTCATGACATGTTATGGAAATGTATAAAAATTTCAAAAAATTGAGAAGTGTCTAAGAGGTGTTTAAAGGTTTTAAGTGGTGATTTCACTACAAAATTTGATGTGGAAGCCCGGACAAAATAGGTCAAAAATTGGCACGGAAAGCACAAAAATTGGTTGCCAGTCTAAATTTGGGCACATTAGCAAACGTTTGTTTATTACTATGAAATAAAACTTAGAAAAAAGACCGAATATATATATTTTTAAGAACACCAAGTCAAATAACTATTTGACGTTTCTATAGTGAGTGTTTGTTAACGGTTAAGTTTAAGAAATTACGGAGAGTATTAGATTCCATTCCTGTTTTCAACCTATTGTATTGTATGTTGTCACTTTGAACATTTTCCTTGGCAAATATTTGTACTTCAAATTCAATGTTATTTTACTTCATATTTAATTTATTTATTAAATTTGGAAGAATAATCCAAAGCGTTGTGGCTTTACGATTCACCAAGCTATTACATTTCTTGAAGTTCTTGATAACTTTATTGGACGTTTTATTATGCTTCAATCATATTCAGTACAAAACGAAAGTGGCGGTGTGGTGCTTAAAAGGCTAAAGTATATTTATAAAGTGACTTTAAAGTTAAAAATGCAAATAATAGTTTTTAATGTTTAATAATTGTGCTAATGTCAACTTCAAAGTCAAAGTTTTAAAAAGCACTATTGTTTTTGCGATCTTAAAATCTGAAGAACTTCTGAATTTTAAATCAATCTCATTGCTTACATAAAATGTTCATATGAAAAAAATATTTAAACGCATAGGATTAATAGTTATTATAGACAATTATTTAAATCTTTGGTCATCTTTCAAAATAATCATGAAGAAAATTATTTTGTTCGTTCTTTTTATTTCTTGCCTTGTTTCAATTTTTGGTAAGATGAATATGGATGTTTCAAAAATTTAACTACGTGCGTATTTTAAGCTAAAGATTTTAATTTTAATAAATTGCAGGTCTTGAATGTCAGGCTAGTTACATTTATTACCAATTTTATACATTCTCTTACAAAAACTTTATAAAAGTTTCATTGATTTTTAACTATTTTGTCATTTTATTTTGAAATTCGTTTTTTATTCTTTAACATCCACTAAAACTTTTTTATAGCAATGCGGTGAGAACCAATACTGTGACACAGTGAAAGACCTTTGTGGTTATTTTCCATACATAAATACTTTAACGCATAATTTTGACTAATATGACCTCTGACATTGTCTAGTATGACCTATGACCTACAATGTTTGAACATGCCTATGTAACGTATTATAGCATATTATTAATCCTAACCATTTTTCAAATACGTGTCACAATCTACAATCCACATTCAGCTTGCAAGCCAAGAGATTGTCACGGGATATGCCCTGGCGCGTATCAGCGTGATGCCGATGGCTGTGAAATTTGCGAATGTACTTCGTGCGAGGATTTGTCTCAACTGTGAGTTCATTGGTTTAACAACTTGAATTTTGTAGACGAAATTGTTTTCGACAAAGTTTTGTTATATCAGATTTCCATTTATATTTACTCTTTTATTGTATTGGTACGTATTTCCATAATTAGTTCATCTTAGTATTTGATATTTAATTTTTTTTTATTTGAAGTAAAGTATAGATTTTCTTGTAAATTTTTGACTAAGTAGACAATATTTCTAAAAATGATCTTGAATTTATTTGACCAAACACATTTTTTCAACCAGAAATGATGAGAAATGACCCAAACAGACGGTGAATGAATTATACGTGAAGATTGTTTCCATTGATTTTGTCTACAACTGATAATGATCATTTTAAAAATTGTTTTAATGTAAATGAAATAAATGAACAAATAAATGATTGTACAGAGCGTGTACTTTTTACCTATATTTTATATATATATTACCTTCTTTCTATCTATATTTTATCGCGTTCTTCCAAAAAAAACTTTTCAGCCTAATAATTTTATCCTAATCAAATAAAATAAAATCTAATAAAAAATACATTTATAACAATTTAATGCTTTTGTAACCGCGTGTAATTGTTTTCAAATCTTTAAGTTATAACAAGTAAGACAACGGTGATAAAAAATAATGTTGATTTTTATTATCAGTGAAATATAAATTATAAATATTACTAATGAAGTATAAATTCAATAAGATAGGTCCAACAAATCGTTTTCAGATAAATAAATGTATCAGAATCTAAGAAGCTGAGTGTTTCATATTCGATGAATAGCTCTATATAACGTCAATTCAAGATTTTCGGATATGCTCTTCAAAAAATTGTTGCTATAGAACAAATTTTGGCTCTCCATAACAAATATGAAATATGAAAAAAAACTACGACATTGCATGGAATTTATTTAAAACGCGTTCGTAACATATTCTTTTTTCAAACTTTTTCAAACAGACTCTCGTATCAAATTCCTTTCAATCAATTGTTACTAAAATTGAGACAATGTGCAAAATTTTATCCAGATTGAACTTTAGGTAATGGTCATTACTACTTCTCAAGTTTATCGAAAATGGAAATGTGAAGAGGGCTTTCATTGAAGAAAATTACTTCAAAATTACCTGCATGTGTGTTCTAATTAATCAGGCCACACGCACAAGTGCTTCAAACACTTTGATATGATTACTTCAAACGCAAACACTTAGAGAGATTCATATTTTTTAAAAATCTTCAGAAAGTTAGAATGAAGGAAAAGTGCCGACTTAAGTACCGCAGTCATGATTTTAATTTTTCTTCAAGTTAAATGTCGCTAATTTAAATTATATTCAAAATTGTTATTCTGATAATTTTTCTAAGATTTTAATTGTTTTTAGCTACTTTTAGCATTTTTATAAACTTTTAATATTTATTGATCAACAAATAATATCAACAAAAATAATAAAACTAAAACTGAAATTATTTAAAATAATGATAAAAATAATGTAAACTCCTAAATTTAACTGTTTATGAAATTGTGATTGTTTCGCACATGCGATATCCATACCACTGCAGACGTAAGCGAATCTGGAATCAAAAGTTACAACCAATGAATGCATTTAACGATAGTTTTCAAACAACTGAGACCAGTTTGCCATTAACCGGGAACATTAACCCTGAAAACTTCCTAATGTTTGTACGAATGGCCCGTGGCGAACTTCAAAAACCATTCCTCTCCAAAGTGATCAACCTTTTTGCTAAGGGGTAAAAATGATTTTTCAAACCTTAAGTTAATGACTTTTTATACAAAATTTTCAATACTTTTTCTTTTATGGTCTAGTTGGGAGAATATATTTCCACATCTCCATGGATCCGCAACTGATTTAGGCTATAGCAGTAGCCAGAGCCTTAACTTATAGCCATAGCCATAACTGACCAAAAAAAACGAAAAATGGCTATAAGTAAACATCAAAAAAACTCCTACAGTTTAATATAGAAATCGAGATTTGAGTAACTGAGAATTGTGTCTGTAGAGAGAATAAGTGAAAGTAATGTTGAAAATATTATTTTCTTACGGGAAAATAATGTTAAAAATATTATTTTTTTACAAAATGAATTAATAAATTTAATCGCTTGTACTTATTTTTGTTATTTATTAAAAAGTACTTTACGAGTACTTCGTCACCGAGCTACACCACAGTTGAATTATGCGACTTTTTGTATGCTTCGTAATTTTTTATTTGTTTCAAGACAGTGAGGAGCAGAAGATTTTATTATTATGAAAAAATCACTTTATAAAATAAACATTTTTAAAGCAATCTATAATATAAAACGTCAGCATAAAAATGTTTTTATCGTGTTATCCAACATTCAAAGCCTAACATTTAAACTGTTATCCATCCCGAATTGAACGTTTATCATTAAGACATGACGCAAGTGTTGGCCCTTGAACTCCAAACCATACCAGGCCTGCACGTCATTTCATGGCATGTTTCCCACTGGCCACACTGCACGTATTTGGTGCGGTCGTCGTGTGGGAAGAAAAACTTACCAAGGTCAGCATTTTCATTCGTGCACGGGTTCTTATCTTCGCAGTTGTAGGTTGTTGATGTTCTTGGCTCTGAGTTATTGTACGATGACATGAATTAAATTCATTTTTTAAGAATGAAGTTTTATACACTCACCGTCAATACAGCCATATGAGAAATGCTTCTTAGGAACGCATTTTTGATGACTAGGACAAGGATTTGGATCGCAACGATTTATTTCTTGAAAATCGTTAAATATTTTGTTCACATTTTTTAATGTAGTTTTTTTAATAAAAAAACTTATGCTACTTCTACAAACCTTTGTTTACGGTTTCAATTTCATAGGAGCAGGGTTTGTCAGTGTTACTCTCGATACGACTGTACACATATCTATCTATGAGCTTCGTGCTACCCGGGAAATAAGCCACAGCAGGTATGTCGAAGAACATGTTGATTTTCATATCATAAAACGAAGAAGTTGGGTAGGTTTCATTAGAAAAGAAAACAACACCATCTCCTCCGCCTATCTTAATTTCAAAAACAATTTAAATTAATTAGTTAAAAGATGGTATGTATGATCTAAAACTTATTATGAACCTCAATTGTTAGGCCAGAGGGAGAGACAGTTATCTTAATATTTTTTGATTCAAACGGTGGAAGTGTGAAATTCATTGGCTCTTCATTAGAAACATATATCGGAGCTGTAGATTTTAATGTATAAGAAAATTACATATCCTAAGGTGAGCAATTTCTTCCACAAATATTAAACCTTCACAAGTAGTTATCTCGATTGACTCCTTGAGTGCTTCTAAATCGAAAAACCCATCAAGACGAAACACATTTTTGCAATCTGGATCAGTTGCTATGGCCTTCAGTTCTTCGTTGTTTATATTTTCACCAATTCCAATCGCAATCACAGTGATGTCCTTCTGGTGCAAACGTTTTGCGGCTTCCAGAGTGTCGCGCAAATTGTTCGAATGTCCATCAGTCATAACAATGCCAATTTTTGGAATACCTTAAAAAATTGTTGAGAATTCTCAATTGAGAATAATTTTTATTGTTAGTAATTATGAATATAGCTTTTTCGCATCAATAAAATTGACAAATAAAATTTTAAATAAATGTTTTTTTTGTTACCTACCAGCTCCTCTTGCTCCTGAACTTTGCAAAAAGGATTCGGTCGCCAAAAAATCAAGAGCAATATTAGTTGCGGTTCCTGAAAGATGTTTCATTTTTAATAGGCATAAAAATATAGCAATTTAAAAATATTTATATGACACGTTTGTTTATTCGAATCATAAGCACACTGAAATGCTGAAATGACTAATTTTCATCTAAGGTGCATGTTTTATATAGATTGATTATTAGTACAAAGCAGTGAATGTTTTCAATGATATTTTATCGTGCTACCATGTGAGAGTCAGAGTTTGATCAGTTACATTAAACAGCGAACTCACCTGAGTTTAAATATCCCATCTTATCAACAGCAGTCCCGTAACCAGCGAGTGTTGAGTGATCATTTAAATCAAATTCCTGTTGCACGCTATTAGAGAACTGAACCACGGAGATCCTTGTGTGCAATTCAGGATCCGGACCAATGTTCAACGATTCAGTTAAATTTTTCAAAAAACTTTTAACGACGTTGAAATTATTGATTCCAATGCTGCCAGATCCATCAACAATCAGTGCTATGTCGGCTACTCCTTGTTTGCAGCCTTTTAAAAATTATTAAAACCACAGTTGAATTACCTTTAAATAACACAATCAAATTTAGACTTGCCAGTGTTCAACTTGTTAACTTTGTCCACGAAAACTGACGTTTGACCGTTCTTTCTGTAATTTTGATTCCAAAGCAGAGCTTGATCTTCAGCAGACCTTGGAATATTGGGCGACACCATTGACAAATAAATGCGTGCCGCTAGACCAGAATAAAACGGTTTCAACAAATCTTTCCAACTAACAGTTTTCCAATCTATATTGAATTCTGCGTAAATGCTGGATTGAAGAGAAGGATTCAACGATTTAGTGGCCAAAAAGTTTGATTCGTCAACCTGAAATATTTTGCTTTTGTGTATGTGTGCATGGTTGTTAAAGTGGGCATTTGTGTATGTGTCTTTGCAACTTTGCTATTTTAGTTGCGTAGTAATGGATTGAAAATATCAAAGATGAAGAATGTAATAAATGCCTTTCTAATCAAAAATTTAGAAGAAATTCGCTGTAAGAACATAATATATGATTGATGGAAAACTTTTTGCCGCATTTGGAAAAATATAAAATCCTACATTGTGAGCCACTTGGAAATGATCAGCACTGTCACAGTGTTTAGTGTTTGTTTCGTAAAAAATTATTAGTATGAAAATTGACAGAAATCAATCGTCAACATCGTTTCGGATTTACTTGGCAGCGAATTTCTTATCTGATCGTTAATGAAATTTTCTGCATTAAGTTCGTTCTTATCGAAAAGTGGTAAATAGGTACCAGCAATCTAGCTAATGTTAAGCCGTTAACTGCCTGTGTAACTGCCTCAAGCAAAATTTCATTCAGTTTTTTGATCCATCGTTTGCGCTTTTGAGAGCTATTATAAATGCACTAGATAAATACTTAAAACTATAATAGTAAAAAGAAGAAAAAGTAAAATAGGAAAAGAAAACTATAATAATAATAATAATAGTCAGTAAATAAAAACTCACCTTCCAAATGCCTCCATAATAGCCAGGTTGATATGCATCTCCATCTAGGCCATCGTTCGATTCAACATAGGCAATCCTCCTTAGAATCAACTTATCTTCCGGGAAGATGCAAGCCAAATTGATTTTGGCACAGACGGATTGAACCACGGCGAATCCTCTTGCTCGTTCGACCAAAGTTTCATCCACCGCTCCTTGCACGCTTAGTATCGTGGATACAATCAAGCAGGGAACCAGAAAGATTTTCATCGTCGGTTATCTTGCAATCGACAACAATTGACAATTAGGTTTGCTTACGTTTTACCAATGGTAATAAACAATACTATTTTGTAAGATAACAGTTTTTGTAAATACAAAAATAATTTACCCAAAAATATAAAATTTTTCTAAAATGGTGTTCATTATATAACATGTCGGCGGCATGAGTTGTTTCTTTGTCTTGCTCTCAAGTTGTATGATTTCACGTGAAAACCTAATTTCAAACTTTGTGCTTCTGAGTGGTGAATTTTCAAATCTAAATTACACTTTTGCATCTACACTTCAACACAAAAGTTCTCAAAAATTCAACAAAAAATGCATATAATATTTTTTCTCAAATAAAAAAATTTTCTCCGGGGCAACGTCAACTTGAGCATCGTTAAATCGACAGGCTGAAACTATATGGGATAATTTTATGGTTGGCAAAGATTCTATAATGTAATAATTATATTAAATGTTATTAATTATTATTACTTTTTATTATTAATTCGCTTTTAGTTATTTTTTCAAGAAATTAACAACACGCACAACGTATATGATAAGGCCTACGCGTGGTTGTAAGGAACAAGTTTGACGGGTTTAGCCGAAATTGTGAAAATTTTTAACTAATTTTACATCATTTTGACAAAAAGTCTAAAATTATTTGTAATGTGGCAACCTTTTTTTGCTTGTCACATCAATTTTTCGACGATTTTTTCACGGAAACCCGTGCTTTTTTGTGCAAAAACTGAGTTTTGCTGACTTTTAATAAAACAAAACTGCTTACAACAGCCACCAGGCCTTTCATAGATGCACCACTGCACACATTGATGTGTGAGTGGCATGGGATGTCCTTTCTAACTAAGCTGTAAAATTTTAAAGTTTACCCCAAAAAATTTTTAAAAATCAACAACTTAATTTTAAATTCATGAATCTAAATTTTACAAATTCAGAAACGATTTTACCATTAAAAAGTTAAAATCAAGTACCGCCATTTTTATTTACTGATAAAACACTTAAAAATTATGAATGTATTCGGATAAAAATGGTTGTTCTCAAAAAGAAACTTATAAAAATCAAATTAGTAGCATGAAATTTTTAGGTTTTCTTAGCGTCTTTTATGATGATTTTGGTACAAATTGTTCTTTGCAAGTTTTTAACATAATTTACCGAAATTTTTTTATTTTAACTATTATCAAAAATTAATTCTGTCTTGAATGGAATTAAGAAATAAGCCACCTAAAACTTATTCAGTGTTAAATGTTTAGAAACAATTTGAATCTTATTACTAAAACGTTTCATGTTTGTAATTTCCTCCAATATTTACGACAAATGAACAAATTAGTCTGCAAATTTATTGACTTTCAGTTTTCAATTGACATATTTTTAAAAAATTAAAAATATGACTTGGTCACTGCATTGTCCAAGCGGTCATATGGGCATATATAAAACTTGACTGAAGTTATAAAAACATAAGTTGATGATAATTCTAATTGTAGTTATCAGCGATAATTCTGCATAAGAAATGAAATGCATTTCTTTAATTCTTTTATGATAAAAAATAAGTTGAAAACATCCATAAATATAATTATCAAAATAGTTTTGTATGAAAGCTATTTTGGCAAGAAAATACTGTAAAAACCAGCACACACTCTAAAAATAAATATTTCGGTAAGGTTTTTCTTGTCACAGATTTTACGATATACTACTTAAAATGACACCTTTTAGCAGTCACTAATATTATTCACAAGTATAAATGTTTAAACCTGTGTTGTCATAAAACAAAAAAATATGTATTTAAAATTTAGTTTATCATTCAAAAACAAACATTTTTTAAACTTTTCTATATATCTAATGATAAAATTTTGTTTATCAACACGTACCATTGTGATAATAAATATAATTAACTAGAGTAAACAACAACAAAGTAGAATGAGATCCATCAAGCTGTTTAAGACTCAAACTCCGAAGTGCAATTTGACAAACATCGATTAAATTTATAATTTAAAATTGTTTCACAAATTAAGACCAAATTGAGATTCATTTATCTTGAGATAAAATGAAGTTAACAATACTTGTGTTACTCCTCACAATTGGTGCAATCTGTAATCAATGTAAGTTCTGGCCAAAAGATTTTTTTAATTTGGGCCAATGTTATATGATAATATGAAAAGTTGTGTACGCGTTTATAGGCATGATTTAAAATGACAATGTTTTGATGTTATGTAATTTTTAATCAACCTGTCGACGATATATCTTTGATAAGAATTGAAATTAAACAATTTTCTTCATTTTTTAATAAACGGTATTTTTTTAAACATTTGATAAGTGTAAAATAAATTTTTAAACAATTTTCTAGCCCAAGCTAGTTTCATCTGTCCAGTGAGCCGTATTTGTCAAATTTAGTACACTAATCCAATAATTTGATAATTTGAATGAATTCCTATTGATAATAATTTAAATAAAATTTGTTAAAAATTTAAAAATGATTTTTTGACAATTTAAATGAAACTAGTTGATAACATTAAAATGATAGGGAAATTTAAAAGAAAATATTTAACAGTTTTGAGATAATTTTATCACCAGACATGCGCTCACAACCAGTTCTGTAACCCGACGACCATGAAATGTGGTGAGAATTTCATCATTCGGTTAATTTCATCAATTTCATCAATTTCATCATCAAATTAAATTAAACATAATTAAATTTAATGAAATTTATTCAATTTTAAAGTGAAATCTCAAATATTAAATTTAATCTAATTAGAATTATCTTTTAATATTTGATGAAGAATGCAACGGGAATATCTGCCAAATGTACTGCCTAAATGGCTTCGAACTCGATGAAAATGGCTGCGAGATTTGTAGCTGCCTGTAACAATTGTAGTTGAGATTTAATCTGTGGCGATTTATATACATACGTACATACATACATACATACATACATACATACATACATACATACATACATACATACATACATACAAACATACAAACATACATACATACAAACATACATACATACATACATGCATGCATGCATGCATGCGTGCATACATACATACATACATACATACATACATACATACAATCGTCTTCTTACTAACTAAAGACAAATTTATAAAAAATATTTGAATGTAAATTAATTTTTTTACAAAAACGACAAAATTGTTTGATTTAAATTTATTTTATTTATGATAAATTTGAAATTGTAAATAAATTTGGATAAAATAAAGGAGTTCTGTCTGTTTATGTGTGTGTGGTGTATGCGTGTGTGTAAAATAACCAAGAACTGTGTTTATTCATATAAATATAATGGTATTTTATAATGTTACCAAAATCATCAAAAACATATTAAAACATATGACGAAGTTAAATATCTGCTGTAAATAAAATTATCAAAAAATAGTAGGAAAAGTATTTGCTTAAGTTTTTGAATTTATAAATTAATTTTTAACGTTTCTAGGACCATCATTTTAGATTTATAAATCAAGTTAAAATGTGTACCAGCTAGATTATGTTTGGTTTTCGTCGTTCAACCTCAATTTTCGCTTTTCACATTTAGTTTAATTGAATCAGTTATGACACTCAAACGCACGATATGTGAGTTGACAAGTGAAGAAGTCCCGATCCAATGTTCAAATATCAAACTCTATTAAATAATCATTTTAACAGCAATAATAATTCATGCAAATTATTATTCTACACATTTCCTTAAGCTTGCTATTTCTAAATATAAAGTAACTCAGCTGAAAAGTCTATAAAATAGACGTTTTTCACAAAATCAAAAGTTTGCAGAAGTTGAATCATTAGTTATAACTTGAAAACTTGAGAAAGAAACATCAAAAGGATGAAGATAGTTTGTCTTTTCCTTCTGATTTCGTGCGTCGTTCTAGCATTCGGTTAGTTTTGTGAGCATGAAAACAGAGCACATTTCCATCTTTCAAATTTCAATTAAGCATTAGGTAAATGACACGTATGATTTTCATGCATTAACATCCGCACGGTGCACATTTTTCATATTTCAACATGAAACATTTCTTAAATTTTAAAACTTCTCACCACAGGTCTTGAGTGTCAGGTATGTTTAGTTTTATGTCACTCATTGCCAATATTCAATATCGTTTGGCCTAATTTAATATATTTTTAATAAAAATCTTTTTCTAATTTCTCTCTTCATTTCATCAAATTCAGCAATGCGGTCCGAACCAGTTTTGCGAAGAATCAACTGGTCTATGCGGTAGTTAATTTTTGATTCGGAATTATTTTTAGGTTTATCAAGAGAAAAATTTTGCAATAATCCATTTCTATTTTTTATTCCTCGAATGATTCGCAGTTTGCAAGCCTAGAGACTGTCCATTCATATGCTCCGGATCCTACAAACGCGATGCTGATGGCTGTGAAATTTGTCAATGTGCCTCTTGCGTTGATCTCTCGCATTTGTAAGTTTAGCTGCTTGGGTGTTCATCAATTAGTAATTTAATTTTGTAAATGTTTGCTTGAGATGACATAGTGAAAAAAGTTTAAATCTCGTGTATGAGAAATTTCAATTGCAATCAATTTTTGAAAATTTAAATCTTCTATTAAACAAATTTAGTCGAATAATCATTAAAAATGAGAATATTGAATAAAAACAACATTATATTACTAATTGAATATTACTAAATTAAAAAAACTGAGCAGTTATTTTTCAATTCTGCAGGCCAGGTAACAAATAAACTGAAATGTCAACATTCACCATAATATCTTAGAAAAAACTATTCAATTGTTATGAACTAATTATAAATTTATTTAACGAATTAAAATTTAGCATATATTTGCGTCTAATGCATGTATTTTTCAAATAAAAAAACAATGTATTAGCCAATTTTTTTGTAATAATTAATTCAAAACAAAAGATTAAAAACTAACAAAACAGTTTGTGTCTTAGGTCATGTGTGCTTAATTAGCAGGAAAGTCGGATATAACAGTTATGTATTCAGTTCAGATAAACAAATTTGCATTAGAACATCCAAAGTTTGTCAGCACAAGCTCGTTTGAATGTTAATTAGTGACGATGGATCTTCTAAACAGTTCAGAGTAGAGGCAATTTTTTATAGGAATTGTCCAAATTGAATATCCCCAAAACTGTTTCCAGTTATTCAGAATGTGTAGTATTTAATACCATTAAATGAACAACAATGTTAACAGTGCTTTCTAACTAGGGATGCACCGAAGTTCGGCCCCGGCTCCGGCCAAAATCCGGCTTTTTTTTCAAATTTAAGCATCTATCAACATTTAAAAATGTTATAAATAGAGAAAAAAATTTTATTGAATTCAATTAATTTTATGTCAATAAGTTAAAGGCTAAGCATACATGACACATAATAACAACATCAATAACTGTGGGGTGAGCTGGACAATTTTCATTGTGCTTTAACATAGGTTATGCATAAATTATAAGCTGATCTTTGCGTACAGAACTTGGCGTATCACACAGCTTATTCATATACTTTAATTAATTAACTATTTGCTTGGTGTTATTTTTTGATATTCAAAATGTAGATAACCGTAAATGTGAGCATTTTTTTAACGTATGAATTTTAAATACGGCCAAGTACGGCCCCGGCCGGAATTGAAAAACCTGAATCCGGTGCATCCCTACTTCTAACGTATAAATGTTCATGTACGTATAAATTTGTTCTAAAAACAAAGTCAGCGTACTACAAGCAAGGTCAAACTTTGCCTTAATGGCAAAACCTTAGGATGGCACTGGGAAATTCCATAAAATACTAAACAAAGAGTTAAAAATAAATCTAGCTTAATTTGCGCCATTTAGCTCCTCCCCCTTTTTAATATTTATGTTTATTAGATTACAAGACGAGAACAAGAAAAGATCTTTTTTCAATCATTTTCATTTATTAATTTTTAATTAATTTTCAATAATAGATATTTTAAAAATTTTAATTTGTTTTTCATTTAAAAATAATTGTCAATAATAAATATTTTAAAAACGGCTTGTGTTAATTATTTTAAAAAGAAAATGCTGATTTATTTTATTAATAAAATAAATTATGATCAATCAATCAATCAAATTTATTTTTATAGCGCCCTTTCCGTAATGTATGATGTTTCACTTACTTTTTATAGCGCCCTTTTCATGAATGTATGATGTTTCACTTTTAAATAACAACGCGCATGTTTCTGCCATTTTTTCTTCTGTTTTTTCTGTCATTTTTCCGTCTGGTTTTTCTGTCATTTTTTCGACATTTTGAATTTATCTGTAGTCATGAACTTTCCGGCCGTTAATAGTCTGTCATCAATGGAACTGACAAACGCCATAAATTCGAAACAAAAAGCAGTGGACTGGGCGATGCAACACGGATTGCTGTCGTCTGGAATGACATGCGTTTGTGGAAAAGTTATGCGTTTGTACAATTCCAAAAAAGCAGCAGACGGACAGATATGGCGTTGTACAAACCATACGGCCTGCAGCAGAACAAAATCCATTAGAAATGGTAGTTTTTATGAAAAATGTAAGCTACCAATGAGCACATGTATCATGGTTATTATTTTTTTATTCTTAACTTAAATTATATTTTATAAATATTAAATTTTAGAATGAAAAACAATAATAATTTTGTTCATTCAGTTGACATATTATTGGAGCATGGGGGACATCAGTCAGGCAGAGACAGCTTCGTTGCTACAAATAGATGAAAATAACACGTTGCCTGACTGGTTCAACCTCCATCGCCAACTCTGTACCGATTGGGTACGAGACAACCCAAAAATAATTGGTGGACCTGGTCGAATTGTCCATATTGATGAGAGTCTGGTGTCCAGTAACAAAAGGACAAGAAATGGAAGGGCCAGGCTATTTCGGCAGCGTTGGCTTTTTGGCGGCATAGATAATGTTTCCAAAGAAGCCTTCTTAGAAGAGGTGGCTCAACGTGATGCGGCCACTTTGCTGCCCATAATACAACGGCATGTTTTGCCCGGTAATGACTTTAACATTTTCTATTAACCTTTCCTATATTAACATTTTATCTAATTCTCATTCAGGCACGACAATATGGTCTGACAAGTGGGCCGCTTATGCGAACATTCCCAGAGTTACGGGACTGGCACACGACACTGTCAATCATCGATATGGCTGTGTTGCTCCAAATGGAGTGCATACTAATGCCATTGAGAATCTTTGGAAGTGTGCCAAAGATAAATTTAAACGGATGCATGGTACCTGCGATGATCACGTCTCTTCGTATCTCGATAAGTTTATGTGGCAGCGCGGTATCAGGAACCGTGATGAGCGGTTTCAAACAACTCTTGAGCTCATCCGTACATATTACCCTGTTTAAACATTTAAATTAAATTTAATTGTTACTTTTTTTTATTGCGATTTAAATTGTAAGTAATTCGTATTTTCCATTTATTACGATAAAATAAAATCATTAACTACTAAAAGAAAGTGTTTTGGCTTGCACTCGTTAATCATACAATTTTTAAATAACATCTTAAAAAGGACGAAAAAATTAACCGCTTTAAATATCATTTATTATTTTACAAGACAAGAAAAATTAAAAATTGCGCGTTTAAACATTTATTACATCAACAAATACAACGGTTATTAAAAATGAACATAAATTTTAAAAAGGGGTGGAGCTAAATGGTGCAAATTAAGCTGGATTTATTTTTAACTCTTTGTTTACTATTTTATGGAATTTCCCAGTGCCATCCTAAGGTTTTGCCAACTTTAATGGTCGTGGTCTCTCTGTTGTGATTGAAATTCGGTAAAATCGGAGATTCGTACTTCTAAATGGTATCGCCCTTGTTTACAAACAAACAATGTACTTTTAATAAATTGACTCCGCCCATTTTGATTTATCTAGCGCTTATTTATTTATATCAAATTGGAAATAATTTAATACAAGTTAATTCTTAGGTAATGAAGGTTTGTGATATGTTTGTGTTGAACATATTTACATATATATATATATATATATATATATATATATATATATATATATATATATATATATATATATACATGAAAGAAAGAATAACGATTAGTCTATCGTGTTGTTATGTTGATGTGTCTGTCTGTGTTTGTTTGTGTATAACGTATATGTGTGTAAGGTTTGTGTGAGTGTGTGAGTTGGGGTTAGGGGTAGGGTTAAGTTGGGTTGTCGTGAAAACATAATATTGAAAACAAATTCAAAAAGATGAAATGATAAAATAAAATTGTTCGTTCTATCTGTCTCGTATTGTTACGATGATGGCGATGTCGCGTCGGAGGCAGATGATGTTGCCCAACGATGTCGGCATAGTGTGTGAACGAATAAAAATAAGGTACAGCCTTAATACGATTGGGTTTATCATCATGCTTAACTAATAAATGCTAAACTAATTCGTGAGGTTTTTTTGTTATAGAAACAATTTTTAAATTGTAACGATAAATATAAATCATAAATTAAATAATTATAATTGAATAATACAACTCCTAAAGTATTTTTTATTATAGAAAAATTTTAAATCTAGTCAATAAATAATTAAGCGCTAGTTAATTTTAAAAGGGCGGTGTTCTTTTATTTTAACAAACGTTAGGTTTGTTTGTAAACATGGACAATATCGTAGGAGTACGATTTTATTTTACGATTTTACTTTCAGGTAAAATCGAAGAATTTTACCTTTACCTTTTACCTTTTACTTTCAGGTAAAATCGAAGAATTTTACCTTCTAGTAAACAACACGTAATCAAGTTTTACTTTACTTAATAGCATAAATTTTATTTTATCGTTGAACTGGCGAGAGCAAGTATATTATTCTAAAACTTCTATCTATTTTGGATGCTAGGTTTGTAGATTCGAATTAATTCATTACTTATGAGACTGAACTTAGCCACAATGACCGACCTATATAATTTTATAAGCAATCTTCGATGCCAACTATACAAACGTTAAAAAGCCAATTATACACACGTTAAAAAAGAGATAAACGTAAAAGAGATATGTATGTATTTATCAGATATATTAATTGAACCTAAACGCCCTGGTTTACGATCGTCTTCTCGCTTTTTCTTAACTCGTGTTAAACACTCTTTTGCCAAATCTGCTTTTGCTTTTTCTGGTCTTTTTCTCTGGAACTCTCTACCTACTTCTCTGACTACTTCTCCATCACTTGCAAAGTTCAGAGCGGATCTCAAGACCCATCTGTTTTCAAAATTCATTGAGGAGCGCTGTTGAACATCGCGGAAATAGCGCTTTATAAGCTAATTGATCGATTGATTGATTGATAGTTAACAGTTATAGAAACTCAATTCTATTTGTTAATCATTAGCAATAAATAAATAATTGGAAAAATTTATATCAACTACATATACTTGAAATTAGGGATGCACCGAAGTTTGGCCCCGGTTAAAATCCGGCTTTTTTTAAATCCGGCCCCGGCCGGATTTGGTGGCCGAATTTAAGCGTCTATCAACATTTAAAAATGTTATAGATAGAAAATTTTTTTATTGAATTCAATTAATTTTACGTCAATAAGTTAAAGGCTAAGCATATATGACACATAATAACAACATCACTAATTGTGAGGTGAGCTGGACAATATTTTCTTTATGTTATAACATGGGTTATGCATAAATTATGAGCTGATCTTTGTGTAAAAGAACTTGTGCACGTGTATATATTATATAATTGTATATAATGGATCATATAGCTACATATTATTTATATATATAGACATAAGCGCATAATTTAAGAACATGGTATGTTAAAGGTTAGGCTAGGCATACATGACTCATAATTACAACATCACTAATTGTGAGGTGAGCTGGACAATTTTCTTTGTGCTATAACATGGGTTTTGCATAAATTATAAGCTGTGCAAGTGTGCACGTGCATACATGGCACATAATAACAACATCACTAATTGTGAGGTGAGCTGGTCAATTTTCTTTATGCTATAACCGTAGCCTAACGTAAGTACAAGCCTGAGTGCTCATTATGCAAATTTCATTTAGGAGGCGAACGCATTTTGTTTACATATGTGTAGTAACGTAAATAAACAAGCCTTGTAAAGTGTTTAAAAATTTTATTAAACATCTAATCATGAAACGTTAACATTTTTCTGACATTTTTATGTTTAGTGTTTGTATCATTTTTTATTTTACAAAAATTATTTAACAAACAATTAGTAGCACTATACAAAATTCTATTACATATATCAATTGCAGCATGACCATTATCACAGTCTGGCCAATAACTAAATTCATGATCATCTAAAATTGAATTTGTTATTTTGATAGCCATCATTCTCTGTCTTTGTTCCTCTTTAAATATATTCCAAAAGTATCCACTTGTTAATTTCTTTACTACACAATAATTATAGGTTACTAAATCAATAATAGCTTTAGATGGATATTTCAAACCACCCCTGTCCACATTAGCAATGACAGAAAATGAAGGGTCCACATCTTCCATTGATCTATCCAATGACATCAAGTCTTTACATAATGGACACCAATTAAGCTTTTTCAGAACTATATGTAGACAATATCCAGCAACGTATACAATAATTGGTTTTTCATCTTCCAAGTCAAAATCATTTTCATCAAGCTGTAAATTTTCATATTTTGATGGATCCAGGAAATTATCATTGACATCTTCACTGAATTCATCTTTAATAGTCTTTAGACAGCCAATTAATTTATTTTTCAAAACACTGGAGATTCTTAATTTTTTTTCTGACTCAAAGATTTGTCTAAGTGATACATTATAATTAGTTCCAGACAATTGTCTGTATAGACCAAACCTAGACTCTAAAGCATCCGTTTGGAATTTCCCCAACAAAACATATTTTAAATTAAATTCGGTACATTGTCAATATTCAAACTTTCCATTCGCTGCCTCTTTTTATCCGGCGATACCCTGAGAGTTACTGATGTGCTGTAGTAGTCTGGGCATCCAGGAAATATTGAAGGAACTGAATCTTTTTTTAATCTTGGCCTCTCGAGAGAAGTCAAAATCATCTTTCCAGATTTAGCATCAAATGAAGATTTTTTAGTAATGATGGCCTCAGCTGGAAAGTGCTTTTCACATACCTTAGAAAAAAAAATATAATTATTATTTGTAATGAAATTATTAATAAAATTAATAAATTTCAATAAACATGCTACTCACTCACATTACAACTAATAATAATAAAACAAATAACATAGCTATGTAATGTATTATAATTTTGTTACAATGTAAGGAATTTAGTTAAAATCTGAAATCCTGGTCATGCACTTTATTCAATAGATCATGCTTACTCGTGAATGCAAAGTAGGTTTCCAATCTTTTCTCGGAATTGCAGATATCCATTTTTGAAACATGTGTTCATCTTTAGGAAAACGAAAGGAATGTACTTTTTGTTCAATTGTATAATTCCCTTGGCAAAACGGAACAATACATTTATTCACCATTATTACAAAATATTATTCCTTCCGAAATTTTTTGACAATTAAATCCGAATAACAAGTAACCAATTACGAAGAAACAAATAAAACGTGCAACGCCGATCAAGTAAACAAGAAAATGAAATAAATCGTTCGCCTCCTATTTGATCAAAACATTAATATAGGGATGTGAGCGCTCAGGCTTGCTATTTACGTAAGGCTACGCTATAACACGGGTTATGCATAAGTTATAATCTGATCTTTGATAACAGAATTTGGCATATCACACAACTTATTTATATATTTGAATTAATTAACTATTTGCTTGGTGTTATTTTTTGATGTTCAACATAACCGTAAATTTGAGTATTTTTTTAACGTATGTAAAATGGTAACTAAAATCCGGTTTAAATTTAGTGTGTTTAAGCGTCTCTCTGGTTACTATTTTAATAAAATGACAACAACACAATTTCACTTGTACAATTTTAATAGGAATGACGTCACTGGTTGCCCATTTCATTGCATATTGCAAATACGTCGGAATTTCCATCGTGTTAAATCCTTTCAAAACAGCCTCAATAAGTGCCATAGAAAAATCGGTTACAACATTCGAATACAAAGGCCATTCTTTCAATTTTTTTGAGACGTAGTGCTTATAGTCAATAAGTACTTGACTTATGTGATACACGTCGTGCCTACATGTTACAAAGTCGATCATTGAAATTATTCTATTATCTACTGAAATAACACCAGTGTAATAAAAAATTCTCTTCTGCTATGAGCTGGTCCTTCTTATCACCGATCCTGTCGAATCAAAATACAACACTGGCAATATGTTCTTTTTTTTGGTTCGTTTAGCAACTTCAACCTGTTTGTATGAATATGAAATGATGCATAACGGCTCACTAACATGTTGTATAAATCTATCACTATCTGAAGCAAGTAGTTCTTTTCTTAGCTTTATAATTACATCAAAAACATCATCTTTATCCTCATCG